AGCAGGGGAGGCAGAGCTGAGCTAGGGGGAGAAGGGTCAGTGAGGCATGGAATATGGTGTGGCTACTGAGAGAGAGGTTGTACCAGACAAGAAAGAGACTTAGCTCAGCCTGCAACACAGTGACTTTGGAACTTAAAACCCAGATTCTCTATCTCTCTCGTTTTTTTTTTTTAAGTCATCTAGATATTTATTTCTAGGTTTTTTGTTGTTGTTGTTTGTTTTTTGGTGTAGGTGGACACAACACAATGCCTTTATTTTTGTGAGGTGCTGAGAATTGAACCCGGGACCTGCCTGTGCTAGGCGAGCGCTCTACCGCTGAGCCACAATCCCAGCCCCTATTTCTAGTTTTTAATCAGTGCATTATAATAATACATAATTGTGGGATTCATTGTGACATACTCATACATGGTACCTAGGCTCTTTGTCACAGCTCAAGGAAGCTTTGACATCTTCACTGTTCCAGAGGGTGGAGATAGGAGGGTCACCTGCCCAGAGGCCCGGCCATCCCAGGCATTCCTCAAAATGAAGCCCTCTACAGTCTATACTCAGTGGCTTTGCCCCTGCAGAGTGGGTCACCGCTCTCAGGTGAACATCACTCTAAGGCCTCCATGTGCCCGATTGCATGCTTAGCTCCGTGCTCGGCACAGTGCAGAGTGTGATCTGTCCCCTTACATCTTAAACAATGTTTCCTGCACCCTAATGGGCAAGGGGTATACCCAATGACTCCCTTGGAGAAGGAGTTGGCCAAGGTGTAGCTAGGGGGCAGCCAGAGCCCTCTGGATAGCCCATGGGGTTGTGATGCAGCCAGGGTTTAAGTAAAGAGTGAAGTTGTGACAGTGACATCTTTATAACATCCAGAGGGATTGGCTGTCCCCTCGCTACACCAGAACATTTAAATCTTCCTCAAAAGAAACCATGCATCCCCTGGCTGTCAACCTACCCTCTCCTATCCCCTGGCATCTGCTAATATGCTAACTTGCTGTATGCTAATCTACAGATTTGCCTATTCTAGATATTTCATAGAAATAGAACAATATATTATGGAGCCTTTTTTAACCTCATTTTTTTTTCAATTTAGCATGTTTCCAAGGTCCATCTATGTTGTAGCATGAGTCAGACTTCATTCCTTTTTTAACTGAATGATATTCCATTGTATGGGTGTACCATATTTTTTTTATCCATTCATCGATGGTGGACATTAGAATTGTTTCCATTTGGGGCTATTATGAATAATGCTGCCATGAGTCCTTTTTTCCCCCTTGTGGTACTGTGGATTGAACCCAGGGTGCTCTGCCACTCAAGTATATTCTTCTATGTTATTTTGAGACAGGATCTTACTAAGTTATTGAGGTTGGTAGCAAACTTGCAGTCTTCCTGCCTCAGCCTCCTGAGTCTCCGGGATTACAGGCTTGAGTCATAGTACCCAGCTGCTGTAACATTCTTATAAAAGTTTTTGTATGAACATGTCTTTTCTTTCTCCTTTCTTTCTTTTTTAGAAACTTGCTCGTTTCCTGTGCATATACCCAGGATTGGAATTTCTGGGTTATATGGTAACCCTATGTTAAAGCTTTTGAGAAATTGTCAAGCTATTTTCTGAGTTAACTGCATAGTTTTGTACTTATATTTACACAGTTTTACACCAGGCATGTATGAGGGTTCCAGTTTCTCAACATCTTCCTTAACACTTATTGTCTGGTTTGGTGGTAATGAAGTGTTTCACATTGTGGTTTTAATTTTCATTCCCTAATGATTAAAAGATGTTGAACATATTTTCTTGTTATGGGGCACTAATATATCTTCTTTGGAGAAATGTCTATGAGAATCCTTCGCTCTCTGCTCTATCTTTTCTTTTCTTTTTCAATACTGGGAATTGAACCCAGGGGCACTTTATCATTGGGCTATAGCTAGCCCTTTTTATTTTTATTTTTTATTTAGAGATAGGTTTCAAACTTGCAATCCTCCTGCCTCAGCCTCTGGAGCAGATCGGAGTACAGATGTGTACCACTTCATATATTTATATCAACCTAAAAAATTTATCAGAGAGAGATTCTTCCAAAGAACAATGGCATTTATTTGGGAATAACAGAGCATTGCAGTGGGAATATACATGCCATAGTGAACTATGTGCACATTAAAGAATGTTGAGGCAAGGGGGAGTTTTTATTTGTTTGTTTTGGTACTGGAGATTGAAGCCAGGGGCACTTAACCACTGAGCCACATCCCCAGCCTCTTTTTAAAAATATTTACTTAGAGACAGGGTCTCACTGAATTGCTTAGGAACTCACTAAATCGCTGAGGCTGGCTTTGAACTTGCAATCCTCCTGCCTCAGCCTCCTGAGCCACTGGGATTATAGGTGGGCAGCACTGCACCCAGCAAGGGGGAGTTATTAAAGACAAAAGTGAAGAGGATTACATCATGTATTTTGAAAAAAATATATATATATATCTCCAGAGAATCCATCTGTTCCTATGCTTTTCTTTGTGGGAAGTTTTTTGATTAATAATTCAGTCTCTTGGCTTGTTACAGGTATATTTGGATTTTCTAATTCTTCTTGAGTCAGTTTTGATACTTTCTGTCCTTCTAGAAATTTGGCTACTTCAGCAAATTGGTATATTGTTGATATATTGTTCGTAGTATTCTGTTCTGCTCTCTCCTTATTAATAAGGCTTTGAGCTGTTATTTTTCAAGGCCACCATGCAGTTAGGGAGCATGATAAGAAGGAACTAGGGTGAGTTAAAATATCACAGAACTTATTCTTCTTAACTAAGATTCATCTGCTTTACTTTCTTTTCTTTTCTTTTGGTACCAGGGATTGGACCAAAGGGCATTAACCACTGAGTCACATCCCCAGTGCTTTTAATTTTGAGACAGGGTCTCTCTAAGTTGTTTAGGGCCTCACTGAGTTGCTGAGGCTGGCTTTGAACCTGCGATGCTCCTGCCTCAGCCTTCCAAACTGCTGAGCTTACAGGTGTGTGCCACCCTGCCACCAACATCTCCTTTTCTTGACTAGATGCCTCAGGTTTTTACAAGCCTTTAGTTAATTTGCAGGGCTCTGAAAAAGTAGATTCTGACCATTTTTTGTGAGTTTTTTCATTGTTTTTATAGAAGGATAAACTTCTGGAGGCCCTTAGTCTGCCATTTTTTGCTCTGTCACTCTTACCGCATTTTTGCAACTGTGTCCTCTGGGACCAGAGTCTTGGCTGGGTAGCCCAGAATGGCATCTACCCCTATATCTGCAGTGGACCAGCTACAGAGGGTGCAAGGCTATGCAAAGATCGGAGATTTGGGGTCAGTCAGACTCTAAAGCCTCTCCCAATTGCTAACTTTTTCTGTCTCCTTTTACAGTACTTCTTTAATTGCTTAATACTTGGTAACCTTGTACTTGAACTTCATTTACATATTAGATTGTACAAAACACGTATGGGTTATAGCTTCTGTGTTAGTCAGCTTTCTGTTACTCTAACAAACACCCAAGATAATCAACTTATAGAGAGAAAAGGTTTATTTTAACTCATGGTTTCAGAGTTCCTAGTCCATGACTAACTGGACCCTATGGCTTTGGGCCCGTGATGGTACATCATGGCAAGAGTACTTATAGAGCAAAAATCATGGTCAAAATACAAAAAAAAGAAATAGGAAGGGTTGAAGTCTAACTGTCCTCTTTAAAGGCACACCTCTTAAAGGGTCCACCATCTCTTAATAGCACCATGGACTAGGAACAAAGCCTTTAATATGTCCTTCAAGGGACATTTCAGACTCAAACTATGGCAGCTTCCCTCCTGGGTCTGTGTGTGGCCCTAGGGGCCCTCAAATAAGTGTTCCTTCCTTAAATAAAATGGTGGCTCTGGGCTAGAGTTCTGGGATCTAGTGTTCAGGATTTCTGCATTGGAAGGACTGAGCCAGGGTGGTAAGAGAGGCCCAAGACCTGGGCACTGACTTGAAGCTGCTCTAACAAAACTTTCTGCCTAAACTTCCTAAGTCCTTGACTGGTCACAGCACAGCATGGCTCTTTGGTTCCTCCAAACTCAGCTTCTATATGCCCTTTAGCCCCAGGCACCTTTAAAAAATATTTGTTGAATTGATCAGCATTGGGTAACTTTGGAATTGGAGCGCGTTTATAAATGATATTGCACCCAATGCTTGAGGTCAGCTGACTGTATTTTGAGGTTGACCCCAGAGTGGTTAATGAGTACTTCCCCATGTTCGGAGGTGATGTGTGTTCCTTGTGGTGTGAGTGGCATCTGGGTGGCAACAGGGACCCTTCAAACTTTTCTCTCACCCCAGTTCAAGCCATCCGCTGTCTGGAATATTGGCTGCCGTCTCTTTCTTGGGGAAGAAGGAGGAAAATTCTATACGTGCTGTCTGAACTTACTAGAAAGGGTCTTCAAGGAAATGGAATCAGTGTTAAAATTTTTCTGTGAGTTCTCTGGATCTTTATTTTATTGTGGATCACAGTGACTGCTTGGCCAGAAGTGGCCACAGCCCTAGCACTGAACTTGGATGCTTTGACTTGGATGGCAAGTAATCCCAGCAATCTCTACAGGTAAAAAATCTTCTGCTTCTGCTCTTCTGGCAAGCCAGGGGACTGCCTTTCCTCTAAATTTTTAGGGTGTGAACTTCTTTTGGAATGCCTGGCTGTTTGTTGGTGGGGTTTTAGAGGACCTACCTGACTGCTCTCATCTAGGTGTCCTAAGTGGCATTGGTGGCTGGAGGATCTCAGGGATGGGAGCCAGGGAGAGAGCAAGTATCACTCCCTCATTAGTTTCTTAACTGTTTCCTGGATTCTGGAACTGGCCCAGTCTCACACTGCCCACCTCAGCAGGTTCAGGGGGCTCAGGGGTCCTTCCTGTGCCGGTGGCAGCCTGAGACCTGCTGGATACCCTCTCATTCTCACCTCAAGGCTGGTTTGGGACCTTCCCAACCCAGTCCCCTCCCCAGCTGGGACCCAACCCAGCCAGCCTCAGCTTTCACCGAGCTGCCCCCGCGGTGCGCGAACAATATCCTTTCTATTTGGAGTTGACTCTGCTGCCCTTTGGAGATCCCAGCGTGTAACCAGAGCTCCTGTCCCGCGGGGGAGGCGCCGCACGCCCGTCCCGTCGCGGTGCCTGGCGGAGGTGGCTGCGCCCGCCCGCCGCGTCTTCGCTCCCAGGCCGGTGGTCCGACGCCACATCCGCCAGGTCGCCTGCGTCCACGACGATTAGGCGGTGGCCCCAAGTCATGGCTGCCCGGCTAGGCGCGCTCGCCGCGTCGGGGCTGTACAGGAGGCGCCAGCACCGGCAGAGCCCGCCATCAGCTACCCCAGGGTAGGTGGCGAGAGGCTGGGCGGGGTCGCCGAGGACAATGGCAGGAAAACTGCAGTCGCTGGCCTTGTCTCGGAAACCCCGCCTGGGCCTTCCGACGGCTGGCCATGGGCCTTGCTCCCCAGGGCTCAGGTACAGGGCTGGGATTGACCACAGGGCAGGCGGGTGCCACTCTGTGAGATTGGGTTTGATGTCATTTGTGATCAACTTTTGGGGGGCAGTGTGCACGGAGGGTGTGTGTTAGAAATCAGTTGCCCTATGTCACTGCGCGTTGTTGCTTTCAGACTGGAACGGGTACTTGGAGTCATTGGCATCAAAGTGGCGGGGGGGGGGGGGGCCCGCAGGGGCGGAGGTAGAGAGGAATTGTGGGAAAGGGGGCTGAGATGGAGAGGAGGGGCTGGGGAGCTGCAGTCACAGACACAGGAAAGCCTGCAGCCCCTAGCGAGGAAAGGTGTCCAGCTAAATGCTAACCAGTGAGAAGAGAGCCACTCTGAGCTCCTTGCCTGCCCATGACCAAGGAAGGCTTTGACAGAGGGAGATAGAGGACCGAGCCCTTAGAGCTGTCTTCCAGGCTTGAAGAGGGAGGGAAGAGGGAAGGTATCAGGTGGGAAGGAGGACTCACAGCCTGCAGATCAAGCATCTGTGAAGTGCCTGCCACAGGCTGGGCTCACAGCTGCAGCTCCATCAGGGGCCGGATGAGGAACCCCTCCTCTCAGGTAGGTAACCTGAGGTTCAGGAAACCAAGTAACTCACCTGAGCATGGCTGAGCAGGTTAGCTTTTGACCCTGAGTGTACTTGGTGAGATCTGTGGTACCAGACCTGTGGATGGCCAGGGCATTGATGGCCCAAAGCTCATGCTGGAGAGTAATTTTTACAACATGAATGCAACACAATAACATGGCCAAGGTGTAAGGAGCGACCTGGGCCCGTAATGAAAATCAGGTCTCAGGAAGGTTCTACACCTCCACACACGTTTCTGCATCACTCGATTTTGTTTTTCTTTGTGATTTCCCTCATGCTTTTGGCCGGTTCCCTGCTCTCGGTGTGACATACTTAAAATGTACTTGATGAGGGGCTAGGGTTCTGGCTCCTTGGTAGAGCGCTCGCCTAGCACTTGTGAGGTCCTGGGTTCGATCCTCAGCACCACATAAAAATAAATAAATAACATAAAGGTATTGTGTCCAACTACAGCTGAAAAAAATATATATATATATTTTAAAAATGTACTTGATGATAGAAAACGAAGGTGGCAGAGTTGCAGAAAAAGCTCAGTAATTTGCGACAGGTTTCATGTGGATTTGTAATGTTCCTGTGTCACGTGTATAGCAAGCACAAACATTTGTAATGTTCCTGTGTCACGTGTAAGGCAAGCATCCCCATGGCAGAGGGTAAGTGGTGCTGACTTTGTGTAAATTCCTGTTTACTGTGTGCAGCCCGGTGACCCCTGACTTGGTCTCTGACCGGCCCCATGGGGGAAGGGCTGGGAGAAGGGCCAGCAGTGCTGCGGGGTTGGAAGCCGCGGGCTCTGGGACCTTCTGAGGCTGTGCTGCAGTGGGATTCCCTTCCCCCAGCACCTGAATAATTCCTGGGACAGCACAGGTGCTCAGTAAAGACCTAGCTGGAAGAGGGAAGAAGTGCCACTCACTGCCGTGGGCATCACTTCACTGAACCCTCCCAGCAAGCCTTGGATAAAGCTTTCCATTTCACAGATGAAGAAGTTGGGTTCAGAGAGCACTTTGCCGCTGGGAGCATCTGAGGCAGGTTGCAGCCTGGCTGTAGAGGACAAGCCACAGGGCTGACTGATAACCAGGATGATGTGGCCTCAGTAACCCTGGCTCATTGTGACCAGACCTGTTGTGGCTAGTCCCTTTCTCTCCCCAGGCCTTCTCACTATCTTTTAGGCTCTGATTGATGGGAGGCTGGCAGAGAGGAAGGTTGGGGGTTGAGTAAAAAAACAAGGTCTGGAAAGGGACAGGAGGAGACCTGAGTCCAATTTTGTGTGACCCTCAGCAGGCCACAGGTGTGACCCACTCTCTGTTTCAATCTCCTTATTTGGAATTAGCAACCTCTGCTCTCAAGGGCCTGCAGAGAAGGTTCCCGTCACCTCATTCATTGCAGTCAAACACTGTCAAACTCAGGGACATCTTGTGGCAATTTGGCTTGTGTTGGCTGGGGATGATGGTGCATACCTGTAATCCCAGCTACTCAGAAGACTGAGGCAGGAGGATGGCAAGTTCAAGGCCAGCCAAGGCAACTGAGGGAGACTGTCTCCAGATAAAAGTAAAAAGGACTGGGGAGGAGCTCAGTGGTAGAGTGTCCCTAGGCTTAAGCCTCAATACTGCAAAACAAACAAACAAACAAACACCAAATTTGGCTGTGTCATCTGTACAGATTGAAAGAGTTGGGGTGTGCAGGGGAGGGTTGGGAAGGGTGTTCACTCCCCCATCTCTGGGGTTTGTTCCCCTGGCAGTGTGCTGTGTGTTGTGTGGCTGGGGGTGGGGTGGCCATGTCTCCTTGGAGGACAGCTGGGCAGACTTTGTGCTCCCTGTTCTTGGGTGGAATGTGCAGAAGAGGGCGTGGAATGTCTGTGTCTCTGAACTTCTGCCCTCTTGCAGGCAGCCTGCAGGCCTGCCCCCCGGAACTGGCCCCATTGGAGGGACTCTGGAACGCTCCGAGTTGTTGGAAAACAACAGTCCCTTTATCCAGCACTTTGCCTGCCCGGCCCTGGCCTCTGTGCTTGACATGCTGGTGCCAGTCTTTCTTTCCTCCAGTGCCACCATGCAGCCACTGTTGCTCTGGTCAATTCTTTCAGGTGCAGCAACAGGTGGCTGGGCCTGTCGGGACTGGAGTTGGGTGGTGAGCCGCCGTGAGCTCCTGTCTGTGTTGCACACACAGTTCCTCTCTTCCTCCCCTGTGGGGAAAGCTCACACTTTATTTTTTTTTTTCCTGGTGGTGCTGAGCGTCAGTGGTCTGGGCTCATTCAGGTGTCTTTGCAGTGGGCTAGAATGTTCTGTGTTCTCAGGGTGGCATGAGGATGTAGCCATGAAAACTCCCAGAGCGCCCCGTGGGGTTTCTAGTGCCCAAGACTTGGGCTGGGGCATGAGTGGGTTTAGGAGGAGTGGGTTGTGCAGGAGTCTGTGCAAGGGAAGGGGGCAAATCCTCAAGTGGAGAAACTCAGGGACTCAGCCAGGGAACTAGGCACAGACCAGTGATGGGCCAGCCCCTCTGGTTAGGGGCTGGCTGCTGGGTGTCAACTTGAAGATGAAGCAAAAGGTAGAAGAACAGGGGCATGATCAGGCTGCTGTTTAGGGCCCTCGACACATGACAGTCGAGTGGCCTAGTGGAGGAGCTAGCTAGGTAAGGAGGGACAATTGCTGCTGCGTAGGGGCACAGCCATCCAGCAGCTACTGGACATGGGAGTTGGACCAGCTCAGCTGGAAGCCAGAGAGGGAGGGGCTGTCCCCAAGGCCAGCACCTGCAGCAGAGACCTGGGGTCTGCAAGGGGTCTTGGAGGGCAAGTGGAAGATGAGCTGTGAGCTCTCTTGGTCAGAGTCCAGAAGTCTGGGTTTTAAGGCAGGATCCAAAAGACTGGGGCTGGACTTGAATCCTTAATTTGGTTTCATTTCTGGGTCCTGGGAGGGGGACATTCCAGGCCCACAGTCACAGGATTTCCTGTTGATTTCTGACCTCTCCAAGACCCGCGAGGTCATGTTCATAGTCGGGCATTGGACCGTCTCCCCTGTCACCTTGGGTGTGTTCTTCCAGAGAGAAAGCTCAGAGTGTTCTCTAGGAAGGAAGTCAGGCCTGTCCCAACCGAGTCAGTGTACCCAGGGAGGTCAGTCATCCATCCCGAGGGACTGGCCTGCCTCGTGGAGAGCAGCAGGGAGCTGGGAGGACTGGGGAGCTGAGGCTGCTGTGTGCAAAGCCGTCCTTTCTTCTTTGCCTGTTCCTGATGTCTGCTACCACGTCCCTGTTTCCTTTCCCTCTGGTCTGAACATGGATACAGCAGGCGTCTCTGATTCCCAAAGCTCAGGATAGAAGTCTGGCCTGCCTGGCAAGTTGCCGATTGGCCTTGTGGCCCTGTACCTGCCACATAGGTCCCCAAGCGAAGACAGGAGACCCCTTCCCAGTTTCTAGTCTGTCTCCTTATGCCAGAAACCTGCTGTGACACTCACGGCCCACACTGAAGAAACCCAGTTCTTCTTTGCCCAGCCTTCCAGACAGGCACCAGTAATCCATGGGAGTGGACACTTGAGACAGAATCTATTTGCTGCCCCTCTAGTCAAAGATGCGGGTGTCAGGAGTTTGGATGGTCATAGGGGGATGGTGGGTGGTGTCGGGGCTACATGGTGACTGCACTTTTGAATCTGACCAGCCTCCTGGTTATGCCTCAGGGCCTCTGAGAGTGTGGGTCAGTTCAGTGTAGTCCCCTTTATCCACGGGGACACCCTCAAAGATCCCCAGTAGATGCCTGAAACTGTGGATAATACCAAGCCCCCCAAAGGCTATTGGCCTATACTGTACACATACACAGGACAGTATGGTCCACTGGATAGAGGAATGACTCACGTCCAGGGTGAGATGAGGAGCAGGGTTGTGTGGGATTTCAACACAAAACCTGGAATGGCACACAATTGAAAACTTATGAATCGTTTCTGGAATTTTCTTTCATTCAGTCTTTTTTTTCAGTGCTGGGGTAGAAATCAGGACCTGGTACATGCTAGGCAAGTGCTCTACCACTGAGCTGCACCTTCAGGCTAGAATTTTCTGTTTTCTACTATTTTCAGACCATGGTTGAAACCACGGACAAGGGAGTCTTCTGTAGTTAGGGTTTCAGTCCTCCCAGAGGGAAGACAACATAGATGAGGGGAATCTCCCCCAACTACACCCCCAGAGATTCACACTCTAGATGTCTTCATGATACAAGTTTTCTGTGGAAATAGTTGATTTGAAACTGACTTGTGGTGCGGAGGAAGGAACCTCCAACATCTGACAATTTCCATTCAAATCTGGACTCTGTGTTTTTTATACCTGCTGTGAGCTTGTATGTGTTATGAAACCTCTCTGAGTCTTAGGCCCATCCTCTGGAGCGACAGTAGCTATGGAGTTTCCTTGAGGATTAAATAAGAGTGAGAATACAAAGCCCGAGCCTTGGTTATATTCTGTACCTGAGACTAATTCCCTGAGGAAGGGGGTTTCTTTTCGGATGCAGGTTCTGCCGTGGCCCATGGTGGACCTTGGACGATGCTCACTCTCTCTGTGCTCTGTTCCTTGTCAGTAATTAGAGACACTACGCTGGCCTCCTGGGGCTGGGGTGGCCTTGTGGGAAATGCACGCTGTAGCCCCGGCCCATGCTGGGGCTTAGCAAGCCTTCACAAGTAGTTAGGGGACGTGTGTGGCCAGCGGAGCTGGTGGCCCCAGCTGGGCCAGGTGGTCTCAGCCTGGTGGTCCTGGAAGGTGAGCGAGTTTCCAGATCTCAGAGGCTGTTTCAATTGTTTAAGAAGCAGGAGGGCTATGGAGGCAGCCTTCCCTCCGGGCCTGACCTCCTCCCACGCCCTCTCCCCTCCAGCAACATGTCTGACGCCTTGGCCAACGCCGTGTGCCAGCGCTGCCAGGCCCGCTTCGCGCCCGCGGAGCGCATCGTCAACAGCAACGGGGAGCTGTACCACGAGCACTGCTTCGTGTGTGCCCAGTGCTTCCGGCCCTTTCCCGAGGGGCTCTTCTATGAGGTGAGGATGCTCGGGGTCAGTAGGACTCTGCCCACCCCCTGGGAACTGACCAATGATAGGTCCACATCTTGAGCCGCACCTGTGTGGGCCTGTCTGTCAGCTGTAACATGTGAGGCCACACAGGTGACTTCACAACCTCCTCTGGGCAGAGACCAGCACGCCCTGGTGGCAGGAAGAGGCTGCCCTCTTAGCACTTGGCCTCTGTTGGGAACAGACGGTAAGTAGTGACTCGATGGTGCATCTATTGTGCCCTGGTCGTAAGGAATCCAGGGCAGGAGGTGGGCGACCAGGGCAGGTCACGTCTGAGCAGAGTGGAAAGGCGGGGAGCCACCTGTGCATCCGCAGGTAGAGCACTCATAATGACACAGCATGTGCAAAGGCCCGTGGTGGTGGGGGGTGCGGGGTGTTTGGGGAACAGTAGGAAGGCCATCGGGGAAGCAGAGGGAACAGGAGAATGGCAGGAGATGGGGACGACAGGGAGATGGATCTCCTTTGGTCCTGTAGAGCCATATAGAACCTTAGGCTTCCACTCCGCAAGAGACTGGAGTAGGAATGCAGAGTCACACGGTGTGCCTGATCTTGGAAAATGACCCCTCTGGTTGCTGTGTTAGAGGAGACTGTCAGGGGGCCGGGGACAGAAGCTGGAGGCCAGGTGGGACCCGGAGTTGGGTTATTACAATGATCCAGATAAAAGTGAAGGGACCTCAAGTGGCTGTCACCAACTCATAGGAGCAGGTTGTTAAATCTTTAGTCTTGCAAAATGATTATTAAATAGTCATCATTAAAAAATTAAGTTGTGGAAATGCATAAATTGAAGAAACATTTTATTAAAAACAAAGGTGGGGCTCAGTGGCAGAGCACTTGCCTGGCAAGTGTGAGGCACTAGGTTCCCTCCTGGCACCACATCAAAACAAATAGAGGCCTTGAGTCCACACACAGCTAAAAAAATACTTTAAAAAACCCCACAAAGGTAACATATATGTAAAACTCCCCACTTCCTAATTATTTTGTTACATTTTACTATCCTCTATGCTTCCCCGGTTATTTCTGGCAGTTATTTCTATCCTTCCTACCTCCAAGGCAGCCAGTGCCCATGTCTTCCCGACTGGGTCTGTGTCACGTTGGCAGCTGGAATTCACCCTGGGGGGATGATGTTTTCACCAACACTATGCATCAGCCACCTCCCTCCATGCCACCGAGAGCTGGTTGTTACACACTTACCAGCACACCACTGACGGTGGCAGTGGAGGTGAGGACCAGGGACTGGGGGTAGATGCTGGGTAGCTTTTGAGGATCCTAAGGGATCGTTGGTGGATGGATGTGGGTGTGCGATCTGCCTTGCACAGTAGCATTCTTGGGGTGCCTCCTAGCCTCCTGGGGAGTGCTGGCCAGCCGTAGAGGCAACGGGAGGAGTAGACGGTTCTGAAGGGGCCATGTGCCTAGAACAAAGCCTGGCATACAGTAGGCGCTCAGACATGACTGCAGGATGAACTTAAACCATTGCCTCCCCAGGTCACTGGGTAGGGCTGCAGTCGAATAGGCACTTGTTATAGAAAACAGAAAAGCCAGATTTTTAAACAAGAAAAAAATTGTTCAGGGAGAGGGAGACAGAAGCAAGCTTTGACATCCTTGGGCCAGTGCCTGGTCTTCGCTGCCAAAAAGTGGCTCCACGGGGGTGTCCACACCCACTGGCTACAGGACTCAGTTGTGCCTCCATTCCTGCACTCCCCTCCCTCCGTCAGACCCTCCTGTGTCCCCTTTTTAATTCTCTTCACTCTTTTGTGACCTCTGGATTTCCCATACAGAAAGGACACAGGAAATAGGGCAAAGAGATGCATATGATTTGAACTTGACCTCATCTCGTCCCGGCTTAAGCTCCTCCTGCAGTCTGGCCTGCTCTCGGGACCCACAGGGCCACCATCCTTAACACGCAGCAGGGGCCCTCAGAGAGCTGGCCTTGGGGACTTCTGCAGTGGTTCCTATGGAAGCCCCTTTCTGGGCACCTCTTTGTATCATGAGGCCCCACCCCCTGCTCTGGCTTCTGGAATGCCCTCCTCTCAGTTCCACACCCATCCATCCCTGCCATCAGGTCCTGACCCAACAAAGCAGGGGTACGGGTGTGGAGGAGGCTCGTGGGAATGATGGGTGATTTACTGGTCTTGTCTGTGGCCCATTTGCAGTTTGAGGGCCGGAAATACTGCGAACACGACTTCCAAATGCTGTTTGCCCCGTGCTGCGGATCCTGCGGTGAGTCCGCTGCTGCCTGGGAAGTGGGAGGTGGGCGGGTGAGGGCCCTGCAGTGGAGTGCCCACGGGCCTGGCCTGCTGGGTGGAGGGGCTCTTCCCTGCCCACCTTGCCCGTCTCTGAGCATTTCCCTTCCAGCCCTCCGTAGGCACCGCCTTCCTGTGCTGCAGGCAGGGTTCCTTGGACCAGGCTGAGCTTGGAGGAGCGCTGATGTGGACAGGGCCTGGCAGGGGCCAAGTCCTGACCAGCAAGCAGGGACCTCTCTTCTTCCAGGCGAGTTCATCATTGGACGCGTGATCAAGGCCATGAACAGCAACTGGCACCCGGGGTGCTTCCGCTGTGAGCTGTGTGATGTGGAGCTGGCCGACCTGGGCTTTGTGAAGAACGCGGGCAGGTGAGGAGCCACAGGGGGCACAGGCTGAGCCCCAGGCCCCTCCAGGCTCCCTGGCCTATACTGATGTGGCTACCGACTCCCTTTTGTACCTCCAAGGTGATCAGTACACCCCCAGTTTATAATGAGGAGTGAGGCTGCAGAGACAAGGGATGCGGGGCAAGAGCAGAGCCCCCCTGGGCTTGGCAGTGTTCCTCAAGGACAGCAGAAGGCAGTGGGGACAACAGCCGTTGAGCAGGAGCCATGAGGTGACGGTGGGTGAATAAGGAGCTTTGAGTTGAGCTGACACCCTCGGGGCCTCCCCTGCATGCGGAACCCAGCTGTCTGCACCCCCAACTATAGACTCACGTGACTGAAGGTCGCTGGAGAGAAGTCCCCCCAATCAGGACCATACATTCACCAGCACACAAGTAGTTCCCACCTTCAAGAAGCCTTATGATTCTCCCCACCCTTGCCTTTCCGCTCTGCCGACCTCTACATCCCTCTCTAGAGTGATAGTCTTACCTCCCTCCTCCCTAGGGACGAGTTCTGGGGTGCCCCTACCCACACCTGTGTAGCTGCAGCCCTTTCCAGCGCACCTGCCTGCTCCACCCAGGAGCCCCCACTACCCTAGTGTGCTCCCTGTGGCCACCGTGGGCACTGACAGGTCTCCCAGTGGCTCTCACGGCAACGCCCCTCCTTCAGGTGGAAACGCCTCTTCTCCCCGTGAGAACCCATATCTCATGGTTTCCCCCTCCCTCATTCTCTTCTCCTCTGGGGCTTTGTGCTTGGCCCCTCATGTCTGCCTTTGAAGACAGGCCTGAGACCCTGATGGCCTGTCTGGATAGTTAAGGGCACCACCCCAGACTTCTTCCTACCAGTACTCAGTGGTCCACATGGCTGTTCCCTGGGGGGCACCTAGGCATCCCAAATGCAATGGGTCCCACCCCGAGTTTCCAGCTGGACGCAGTGGCCCACGCTTGTAATCCTAGTGGCTTGGGAGGCTGAGGCAGGAGGATCGTGAGTTTGAGGCCAGCCTGCACAACTCAGCGAGACCTTGTCTTAAAATAAAAAAGGGCTGGGAATGCAGTGGTGGAGTGCCCCTGGGTTCAATCCCCAGTATGAAACAAAAAGCAAACCACTGAACTCCGCTGATGACCAAGTCTGCCTCTCCGTGTCCCCACATCAGAAGAGGCAGCACTGCCCCAGAGACTCCCTAGCTGTCCATCTGACTGCCACACCCTCTCCCATGTAGGTACTTGGTTTTCTGCTGCAGCACCTCCCCTGTCCCTTCCTGATGTGGCCTGCAGTGATCTTGTCCATTTACTGCTTCATGAGAAAAACGTGGCCTCACGTCATTCTTGGTGTCTGCAGGGCGGGCACAGTGCTTGGAGCTCTGCAGATTGTCTGGGTGAGGGGCTGTGGGGCACTGACGGCACAGTGCAAGAGCTGAAGGACAGCCGTTGACCACTGGGGTCACCAGCCAGGTGTGAGCTTGGAGGGAGTCCTGTCCCCTCCTGAGCCAAGGCTTGCACAGGGCCACTGCCCCATTCACTGGTTGGGAAAATGAGAAGAGGCCAAAAGTGCTTTGAAAAGTAGCATGTGGTAGAAAAGCTGTAATGACAGGGGACAGGGTGGCAGCCGGGGTGCTGAGTAGTGAAAGTCCTCGTTTGGACCCTCCTGGCTCAGGCAGGCGTGGGTGGAAGGCGTGGGCCACCAGAACCTTGGCAAGGGAGCCCCCGCAGCTGCCCCAGCCTCTGCTTGGCCATTCTTGGGTTGAAGGGAAGAGAAGTTCTGGGAAGGGCATCACGTTGAGCAGACACAGTAGCCTCCGTCAGCTTAAAACTACAATTCAGTTTATGATCAGTACAAACAAGTACAAAAAAGGACATGTTAGGGGGACGCATGCAGGCTACCAAGCGAGACAGCTCAAAACTGGGTGGGCAGAGGCTGGTTGAGTCCCCTCAGGAGGAAATGGGACTCAGGATGCCGCTGCCAGGTCTGGATTAGCAGGATACACACCGCGCTCCTTTTGCTGAGAGGCTCTAGGGATTGTCAGACCACAGGCAGGTCTCTGTGTAGTTTATAACAGGAGGGATCAGGATGAATGTGTTCTGCAAACCACATTTGCTGGGTGTCACATGGCAACCAGTCTGAATATACTTACGGCGTTTAGCTACAATTTATAGTCCATCCCCCAAAAATTCAGAAAGGGCTCTCTGGCAAAGGCACTGCAAAGGGAACTCCTTGTACCGTAGACACTGTTCCTACTCCTCCACTGAGATTCATGGGTGCCTCTTCTCCTGAGTCCTTTGCAGCCTTCCTTCTGGGCCTTTCTACGTGGCCTCCCTGCTGTGCATTTCTGTAAGGAGGGAGGCTGGCAGTCTAGTGGGGGAAAGAAAGACCCTCAGTGTTCTGGAGTTGTCCCTCTGGGTCCCCTCCCCCTTTCCATGGGTGAACTCACTGGGTGTCTGGGAGCGACTAGGAAGCAGAGCCAACAGTCCCTGCAGAGGGATGGCCTCTCAATCCTCATTGATTCTTCTTCTTTTTTAGGGGTTCTGTGCGGTTAAGACCCAGCTCCGGTCTGGGTGACCTGGAAGTTCAGACCTTTGGGAGGGACGAGTAGGGACCTGCTGAAACAGGTGGTTTGCTCAGGGAGATTGGAGAGTGGGCAGCCTTCTCTTTGCTGAGACCAGTGTCACCCACCCCAAGGGGACCCTCCTCCTACAACAGTCTGTGGCCCACCCAGGGACAGAGCCTCGGGCTCACAGCTCTGACCTGGCACTCAGCGAGCTCTCGTTGGTTTTCCCTTCAAAGCTAGGGGGCGGACCCGTGAGCCTTTTGCCGCAGAGCAAATTGCACAGGGCGTGACGGAACTTCTCAGCCACGAAGAAGTACATGACAGGGTCGAGGGCCCCATTGAGGCTGGTGAGACAGGAGGTGATGCGGTTTCCCAGGGCCAGGACACGCTGGGCGGTGCAGGAGGTCCCGCCACCCCGGTAGTGCAGCACATAGATGGAGCGGTGGACGTGGTAGGGCACGAAGCAGATCAGGAAGATGGCCAGCACCATGGCGATCATGCGGACGGCTTTGTTCTTGAGGCGCTTCTCCACGCGGGGGCCCTGTCTCAGGCTGCGGATGATCAGCAGGTAGCAGGTGACCGTTGTGACAAACGGGAAGGTGAAGGCCACGGCGAGGGACGCCAGGGCGTGGTGGGAGGCCTTCTCTCGGTACAGCTGCAGGCAGACAACTGTGTGGTTGGTCTGGACCGTCTGTGGGCTGACCAGTAGTGGAGCCATGGCCACAGCCACTACCACCCACAGGAAGGCACAGGCTAAGTGGGCATAGAGAGGCCTGCGTAGCTTGAGGGACTTGACCGGGTGCACGATGGCCAGGAAGCGGTCAGCGCTGATGCAGGTGAGGAAGTAGATGCTGGCGTACATGTTGAGGTAGAAGAGGAAGCCGGTGAGTCGGCACGGGATTTCCCCAAATGGCCAGTGGTTCCCAGAGAAGTGATAGACGAGGCGGGTGGGCAGGACCAGCACACAGGACAAGTCGGCCACGGCCAGGTGCATCAGGAACACGTTGGCTGGGGTGCCTGACTTGTGGTCCCGGATGAAAAGCCACAGGGCCAGGGCATTGCCAACAAAAGCCAGGATGAAATCCAGGAGGTAGAAGCAAGCGAACAGCATGTTCTCCAGGGGCGTCTCCTGCCCACATTGCTCAGTGGTCAGAGATGAGTTGTCGGTCAGACTTGGGGAGGCCACCTCGAGGCCATTCATGCTTTGGCTGGAGGCAGAGCAGGGGACAAACATGGAGTGAACAAACAGGCCAGAGAGAACCCAGGCTAGCTAGCGAAGCTTTGCCCTCCAGAAGTCACAAGTAGGACCTCTGATGACTTCAGAACTTCCCACCCCTAACTGAGAGGAACATAGCTGCTCTGAGCGGAGCATTACCACCAGGACTGCTGAGAACCCCTGTGCCCATTTAGGGGTGACTAATCATCAAAGGCATTCTGAATTTTAGCAAAAGGTCAAAGCAAAACTGGGACTTGAAGCTTTCCCCCTGAGTAGCTGTGTCCCTGCCGAAGTGGCCCAGGGCCAGTGCTGGGTGACCCAGAAATCTGCAGCTCCTCCCCACATTCTACCCCACGCTGTACTCCCTCAGGGCAGGGAGGGTGCAGTCAGCACTGTAATGGGGAGATGTGAGCTCCGACTGCATGAGGCTCTGGAGGGCAGGGAAGGGCCCCATATTTTCTGTTCTCCCTTCAGGTGTGCCATCTGAACGGCAGACGGTGGCCCTCATTACCACTGACTGGGTGGGCTGTTTCTGAGAGCTGGGTGCTTGAAGCCTGCCAGTTCCTTCAGCCTCAGTCTTTCCAAGTGAACGCCACTCCCCTTGAGTCCCAGAACCCTCCCTGACCTGTCTGCTTGGACCTTCTGGCACCCCTGCAGCCCCTGACCACGGTTCCCCCAGCACCCGACCTTCAGGAGGGCTTCCTCAGGAATTCAGCAAGGGTCATGTCCTGGGAGGAAGCCAGAGGCCTACTCTGTCCACCAGCATCTGCGAGTGGACTCAGCCCACCAGTTCTGTTTTGGACATCCCACTGGGAGGAGGCCTGGATTGAGGAAGACACTGTGCTTTGACCTCAGGCCAGCAGGATGTGTTTTCCCACCAGGTTGTTCCAACATCAAGAAGCGGGATCTTTTCAGGAGGTCAAGGGCCTAACGGCAGAGAGACTGGCTAGGTTTTCCCTGGGAAGATCTGCAGCCCAGAGAGGCCTGGGAGGCTGCCTGAGGACTGTGGTCAGAGCCCTCCCTTGCTAACAAAGTGAAGTCCAGATCCTTATCGGTGCCCCCACCCCTCCCCAACAGACAGGGCAATCTGTTCTGTCTTGATTTAGTCCACTTAAAAGATCCAAGAGAGAGAAGAAGGAGAGTCCCAAACACCTTGCTTCTTTTGCCCAGGACTGGGAGCTGGGGATGTGGGCAGGAGAGGGTAGATGATGGGGCCAGAGCAGCCCACAGCCTAGGGTGGGGCAGGAGACTGGACGTGGCTCAGGAGGCCAATGCTGACCCTGACTTCTCATCTCTGGTCTGTCGGAACCCAGAGCTAGGAAGGGGTTGAGCTGGCTGCCCTCTACCCTGGGCAGCCAGTTGGACCTGGATTGTGCTCTACAGTGCATTTGTCACCTGGCCCCTCCAGGAGGTCAGCTCACAGGTATGGCCCCCACCCTCCCCCATACGTGGCATGGTCAGGGCCTGCTTCCTCTTGTGTATGCTAGTTCTAGGAGGTTGGCATCAGGCGCTCCATTTTACAAAGGGGGAAAACAGGGCTTGGCGTTTGCTTTCCTGCCTGAAGTCACATAGCAGGGGGCAGTGGCCCTGGAGTTGGAAGTTGGATCAGAGAGACCCAAGGCTCCCAGGACACTACCTCTGGAGACCCACGAGGGCTCCGTGCCCAGAGCCAGGAGTGTGGCTTGTCTCAGAGCTCATTCTGGAGTCATCTCTGGCTCAGTGTCTCCTTCTTGGGACCTGGCTGAAGGACTGACCACCTAATTTGGGGGACCAATGTGAAATGACAATGTGTATTCCTTGCTTGAAAAGTAAGATTTTCAAGACATGACAGCAGAGCATTAAACCACTCAGGGCTCCGAGTGTGTGACTATAGGGCTCACACCCCAGAGCGCTGGGTGGGCTGTGGCATCCAGTTCTGCCTTGCCTTCTGCCAGGTGGCCTTGCCTGTTGATGCTACCCTTGGCCTGCCACCTAGGAGACTGTGGATACTCACTATCGGTGACCGAGACTGTCTGGGTTGTTTCTGTTTTGCTGTGATTTCTCCTACCATTTCTCTCACTCCCTTGTCCCTTAGAAATTGGAGCCTCAGCCTGGATCTACTGGGTCCTCCGGGCTCACTCTGCTCAGACAGTCACAGAGCATGTGCTACTAAGAGCATTGTGGAGTATGGCCTGGACCTGGGGCAGTCTGGGCCCCGTGGCTGCAGGTCAGATGGGCCTTGGGCTTCCGTGGAGGGGCCATACGGGCAGACGCGGCTGGAGGAGGAAGCCATGGGGGCAGTACTGTGGTTGGCAGAGGTAGTTTTCTGTACATTGGTCACCAGTCCCTTCCTGGCCCGAATCTGGCTCTTTCTTGTGCTAAGAAAGCCTTGTGGCCGTGGGTGCTGGCTGACTGTCACTGCGGCATGTTCCTGTGGGAAAGTCCCCTGTCCTTTATAAGCTCCCAACGGAGGGGCAAAAACACTGCATTGCAGGTGGCTGTGAGTTCAGCTTTGGCCTAGCCATTATCAAGGAGACAGGGACAAGAGATGCCCCGTGTTCACCAGCAGGGTGACTCTTGGACGCCCTGCCTGCCCGCCCCGTCCTGCTCCTTACCTCTCACAGCTGGTCCAGGAGGAAGGGACAGGAGCTGGGGTGGCAGGTGAACTGTGGGCGCTGGCGGTGGCGTCGGCGGTGGCCTCTGTGCAGCTGCGGGTGGACGGCTGGCTATTTAAGGAGAGGAAGGGAGCCTGCAGCCCCTCCAGCCCTGAAAGGCTACTTCATTCCTGAGGGGTCCCTTGTGGGGTGGGCTGCTCCTCCGGCTGCCTCTGCCGCAACGGGGCCGTGAATATTCCAGTGTCCCCAGCCTGTGCGCCCCCCTCCCAGCTTGGCCACTGAGCGTCACAGAGGCTGAGTGTGTGACTGCCTTGGGAGCCTGGGAGTGGGTGACGGCTGGGGCTGGGTGGGGGGCTCTGACTGAAGCTGACAGACACAAGGGGACATTTCAGAAGGGGATGGTTTCCTACTAATGGGGGGCAGGGAGGGGCCAGCCACCATGGCAACAGGCCCGCGCTCCCAGGCCTGCGCTGGGTGGGCGGGAGGGGGTGTCCGTGAATGCAGAGGGCGGGAGGCTGAGGAGTCTTGTTGGGCGGAATGAGAGGGGATTCTTTCAGGACACTTGCTGTACGGTCCTTGTGTCCTGCCCTGTATAATTAGGCTCCGTTTGGGCATGTGGAATAAATCATGGCCTTTATGTGGAATCAAGCACAGCTGCAGGCCGCCTCATAATGGGGCGCTGTCTGTCCCGTGGGGACGCAGCTCAGCCCGGCAGGCTCAGCCCTCGCCGGTGTGGATTCTTCCTCAGCACAGAAGGGCCATCAAGAGAGCCACTGCAGCCCACTGACTGCTGGCTCCTAAGACTCCTCTATGGTTTGCTCGAGGCTGGAGCCTGAGCAATTTGGGTATTGCCAGGATGGCCTCTCCCAAGACTGAATGAACCAAGCTAATTTCTCTCCATCTTTGCAAAAGACCTGGAGAACCAAATCAGCAATCATGGTTTCAAAAGACTTTTAAGTTGTTATTTAAAACTGTATGTGGCTGGCACTTGGGGAGTGCCTACCATGTGCACCATCTGAAATTTGCCTTTTTGCATAACCCTGTGCATCTGGATTATTGCCCCATTTTGTAGGCAAGGAACCTGAGGCTCAGAGAGGTGAAGTAACCTACTCAGTGGCAAATGCCAGAAATTGACAGAGCCAGGGTTTAAACCCAAGCCTGTGTCACTCCAGAAGTTATGCTTTCTGTGCGTGTTCTGTGTGGGTCTTTTTTTTTTTTTTTTCAGTACTGGGGATTGAATCCAGGGGTGCTTAACCACCAAGCTACATCCCCATCCCTTTTTTTGTGTGTTTTATTTAGAGACAGGGTCTCACTGAGTTACTTAGGGCCTTGCTAAGTTGCTGAGGTTGGCTTTGAACTCGTGATCCTCCTGCCTTAACCTCCCGAGCCACTGGGATTACAGGCGTGTGCACACAAGGCTGTGTGGTTCTCTTTTGCTGCTATATCTTAATGCTAGAATTCTTAGGTTCCATTTGAATTCTACCTGGAAAAAAAAAAATTCCAAAGGTCCTGTTTGGATCTGGTGCTGGGATTTGGGTCTATCCTGAACCTGTTTCCCAGCTGGGGTGTCTACAAGAGTAGGGGGCTCCTCTGCCCTGCCTGTGAGCCAGTGGGTAAGCAGGTATCTGAGCCAGGGTAGAGGTCCCTTTCCTGTTGTGCTCTGGGTGGGCTGTCTGGAAGAACTGACTCACACTGGGTGAAAATGTGGGTGTGTGCTGGGTGCAGTGGAACACGCTGCCATCTTGGCAACTCAGGAGGCTGAGGCAGGATTGCAAGTTCAAGACCGGCCTGGGAAACTTATTCAGTCCCTATCCCAAAATAAAAGATTAAAAGGCCTGGGGGATGTAGCTCAATGTTAAAGTGCCCCTGGGTTTAATCCCTAGTAACACACACACACACACACACACACACACACACGAAGAAAGAAAAGGAAAAAAGAAATGTGGGCGTTTCTGGGTTCCCCCTGACCTGCCCTTCCACTTCCTTAATGCCAGGGATTGAACCCAGTGCCTCATACATGCTAGGCAAGTGCTCTTCCACTGAGCCACCCCCCGACACACACCAACAGACTTTTCATTATCGAGGTAACTCCTGATGGAGGCTTGAAGGGCGTTGACCATTGCAGTGGAATTTGGGAAGTTGAGCGAATTTCTACAGCTTTGAAATAGAGTTATTCTATATGGTTGAATGTTGTCCTCATGCTAAGGAGTAATCACCAAAATTGGGAGTGGGACTATGGGGAATAGAGACTGACTGTGACAGAGGCAGGGGGAGTGGGCTGGTCACAGTCGGTGGCTGGGTGGGGCGGATCAGCCCTAGGCCAGATGTGGAGGTGGTGTGGGTGGGGGCTGGGGCGTAGGTGTCTGGGTGTGGGTGGGATCCCTGGATCATGTTGATGAAGGCTGCTGCTACAGGCCACATCTGCTGCCCACTGTGGGGTGGGGAGAGCCAAGGGCCCAGGCCAGGCTTGGCCATGTCACAGGGAGATGATGCCCACGGTCCTTCCCTTCTTGTATTGCGCAATCACTTGTTCCCTCACATATTCAATAAGCTGATCCTGAGCCACTGCCCCATGCTGGGCACCCAGCATCTGGTGGAGGCACAGCCGGCAGCCAGGCGGATTTTAGTTAGCGAGTGGTTCCCAGGACCTCTCTGGGACATGCCCCCTGGTAAAGTAGGACTCTGGGGCAAGTAAAGAGCAGGGAGCTGCGGGATGGAGTCCAGATCCAAACAGACACAGTGGGCTTGGGGGTCCAGGCTGGGGACACTGAGTTGACTGCCCACTCTCACCTGGCAGGGAGGTTTTGAATGAGAGTCAATCCTTTATGTAAACTCCCAGCTTATAAAAGGAGCCAACATTGGGGTTGCCGTGTGGAGGACAGAAGGGTGAAGGGGCGTGGATTGGGGGCCTGGGAAGGAGGGTCTGGCTGCATCAGGAGCACATTTAGATTGGGGTGGCAGGTGGGGATCAGAAACAAGGGGCGCTGGATTGCCCTCTTTGTCTGTCTTTGCCTGAGGACCCTGAATCTAAATTCTTGCCTCCTTTGAGGGAGGGGAAACAGAAACCATGTTGATTTCTTACTCAGTTGAGACCACAGCTGTGGAGTAGCATCAGAAATGACTCTGAGGTCTTCACAAAAAAGACTCTGTGATGACAGTCCTGGGTTTGGGGCCTCCGTCTGACACAGCCGCACTTGTCTTTGGAGACAGAAGGTGCCTGTACACGTTAGGACCCCTTTTTATCTGGTGGACCCCAAAGGAAAGGACGAGCCTGTTGTGTGGTCCTGTGCTTCGTGGCCACTCTGCTGGGCACGATGGGGTTTTGAAACTAACCTTCTCTGTAGCTCCTGTTAGGACATTTGAGACATGAAACTGATTTTCCAGCAAATGTCAATTAAATGTCTATTCTGTTCCATATACTATCCTAGGTTCAGGAAAAGTGGAAACATACCACTTTTAAAAGAAGGAACATACTAGCCAAAGATAGAAAAACAGGAACATTCTGCTGTATGCCTAGTCTTTTTCCTGAGCACAGGAGGCCACTTCTTTTAAAGGATGCACCTGTGCCGCCCTGGGCCCTCTTTTTAAAGGGTGCACCTGTGCCCCCCTGGGCAGCTTACTTTCCTGCTTTCTGGGATGAGCCTCATTGAAGCCCCAAGGCTCTGGCTCAGGCTGCAGGCAGGGTCCTGGGCTCTCTTCTACAGGTGGCCTGGCCATCCTGGGAGCAGGAGGTATTGACCTGCCCCTAACAATACCCTCACCTCCCACAGGCACCTGTGCCGACCTTGCCACAACCGTGAGAAGGCCAAGGGCCTAGGAAAGTACATCTGTCAGCGGTGCCACCTGGTCATTGATGAGCAGCCCCTCATGTTCAGGAATGACGCCTACCACCCAGATCACTTCAGCTGTACCCACTGTGGGTAGGTGCCTATCCTGTCCCTGGGGTGGGGGCAGGTGGACAGCATGGCTGTCAGAGAGCAGGGATGGTGGGATTCGCACCTAGGTCAATGCTGAGGCAGGAGAGGTGAACCAGGTGGGCAGAGAGGGTATCCACACCATGAGGTGAGGAGCTGCAGGGAAGAGGTAGAATGGGGACCGGAAAGTGGCCGGGACCAGAAGCTCCTCTCTCCAGGACTCTGTTCAGGGGGTAATTGAGATTTGGGGGGCAAAAGCGGGAGGTTGGCCCCTGAACTGCAGAGACCATGGCTGAGACTGAGTAGAGAGGTAGGGGTAGAGAGTGAGGTTGGTGCTGGTGTGGGAGAGGGACGAGGAGTTATTCCCTCAAAGTCTCTTCTGGTCCCTTCTGTGCCTGTCCCAGACACTCAGTCTGCTTTGGAGGAGGAGGGAGGTCTGAGAACAGACCTTCCTCTCAAAGGGCTGATGGGGCAGAACACAGGGGCCCTTCTGCCAGGCCTGTGGGGGAATTCTGTGCTCCAGGGCCTGTCTGGGGCTCATACAGGAAGTCTCCAAAAAAACCAAAGATCAGAGAGTTTCGGCTCAGCTTGAGTGGGGCCTTTCAGGGCACAGTGCCTTTGGGCTAGAGAGGCTGGAGTGACCCTGCCAAAGGTCAGGGGTGACACCTGGAGGAGTCTGTGCTGTCTTCCAGGAAGGAGCTGACTGCCGAGGCCCGGGAGCTGAAGGGTGAGCTCTACTGCCTACCTTGCCATGACAAGATGGGGGTCCCCATCTGTGGGGCCTGCCGCCGGCCCATTGAGGGCCGTGTGGTCAACGCGCTGGGCAAGCAGTGGCACGTGGAGGTGAGACTGGCAGAAGCATGAGGCTTCAGGTTGAGGGGTGCCCCCATTCACAGCCCCCTTCACATCCCAGCCCATGCTGTGCACCGACTCCTGGAGAGGCCCAGCCTCAGGAAGCTGCCCCTCTTGTGCATGGCCAGGGACCGCAGCTGTCCATAGGCGCCGGAGACCTGAGCCCACAGGTCTTGATCAGGCAGCCACGTCCACCTTTCCTCTTCCACCTCCTGCATTTCAGAGGATTCCAGAGTTGGCCAGAGGCACCCCGAGGGGTTATGGTGGATAAAATCAGCCGAGTGCAGTCTCAAGGAGACGAGGCACTGGTCGGCTGCCCAGGTGTGCACACTGGGGTCACCTGGAGCTCTCACCCCTGGACCGAGGGCTTTAGTGTTCTTATAGACACACTTGGAAAGGAGGTTTGTGTTCCCCGGTGGCCTGGCCATCTCTGTGTCCAGAAACTATGTATTGGGTGGCCTCTTTGAGAAGGTCCTATGAGAGACTGTGGGCCATGCTGCCCTGACCCAGGCCCTGGCCTGTGCCCCTGGGGGAGGTGCATCCTCACCCATGAAATGGCTACAAACCACCTCTCAGTGACCCTGTGTCTGTGGAGGACACCCCAGAGGCACCCTGAGGGAGAGCGGGGCAGCTCCCACCCGTGAGAGGCCACCACACTGCAGCACCTTGCCAGCTCCTGGCTTCTTGGGCTGAGGTTGCTCGGGGAACCCCAGGCTGGGAGAGGACAGTGACGAGGGATGTCACCGTGTTCAAGGAGGACCAAGGAGTCGCCCACCCCTCTTCCCTTCCCTCTGCCTCCTGGGGTCACTGCTCTAGCCCTGACACCTCCCCAGCCACCCTCTCTCCTCCCAGCACTTTGTCTGTGCCAAGTGTGAGAAGCCATTCCTGGGCCACCGACACTATGAGAAGAAGGGCCTGGCCTACTGCGAGACCCACTACAACCAGGTAGGTGGTGGGGCGAGCCCACAGCACACAGGTCTGGGTGGACAGCTGGGGGTCGCAGTGGGTCCAGGTGGACGGCTGGGGGTCGTAGGGGGTCTGGGTACATGGCTGGGGGTTGTAGGGGGTCTGGGTGGATGGCTGGGGGTCATAAGGTGTATAGGTGGATGGCTGGGGGTCTCAGGGGATCTGGGTGGATGGCTGGGGGTTGCAGGGGGTCTGGGTGGATGGCTGGGGGTCATAAGGTGTCTAGGTGGATGGCTGGGGGTCTCAGGGGCCTGAGGGTGGTGGGCTGGGGCTGTCGTGTGAGCAGGAGAGGCTGTGGGCAGTGCTCTGAGAGCCCGTGGAGGGGCTGAGGCCAGGCCTGAATCCCAGCTTAGACTTGAGACATGAGCAGCTTTCTCCGCTCAATGTCCTTATTTAAAAACTGTGTGTCTGTGGCCCATACCTTTGTGAGGACCCAGCCAGATAACAGTGTGCGGTACCAGGCAAATGGGGTGACAGCCAGCCTCCTCTTCCTTAACTACTGCTCTGGTGAATAGGTGGGGACAGCCCATAGCCCTCCCGGTCACCAACAGGAGCGACAGCACTCTTGGGGAGCAATGCCTTCACCTTGTTCTTTCCCAGGGATGGATGTAGTGGGCCCCGTGCCCCCACCCCAAGCCTGAGGCTGTGCCTGGTGGGAAGGCTTCAGGGGATGCCTGAGAGTGGCCATATTGGGGGGCCTCAGGCTGGGGTCTGCAGCCCGCACTGATACTCTGCTCTGTCCACAGCTCTTTGGGGATGTCTGCTACAACTGCAGCCATGTGATCGAGGGTGATGGTGAGGCCCCTCTGTCCCTGAGTCCCTCCCACCCCCACCCCTGCGCTCCCTCCGGGCGGTGGGTTCTGCAGCTGCTGGCCCAGCTGGCTCTGGCTTTGCACAGCTGGGCCTGCAGCTGACCTGCTAAGCCCCCTTCTGCCCTCGCAGTGGTGTCTGCCCTCAACAAGGCCTGGTGTGTGAACTGCTTCTCCTGCTCCACCTGCCACAGCAAGCTCACCCTGAAGTGAGTCCACCTACTGCCTCCTACCTGCAGGGGCGTGTGGTGGGGGCTCTCTGTAGGTCCCTTCCTTTTCTTATCCAGTCTTCCCTGCACACTGTGGTGGTCAGGCCCTGGGATGCCAGGGGCAGCCCAGGCAGATGGGGACAGGTCCCAGGACTCCAGGGTATAGTGAGGGAGGGAGTAACACATCCACAAAGACTCTGAACTCTTGGGAGGGTAGGGCATTCTAGCTCAGGGGACAGCATATGAAAGTCAAGTGTGTCAGGGAAGCCTGGATGGGGCTGTGAGGAGTCCAGTGATTTGGAGCCCAGGCTTCCATGGGAAGTAGGGAGCCATAGAGGGTTCTGGAGGGTCCGAATCTGAGAAGCCTCTAGGAGGGAAGGAGGCCCCAGGCCCATCTCCTTATCCCTATGTGCCCTGTGGCCAGAAGCAGGCCCTTGCTGCCTCTGGCTCATTATCTGGGTTCAGAGTCAGTGGGGCATGGACTGCTGGCTTCATCCCCAGGAACAAGTTTGTGGAGTTCGACATGAAGCCGGTATGTAAGAAATGCTACGAGAAGTTCCCGCTGGAGCTGAAGAAGCGGCTGAAGAAGCTCTCAGATCTGACGTCCCGCAAGGCCCAGCCCAAGTCCGTGGATGTCAACTCTGCCTAAAGGCTCCCCAGTTGCCTGGCCCCCTTCTCCTGGCCGCCTCCCACTTCTCCACTCTTTCCTTCTCTCAGCCCCGTCCCCTGCCTTCTGCCCTCTCCCCACTCACCAGGGCCTCCCTCCCATCTGGTCTGGGTCTGTGTGCTCCAGCACCTCCCTCCTTGGCCATCCTCTCCTTCCTCTTCTGTGCAGAGGCCTGATCCGCACCTGACAGCCACTTCCACCTGTGCCCCTGACCTGTCCTGCTCTGCAGGGGTCTTCTTGGCACTCACTCTGCTATGGAGCCTCAGCCCGAGTGGCACGTGGAGCACCCACGGCCATCAGGCCCAGGCAGGCGGAGGCTTCTGGGGCGGGGGACACCACTCTTCAATCCCACAGTCAGTCACTCAATCACGTAGGGTCCCTCTGCTCATCCTGGGCCATGCCCACCCACAAACCGGCTGGAGGGACGTGGCCCCAGCCCCTCCCCTACTCCAGGACCCTCTCTGACATCTTGTCTCGGCCGCCCTCCTCAAGCTGTGGTTCCCCTCTCCTCAAACCCAGGATCTACGCTGAGCCTCTGGGCATGGCCTGGGGGCCAGGAGGTGGTGGAGTGAGAGGCGGCTCTCTCCCACTTCCAGGGCGGACCCTTCCTCCGTGGCCAGCTTAGACCTGGCCGTGGGGCTCACCTTTGCACAATGAAGGCTTATATTCACGTGCCCACCGTGGCCTGTGTGGTTTGTGGCAACAGGGGTGAAGGGAGTGGGGTCTCCGCTCATGTGGACCCCCTGCTGCTGGGGTTACTAAACACCAGACAGGCAGGCAGAAGAGGTCAGGGGGAATCCAGCCCTATCTCAGGCCAAGCAGACAGAAGGCCAGCCAGGAACCGTCAGGCAGGTCAGGGTGGCTATGGTCAGGGTGTCAGGTGGTCTATGGAGGCTGGGCTGAGGGGTCTCTGAGATAGGTGGGGGGTGACCCAGGCCTCCAAGCCTTGCATCCAGCTCTACCCATTGCCTGGGCACAGCCTGGCCTTAGCACGAAGTCAGCTACCCAAGAGAATGCTGGCCCCACATGGCCTCCACCCAGCCTCCCATGGCCTCCACACCAGCCCCCCTGGAAACAGTGCACGTGTCCCTGTGTCTTACCGTGGGGGAGGAGGAAAGCGCAGGGGGTCCTGGAAGGAAGAATCTCAGTGAATACCCTGTGTCCAGTCTGAGGACAGGAAGGAAGGGCCGGCAGGAGGGAGAAGGAGGGAAGAAGGAGAAAGTGCACATGAGGTCATTCCTGGGGAATGCAGCTGTCACCGCGTTTCCTGGAGAAGTTGCAATGCTCTTTGCTTTTACTGGAAGAGATGCTGTTGGGGGGTCAGTGCCTCCCAAGCCTGCTGTCCACCTGTCACTCGGCCTGTTACCTCACTGACACGCTTCCACGGCTCCATGAAGTTTTATTAAATGTTCAGGGGGAGGGGTTCTCTCAGTCATACTGCATGAGTCTGGAGCCAGAGACGACCTCTGGCCTCCGTGGTCAGCACTCAGGAGACAGGCACCTGAGGGAAGTGGGGTGTGTGCAGGGGGCAGGCCCTGAGTTTATACCCTGAGGGATCCTAAATTGGGCAGGTGGCTGTTAAGTGCTGGCCAGTGATGGGGCCCGGGGGCCTCTTTGTTTGTTCACAGCGCTCAGGAGCTGTTGCACATAGGATGTCAGCAGGTCGTCCATCTTGTAGCCCTGGATGGGGACAGGTTTGGGTCAGAGGCTGTGGGCACGGGGAGGGCAGCTGGGGTCTGGGATGTGGGAACCTGGTGGCATCCAGCATCTCTGCTGCAGCCAGACAGTGGGGAAGGAGGGCCCAGCTGCTGGGGTCCCTGCTGTCCTGTTGGGCCTGATTTCCCTCCATGCCTCCCCCAGTGGGTCCGACGGCACGGATCCCTGCTATGAGGTCTTGCCGCAGAGGCTGCCGACTGCTGGCCCTCGGGATGCACCTCATCTCCCTGCAGGCCTCTGTTGGCCCAGTGTAGCCCTGAGCACCTGATCCCTCATGAGGTGAGGGCGGGAAGACCAGTCCCTGGTGCCCGCGGGTGCTGCATATGGGTGGGCGACAGGGCCTGGGCTCACCAGAGAGGTCTCACACAGCAAGCGCGTCCCCCGGCCCAGGCTCCCCAGTGCCATGTGGAAGTAGGTGCTACCACTGCTCCAGCTGGAGATCTTAGTGAAGGGGTAGGTGGTGAGCAGGTCCTGCGGGCAGAGAGGCAGGTGGGCAGGGACCACAGCCCGTGGGTTGTGCATACCTGAGTGTGCGTGTGTGCATGTGTGTGTACTGGGGGACGGAAGGGCAGGCATGGCACACCAGACTGGTGACTGCAGCCCCACCTGCACAGGGGTCCTGGGACCCTGGTGACCCCCAGCCCTGCCCCAGGACCTGCTGTTCTACCTTGGTCTTGGGGTGGATGAGCAGGACCCCGTGACGGTTGATGGCGATGAGGACAATGTCTGGATAGGACGGCTCTGAGGTTTGCTGGAGAGGGAGAGGCACGATGGTCATAGCCCAACCCAGAGGCCAGGTGTCCACTTTCTACGTGCTCACCTGGGGCACAGGCAGGTACACAGGTGTGCACACACACGTGTTTCTGTCATACCTGGCAGTCAACCCCACCTGATGGGTGCTTGGGGTCAGACTGAGTGGGGCTTGTGTGGGGCGAGGCTTACCTTCACCTCAAAGAAGGCTGACCCAAAGGTGGGCCACCGGCAGATCCACTTGAGGAAGGCCACCTTGGCCTCCTGCACGGTCTTGTCTTTGTGCTTATCACATTCCACGAGGAGGCTCTGGGGGAAGACAGGGCCAGTCAGGGCCTGAGTGGGGCTGTCCTGGCCAGAGGGGACCTTCCTTCTGGGCCTAGATGCCCCAGAGGCCTCTGAGGCCCTGGCCAGAGTGGCGCCCATCTGCCTGAGGGCCAGTCTAGGTGGAAGGTTGAGCGGCTCTGTGGATGGGGGATTGGGAAAGGCATGCTGATCAGCCCCCCTCCCATGCCCAGCAGTGTGCCCACTGCATGGGGGGGGCAGAACCAGACACCCAGGTGGGGTCCCTGGTAGGGCTGGCAGCCTGAGGACCCCCTCCACAACCCAACAAGCACCTTTTTCCACTCCTCGGAGGACATCAGGCGAGTGAGATTCTCGGGCACCAGTTCCCTCAGGATCTTGGGTATACTAGCCAGCTGGGACCGGTCATTATCAAACTGGGCCTTGTAGATGAGGCCCGCCAGGTGGACAGCGTCTTCCCGGGAACACTTGTGGAACCCACGCAGGTACTTGGGTAGCTCCTGAGTAGTGGACATGCTGGGCCTCAGGCTGCTGGCTTATCTCCCACTTTCATGAGCAGGTGGGGGGTGCTGGGGGTTAGCCTGCCCCCATCTGGGAGAGACTGAGCAGGTCAAAGCTGAGGCCCTTGGTAGTTTTGGAACATGGGAGTGACCCTTGAGCCAGGACACAGCTCCCTGACATCCTGCCGTGGTGGCCACGGTGCTCTACCCACATAGAGTTGGTCCGTCAGGGTACCGGGCCAGTACTCCACAAGCTCTGGGACCTTCTCTCCTCACCCCCTCCAATCCCGCTGCAGGTAACAGTGCAGTTACTGTTCCCAGATGCTGCTGTGCTCTGCTCCTGGCTCCAGAGTCCTCATGGGCTGGACCTTCCCACTTCATGGGACACTGGCTGGTGCCCTGGGGCAAGGCAGCCCTGCCCTGGCCTCGGCCTCTGCGACTCTCAGGGAGGACGTGGGATGGAATGGGAGTGGAGCCAGTGGCCGCGGGTGGGCAGGGGCTGGGTCGGGGAAGCCTGCCAGGTACCTGATGGTAGTGGAGTATGGTGTCTGCATTCACGTCCTTCCCTGGGGCCACGTTGATCCACAATTTCCGCATGAAGTACACCTGGTAAGGGAGTGTCACGGGGGCCCCTGGACAAGGGGCAGTAGTGGGCACCAAGCTTGTTCCAGCAGGTTCCACAGCCCACTCCCATGGCCCAAACAGGGCCATGCACCCCCTGTTCCCTGCCTCAGCACACCTTGCCCCACCCCCCCCTGACCCCCCCCCCGCCCCCCCCCCCCCCCCCCCCCCCACTTTGCTCCTGCTGCCACCTCCTTTGGAAAGTCTCACAATTTTTCCTCCCTGGCCTCCAACTCTTCCTCATCTTTCAAGAGTAGTGTGGGGGCCACCTCCTCCAGGAATGTTCCTGGACCTCCCCTTGGGGTTGGGGCCTGTCCACTACAGCCATCTCTGTGTCCAGGGGCATATAGGACAACGAGTGAATGAAGGAATGACCCCAGGGCCATGCAGCAGTGCTGGAACAAGGCAGATAACTCCACCTTCTCCCCTCCATCCCAGCCAGTCCCCCCGCCCCTGAGACCCCCTAACCTTCTTTCTGGGGCTTGTTCTTCTTTACCCAGTCAGACATATGCCTCAAGGAGTCGAAAAAGAAGTCTCCTTCTTTCTGGCTGATGACCTGGGGTTGGGCAGGGACAGAAGGCAGGAAGGTAGTGTGGCTTCCAGGGAGACCCTGTGGGACTGGGGTCCAGTGGTCATCTACTTGGGCCTGATAAGCTGGGTACACTGTTGGGGTTGGAGTCACCCAGGCCCGGGGTGTGTGAGGCCAGGGCTTTAGCCCCAAGACCCACCTTCTTTCATCCTAACAGCCCAGCTGTGCAGTAATGGGCCTGGCCCAGCACAGCCATGCCGAGAGGCTGAAGTCCACCCCGCCCCACGGGACCCCTGCCTGCCCTCCCGTGGCCTGCCAGGCCAGCACACCTTGTCTGAGATCTTGATGAAGAGGCTGCAGCCTTCCCAGGAGGCCAGCTGTAACCTGGTGGCGATGCTCTCACACACGTCTCGCACCCGAGTGTTGGCGCCCACTTCCAGCATCTGGGCAGAGAGATGGCAGGTGAGGGCCCCAGGCCCCCGGGAAGCCTCCCCACACAGCTGTCTCAGGGCAAGGCACAGCCTGGGATCGCCCTTCATGAAACTCAGGCTGGGCGTGCTCTGGGCTGAGAGGGCCAGGCCTCCCTCCCAGACAGCCATCTGGAAGGTCACATTGCTTAGTCACAGCACTCACTGTCTGGGGACCCAGGGGGCCCAGACTTTGAACTTGCTGTGAGAGTCCTGCAGTCAGACCGTGGGAAGTTTCCATTCTAGGGACTCAGTTGTCCCCAAGGCCATAGAGACCAACTTGCCAACAGTAAGTGAAGATGGTACCATCTGCCTTGGCTGCTCAGTCCCCCTGGGCCCGTCTCCCTTTGCTGCCTCTTGCCAAGGGTCTCTTTGTCATAGCTGGGTCCTGATGGACTCCCAGTTCCCTCCATTCTTCTGAGCCGCCATGGCAGGCTCTGTCCACGAGGCACATCCAAAGCTGGCACCTGCTCACCATTGCCCCAGGGACCGACCCTAAGCCCTGGGCCTCAAACTTGCTGCCCACGCTTCTGGTCACCAATTTTCAGTGTTCTTGACCTGGTGTCCCCAACTTATTATTTTGGACAGTCCCTACTTCCAATTGCACAAGCAGCCTCCCCCATGACCCCCTGCCCTCTGTATCTGTCCTCTTGGAATCTGCACCCCAGGCAGGGCCTGCAACCCAGGTGGGGCCTGCAACCCAGGTGGACGGTGTGGGAGGATGAAGGTGAAACCATCTGCTTCAGACTGGACAAGGCTCAGCTTGGGTGGCCAAGGAGCCCGCACAGTGGTGCGGATGCCCCACAGTCTCCTGAAGCCTGAGGCTTGTGGTACCAGGGTGGGGTTCTAACCTCGTTGGTGTCATTGGGGAAGTAGATCTTGTGGCATATTCGGGAGACATTCTGCTCTGCGGCCTCCACCTCCACCTGATGCGGGGGCTGCTTCCGAGGTCCTGTCCTGAGAGAGACAGTGCACGCTGCAGATGCTGTCCCCAGGCCCACCTTGCCCCTGCCCTAGCCACCAGCCTCCACTTGGACCCTAAGCCAGGCTCCAGAAACAGCCCCTGTGGTGACTTCTATGGGGGTTCAGGGGGTGTGGTGGGTTCCTCAGCCCAAGGGGCTGCATCTGCTAGGTGAGCTCAGAGAGGGCCATGATGGAAATAGGCCTGGGGTCACCTCCCAGATGGACACACATGAAAAAAGAGGAGCCCGTGCCAGGAGTTCCTGGGGGAAGCAATGTGGGCAAGGCCAGATGTGTCCTTACTCTCATTCAAAAGTGCATCAGGCAGGGGCTGAGGATGCTCAGCAGTGTCTCTCTGAGAGTGCCCACCTCCCTCCATGACAGCAGCTGTCATTGACATGTGGCCACTCACAATCAACTCCCCCCACTCCATGGCCACAGGAGGCCAAGCCAAGTGGAGGCAGGTGGTGTGCAGGAGGCTCAGGACAATCTAGGAAGGACTTCTGACTGTGGGAAGAACGAGGAAGGGAGGGGTCCCTGATTTCAGCTACCCTGGGCTGGGTGGGAACATCTAGGTCACCTTCTGGCCAGTGTCCCTGTGTCCTGGTGGGCAGTGGTGGAGCAGGTGAGCTACAGACAAGATAGCTATGACAGCCCTGTCTGACTGCCCAGACCTCTCTGTGACCTTCAGGGGCCTCAGCCTCTGTCTCCTTTCCTACTGGCTTGGGGCCTCGTCCTCTCTGTCCAAACTGACACCAGCTTTTGGAGAGGATTTTCGGTCCACCCTGCTGATGGGTCTCCCTGCTGACTGTGCTCCGGGAGGGCTGGTCCAGGTCCCTCTGCGCCCCGGCTTGCTGTCCCAAAGTTGATGCTCTGGGGGTCTGGAGGTGACCGGCTCACCTCAGGACCTTTTGGATGCGGCGGCTGCAGTCAGGGGCCAGCAGCTTCTTCCTCCGAGTGTCTAGGAACTTCTGGGCATGGGGCAGCAGGGCCTTGCCAGGTGGGAAGAGGCCCGTGCAGAGCCACAAGAGCTGCCAGCCGCGCTCCTCGCTGTACCTGGGGAGAGGCGGGTGGCCATCAGCAGGAAGGGCTCCCTCCTGGGTCCCAGGCCAGGCAGGCAGCTTGGGGAGCAGAAATGTAAGACCCGCCTGGGTCTGGAGGTCTGGGGGCCTGGCCAAGGAGAGGACTCAGGGGGACACCAGCAAGGCTACTGCCTGATTTCACAGGCCTTTCACAGCCTGGAGACGGAAAGGGGTACCATGGTGTCCATTTTGTGGACAGTGAGGTTCAGAGAGGCTGTGGCCTGCTCAGGTCACAGAGAGAAAGGATGGAGCGGGCAGGGCACAAGGTGGGACTGTGCCCTCCTGTGCTGACCCCCCTCGGGATACCAGGAGAGCGGACCTGGGGCCTAGGAGGCTGGATGAAGGCTGAAGGAGCCAGCGCCTTCCACCCGGCCACCCCCGGCAGACCTGTTGGAGTTCTGGGTCAGCTGCTTCAGGATCTGGCAGTAGACTTCGTCCTGCAGGGCTGAGTCCTGCAGGGGCAGTGAGAAGATCTGATCTGTGAGCTCCAGGGTGGGCCAGGCCTGCCGGGAGGGGTAGTCCCCCATGTACTTGAGGATGGGTGCAGATGTCAAGGAGAACAGCGCTGGGGGGTGGCCCTGAGCTGACCCCCTGACCAGGGCTAGCCACTGACCCCTGGTCCCACACTGACCCTCAACCCTGGCCCCACACTGAGCTCTAAGCATCCCTTTGGTGAGGTGACGTCTGGCCCCACCCATGGGGCTAGGAGGGGACACAAAGGTGCACATGGCATGTGGTGAGGGCCGGTGGCTGGGGAAGGATATCATGGAAGATCTGGCAGGCGGCGTCCCGCAGGTCAGCTCTGTCATGGACGCGCTTGAGCAGGGGCTGCCGTAGTGGCTCCGGGGAAAAGGCCCACAGGTGGCCCCGGGCGCGGGTTAGGGGCATCATGGCTCTGCTGACCGTTTCCTTCTCTGGGGCCCTGTCAGGGACAGAGGCTGGAGCGAGGGCCTGCCGTGAGGCCTTCCCTGCCCAGTGCTCCCTCCCTGTCCTCATCCAACTTCCCGGCCATGAGCCCCTCCCAGCTTCCCCCTGCCCTGGGGAGGCCAGGAGGTGGGCACCTGAAGAACTCGTAGGAGAACTCCTCTAGGGTGTGCAGCTTCTCCTTGGGCTGCTCCTCCGGCAGGGGCTCTGAGGGCTGCTTTTCCTGGGCCGCCAGCTTCCGCTTCTCTGGTGACATGGCCAGCAAGCTCTGTAGGGGGAACAGGCTGTGGGCATTTAGGAGACACTGCCCATGAAGCCCTTCCCTTCATCGCTTCCTGGCCTGGTTGCCTCAGTGACTTGGGAGGGGTCAGACCTTAGAGCTGGTTGGACCTGGGCCTACCCTTCTGCTCCTCTTGCTTTGTGACCCCAGCACAGTGACTCAACCTCTCTGAGCCAGGTTTCCCCCCAGCCCTCAGAGGAGGATTAGTGCCATTGGTGTAGAGCCCAGCCCATGCCGCTCTCAGGGTGTGGCCACTTGGGTTCTCTCAGATTCCCTGGCTCTGTTCTAGGGTACCTCTCCTTAGGGACATCCCTCACTTTGGCCCTGCTTGCCTGGTCCACCCGCAACCGCAGGCCTCAGCACAAACATCTCTCCCTCAGGGATGCCCTCCAGACAGGACACCCCTCCCCTCTGTTATCTGTTCCCATAACAACCAGTGCTGCTTCTTGGTAGCACCTGTGTATTTGCCATCAGTTTGTCCAAAAGTCTGGAGTCTCCCTGAGGGTGTTGAGGTCAACCTTGTATTGCCAGCACCAGGCACACAATTGGCACTCAATGTATGCATGCTAGAATGCCTGCCTGCTCCTGGCTTCCTGTGAGGCTCCTCTTAGGGATTGGGATAGGGTGGATTTCGGGGCAGAGGAAGACTTGGGTACCCTGGGGTCACAATTTAAATGAGGCTGGGGAAGGACAAGTTTGTCCCTAGGACACACCCATGGTAGGAGACAGAGAGGGAGTGCCCATGTATTGAGCACCTACTAAGTGCCAACTGCTGGGCTGTGTTCTGCATAAATATTGTGCCAGCTTTATGATCACCCCTGGGGATTCAAAGGGCTGGCAGAGCTGCCCTGGTGCCCAGGTGGCCCTCCTGGTCCTCTGTTAGGGTGTGGGTGACTGAGCGAGGCCCCCAGGCAGACATCTCTGAGCCATGTCTGCAGCTTCCCAGGTGAGCAGAGGTGAGCATGTGACCCACCAGCAGCTGGGACGAGGGCTTGTTAAGCGTTGGGATGGTGTAGAGGCAGGCGGTGGGCACCAGCCCCGTCTTGCCAGTCCTGTCGTTCTGGCCCAGGGTCCAGCTCTCAGAGGCGAGCAGGGCCTGCTTCTTGGTCAGGATTATCAAATCCCCCTTTTTGAAGGGCAGGAGGGTGACATCATCTGCTGGTCACACACACACACACACACACACACACAGAGGAACAAAAAGAGCAACAGGGTAACGCATTTGGGATATTTCTCACTGCTATGCACCGCCCTTCCTCTGCATCCCAGAGGTCCACCCCTTCTGAAGCCCCTGTACTATGTGTACCACTGTATTGCTTATGAATACCTGGCTGACCAGTCTGGGCTGGGCAGAGTCCCTGGGGCCTTGTCCCACCTCTGCCTTCACATGGCCACAGCTCAGCTCTCTCTGGGGTGCCAGAGAAAAGTTGTGGCCAGGAACTAGACTCTCACCTCCCTGAGCTGTGTGACCCTGGGCAAGATACCTCCCTCTCTGAGCTTCTAATTCTGTCTGTAAAATGGGATAATGAGGTGGCTGTGGGATGGTGTTCAAAGCCGCCAGGAGAGGGTCAGCCTGGCCAGTGCTTCTGCACACAAGGCAGCCTTGGAGGGTCGGAAGCCACCCCTTGAACCCCCTCAATTTGTGAAAGAGGAAACAGAGGCTGAGAGAAGGTTGGGACCCTCCCTTCTTCCCTCTGTTTGTGTCCCCAGGCCTTGCTCTGTGCCTGGTGGCTGCTGTGACATGGAGATGGGTGAGCCACCTCCCCACTGGCCCCCGAGTGGTCCCTCCCTGTGCCTCCCCGACCAGTGGGCACCTGTGGCCTTCCTGTCCTGCAGGGCCATGGCGAACACGGACCTCTCCTTCAGGCCCTCCAGAAACAGGGCCACCAGCTCGGCGATGGCCACACAGCTGGGGGACACGAACTCGTACTCTTCGTGCAGTGTGGAGAGCAGCAGTCTCTGCCCTCCCTTGGCCTCCCTAGGGGACGAAGGAGACGGTGTGACCAGAGGACTTCTCCCCGTTTCAGCCCCTCAACAGCCTAGAGGTGACCCTCCAGGGTGACGGATGAGGAGACAGTGGCTGCCCGAGGGCCACTGGCAGGGCTGGGGTCTGAGCCTAGGGTGGCCCAAGTTCCAGAAACCACTGTGGGCTGGCAGACTGGCAGGGCTCAGAGCCCTTCAGGTCTCAGAGGCTGTGTGGGGTCGGCTCTGGGAAGACCACCAGGTGGCCAGTATGCAGGGACACCACCAAGAGTGTTAGTGCTGGAGAGAGCCACCCGCTCTGGGGGACCCTGGCGAGCTACCCAGCCCCTGTGTGCCTCAGTTTACCCAATAGGTGGAACAGGTGGTGCTGCAAGGACTTCAAGGCATACAGGAAAGTGCCCGGTCAATCTTGGAGAGTGGTGACCTGAGGCAGCCCATTGGTCAGTTATAATGGGGTGCTTTAACCCAGGGGTACTCTGGTAGGACAAGGGCAGGACTTCCCGAAGGGCTTGGAAGAGTTCCCATAGATGGGAGACATGGGGTGGGGGTTGGGAGGATGCCCCTAGCACTGCCCGGTACCCTGCTCAGGCCCCATCCTTGCTCCTCTCTGAGATGACCTATGTCCTCTGTGACCAGTTCTCTCCCACGGAAAGGGAGGGAGCCTGCCACATGAAGCTTTCCAGAAAGAGCGCAGACCTACGTGACCTTTCCAGGTGGGTCTGAGAAGCACAGATGGAGGACTTCACCAGCAATGTGGCCTGATAAGGGGGCGGCTCCCAAATCCATGGCCACTAGACATGCTGATCATTATCCATCCCAGGGACAACACATTGCCTCCCCCCCATCTTTCCAGAGCCCCCAGGGACTGAGGTTGGGAAGGGAGAGATTTCAGGGCCTCTTCCCTTGGGGGCTCCCACCTGTTGGTGACCAGGCCCATGATCTCTGGGAAGGAGAGTTCCAGGAGCGTCCTCTCCCGCTGATCCAGGAAGTACAGCCCCTTCCAGTTAACAGCCAAGATCAGCTGTGTCTTGGGGAGGCGGGGACCTGGCCAGAGGAGACCCCAGAGTGAAGGCCGTGCTTGCCCCAAGGGTGTGCGATCTATACCCACCTCCCTCCTATCAGGGACTGTTACCAGACAGCGTGGTGACTTCAAAGAGCCGGGAGAAGAGGAGTGGCCACTGCAGGAGGGCAGTGTCCACCACCTGCTCCTGCACAGCCAACGTCGTGGCTCGGGTCTGGGTGTACGGGGCCTGTAGGAGATGGCAGGCATTATCTCCATTCTCCCTGCCTCCCCTAGCTGATCCCTCCCCAGTACTAAGGTGATTATTTGATGGGTCATTCTGCAAAACCTCTACCTAAAGGAAGCCAGGGCTTGGTCAGGGATACTGGGGGTGGAGGGTTGGCCCAACTCTATTAGACCCTCTAGGAAAGAACCCTTCAGGAGGTGGTCTCGGGAAGTAAGAGGCCTTCCCCTCATTAGAGTCAGATGCCAGAGGCTACAGCCCATGTTGGGTGGAGACAGCTCTCGGCATAGGTGGGGCATGCATGCCCAGGTGCCCAGGGCCCCAGCTTGGGCTTGTTTTATCTATGGATCTGTGTCCTGCTTCATTCATGCGGGGTCCTTCCTGTGTACCCAGGTCCTGGGCATTTTTGTTTTTCTTTTCTGGACTTCTGCGTATTTGGGGGCCTCTTGCAGGGACCTCCATCTTTATCTTCTCCTCTAGTTCCTTCCTCCTTTAGCATGCCTCTCCCCGCCCCCCACCCTGTTCTCTTCCCATTTTTACTGCTCTGTGCCCATAACTGGCTCTGAGGTCATGCTAACCTTTCTTTTCACTGTTTGTCAGATCAATGGGTATTTCTCTTATTGCTACTTTAAAAAGTGGCTGGATAATATTTGTATACTGGCTTTGGGAATATAAATGGGTACATCATATCTGAAGGGTGACTTGGCCATATGCAATGTGTATGTCCAGTATTTACAATGTCCATACACTCTGGCCAAGGAGTTCTCGTGTGCCTGGGGGCAGGAAGAGGGGAGCTCTGAGGACAGGCCTGCTGCTAAGGCAAGGACATGGTCAGCTGTCAGCCATGGATGCTCTCTTGTGCCAACAGGCCAGGGCCCAAACAGGCACTGCAGTACAAACCAGGTGTAGACCAAGATAAAATGGGGAAGGAGGAGGGTGAGTGGCAGGGGCCATGATAAGGCATTGAACTGCATGAGCCTGTTTAAACACTGCATCTGGACTAAACTCTCAGGTTTAAACTTCCTGTTTGGCAGTGGATTGGGGATCATGGGGAGGAAATCCATTACCTTGACACACCTAGTCCCCCCCCCCCGCCCTGCCACCACCCTCCCTGAAGGAGAACTGAGCACCGGGGTGCAGGCTGACCTTGGTATGGGCATCAGTGACAAGGCTAGCCCACTTCTCTGGGGGCTTGGTCTTGTACAGCTTGGGGGGGACACAGCCGGGCAGCAGCTCCTGGACAGCTCTACCTCTCAGGGAAGCACCAAGCTGCACGTAGCAGTGCCGGGCCAGCAGCTCCACCAGCTCTTCTTCCTGCATAGCCAGGGGTCAGACATGGAGCTGAGGGGAAGCGAGTGAGCCCACCCTCTCCTGTGATGCACCCACCCCATGACCAGCTCTTGCCTCAGCACAGTGGAGCTGACCAGCAGATGAGGTGGGACAAGAGAGTGGGAGCAGCCACCTAGTCCTGCCACGTCCTCTAGGCAGGACCAGCTCCTTCCCTGTGGCCCCCCTGCCGTGCCCCAGCTGGGCCTCAGCTGCTCCTGTTGGCAGCGGGCAATCCCAGCGACCTTGGCAGAAATGGGTACAGGGCCCTTTCCCTGTCTTCCCTTGCCACAGGAGGCTGCCCTTCAGGGCTTCTGCAAAGACTCAGCCAGGTCAAGGTCCTGTGTAAGGGCACTTGCATGGCCCAGCATGGCAGGGACCCAGGTAGTTCTTCTATCTGGGAAACCAAGATCTTATAGAAATGGCCCCGCTGTTCCCTGACCATGACCCTTCTAGAAAGGACGGTGAGATTTCCGTGCCTGCCGCTGGTCCTCTGGATTTGGCACAGGGAGGTTTGCACCTGCTGTTCCCATAATTCAGTCACACCCTCATCCTCCACCACCCTCAGTCACCACGACTACCTTATGCAAAGAGCTGTTGGCACTCTGCATATTCCAGATGTGGGCCCGAGGCTTGGGGAGGTGTCAGGACTCCCCAAGTTCACACTGTCCCAGAGATGCAGACTGGGACTTAGCTACCTGAGCTCTGGGGTCATATTCATGTTCCTGACCACCAGGTCCTGCCACTCCAGAAACACTTGTTACCAGAGGTCAGCAAGGCCTGGGGCTTAAAGGCCCCGGATGCATGAGCAAACCTGTGGCCCAAGGGAGGAGGAAATGGAGACCAGAACAGGAAGGGACAGTTGTATCCAGTGGAGGCCCCAGGACTTGCTTTCCTGTGACCACCTTCCTGCCTCTGCCCTCTGCCTCCTGCCCACCACATTCTACATTGCCTCTGATCCCGGCTGGGGGCCTACTCTGTGGAGGATCTTCTGATGGCTTCAACCTGGGCCAGCCCTGGAGTGGGGTTCTTCCTCAGGTCCCCTCACCTTCTCAAAGCTGTACTCGCCAGACCAGACTCCGTGGAGGACTTGCCGGTAAATGAGCTCGGTGCTGACAGGGTCCTCCTGGGAGTCGTGCCAGGGGGTGAAGAATTCCTTCCGGAAGTAGATGCGCCAGGGTGACTGGCGCTGGCTCGCGCCCTTCTCCTGGGCCAGTTGCTCACACTGGGCCACAGCGTCCATCACGTGGTCACGCCCGCTGCCCAGGGACCAGAACTGAGGACAGAATCCGGGGCAGTAAAGGTTAGCAGCTGCTGTGTGTCTCGCCCCACGAGGACACCCACCCTCAGCACAGCATGTGGAAGACAGGGACCAGGACTCTCAGGGCCCAGTGTGGGCTGAGTGGATGCTGCTGAGTCCACTTAGACACCAGAAGGACCTCTCTATGGGCCTGTCCATTGGTTCCCCAAACACCTGTCTGCTGGCCCCTCTCAAAGGAAGCAGAGATGGATGCCGGTGTGATTTGTGCCATGACATGTTGGTTGGCCAAGTGGTGTTTGTCCAAGTCTAAGGGTGAGGGCTGTGGGGGTTCAGGTGGGCTGGGCCCTGTCTGCTGCTGGAGGCTGCTGTGAGTGTCGGGGGGAGTGACAAGGTGAGCAGCTGCTGGGCTGAGTGAGGACAGCTGCCTGTTGTCAGGCTGCCTGGTGTGTGTGTGTGTGTGTGTGTGTGTGTGTGTGTGTATGCGTGTGCGCACCCCCATGTGAGTGTGTCTGGCAGCTGGGAGGAGGGGCAGGAGCCAGGTTGGTGAGAAGACCCCAGCTTCAGGACACTCTGGTCCAGGTATGGGAGGGAGGCCAGCAGCAGAGGGGCAGCTGGTGTTTACCTTGTCATACACAGCGACCTGCAGGGAGAAGCCCAGGTGGTCTCTGAGGCCCTTCTTTTGGGCAATGTGCTGGCAGATTTCTTGTGATGTGGAGGCTGAATCCACCATGACGGCCAGGCTCTCCCCAGTCACCAAGATGACTTGGATGGGGATGTGCTTCTTGGACTTGACAGCCTGGGGACAGAAGAGGACTCAGGGCCTCTCGCCTCGGGGAGCCTGAGCTCAGCTGTCCTGGAGCTCCCAGAGCCTTGGACTGGAGGTTAGTCCATCACCTTGCCCCACCTCCCTTCTCTCTTGACTGTCCCCACCTGCCCATCGCTGTGGCTTCCTGAGGACAGGACCTTCAGGGTTGGCCATGTCTCAGCATGCAGTTAACAAAATTTAGGTTCATGGCTCCAGCCAAGGGCAAAAACAACACTGCCTGTACATCTGGTGATTTGTGGGCATCTCCAACTTTGCCTTAGTATCCCTGTGGGCACAGCCTGCAGGCCACAATGGTCCACTTCTAGGTGAGAACCCGGTGCTTGGTAAGGTTAAGTGACTCTGATTCAGAACATTTCCAGGTTCTCGGATCCTGTGCACCACACTGTGAACTCACAGCTACAAGTTCACCTACAATTCCAGGATGCATGAGAGAGAGCCCTGTGGACTTGGGAGGTCGGTGAGAACAGGGAGGAGGTATGGCTAGAGGTGACCCACAGGCCCCAGCATAGGACACTGCAGGGTCACATGGGTGAGCACCTTCCAGGCATGGGCTGGGACCAGAGATGCAGGCAGAGCCGGTGCTGGGGATGCCACCACCACCCTGGCTCACCAGAGTGATCCTTTCTGAGGATACCTCAAGAATTCATAGGTGTCCTATCTTCCAAAACAAGTAGAGAGGGGCACCTGCTCCCAACAGCAATGCCATCAAGGATGATAACTTGACATGACCATGACTTTCACGAAAGTGCAAATGCCCAGGGAGGAGTAACTCAAAACAATTAGCAGCCATTTACAAGGCCATGCTAATGAGTGTGTCAGATTTATTTTCCCCTTCAATTAATAGGCCCAAAGAGAATGTTTATAGCCGTGTAATTTACAATAGCCCAGTTACAGAACCAGCCTAGGTGCCCGTCAGCAGTTGAATGGATAAAGGAAATGTGTTATATACACACAATGGTATCATGAAATAATGGCATCTGCTGGTAAATGAATGGGACTGGAGAACATGACGCTAAGTGAAATAAACCAGACTCAGAAAGTCAAGGGTCGAATATTCTAATAGGGAGAAGCTAGAGAGGAAAAAGGAATAAAAAAGGGATCTTGTGAAATTAGAAGAAAAAACAGTAGAAGGGGATTGATGGGGAGGGAGGAGAGAAGAGAAAGGGGAGGTACTGGGAATGAAATCAGCCAGACCATGCTATGCCCATGGATGATTGATTACAACACAGTGAATCCCATTTTTATGTATAATTATAATGCACTAATTGAAAAAAAAATAGAAGGGAGGCCAGCAGAGTCAAGAGAGCAGATCAGGGGAAGGAAGGAGGGGAGAGAAAGGGGAATGAAGCTGATTAAGTTATGTTATGTGCATGAATGGATGTGTCACAATGAATCCCACTATTGCATATAATTATAATGCACCATTTTAAAAAAGACTATGGATTTAGAGAGGCTGAGAGCAGCTTTGAAGCTTGGGCTATGCTAGCAGAGGCTGAGCTCCACAGGGGTTCACAGGGACCATGAAGGTGCCCTGGAGGAGATGGAAGAATGCTGTGGACAAAGTCACCCCACAGCCATGCCGCAGGAACCAAAGGAGCTGCACCTCCCTACACTGCCCGCCTCCCACCCTTCCAGCCCTACCTGAAGCTCCAGCCACGTGGGAGGTTCTGCCCGCACCCCATTGGCATAGGTACGCCGCAGGCGCTCAGCACAGAAGGGTCCATAGCCTGCTGGCCCTTGACCAATGAAGTTCAGCAGATACTGGGGGGTGAAGAAGGGAGAAGAGAGGAGACATTCAGAAGGCAGCTCAATGTTGACTTTCTACAGATTTTTAAAATTATCATCCTCAGTTTAGAAAGATGTGTTCAGATGGGCACTCTCCATTCATCATGAAGAGGAATAGAAATGGATAGATACCTGAGGAGCAGTTTGGCAGTTTACATCAGCAGAAAAAAATAGTGGAGAAAATTAAAAGAAAAATGTAGGAGAGTCTACGTCCAAAATGCGCTTGACAACAACAACAACAAAAACAAAACTGTGTGGAGGGCTGAGGATATAGCTCAGTTGGTACAGTGCTTGCCTTGCATGCATAAGCCCCTGGGCTCAAACCCCAGCACCACAAACACACACACACACACAAAAAAAAAATGTTGAAAATCTTTTTGTTCCATGGAGGTGAGTGGGGAAATACTACCTGAAAGGGGTTACTGGTATCACAGTGGCTTAAGTGCTCAGAACCAATGCCCAGGGTGAACATGGTTCCTGATGTCCCCACAGGGACACAGAGTGAGTGTTTTCCATTTGACCGTAAGTATGACACTATAACACCACAGAGGCCCCAAGAAAATACTAATGGAAGCCAGGTGGGGTGGCACACGCCTGCAATCCAGTGGCTCAGGAGGCTGAGGCAGGAGGATTGCAAGTTCAAAGCCAGCCTTAGCAACGGCAAGGCATTAATCAACTCAGCGAGACCCTGTCTCTAAATAAAATACAAAATAGGGCTGGGGATGTGGCTCAGTGGTCGAATGTCCCTGAGTTCAAATCCTCGGTCCACCCCCCACCTCTGGGTGTGAGAATGACTTTATTTTCAGTTCTGATTGCCTGTATTCCACATATTATTTTTATCTCAGAACCAAAAGGTTTATGGAGACAGTGAAGTCTGGGGCCTCTAACATCTGCAAGCTTCTGCCAACCAACATCCACATTCAATTCTAAGGAGTAGAAGCAGGTGCTGTGTTCAGTATCAGGTGGGGGCTCACTCCCCCCCCGGACAACTTTCTGGAAGTCGAGTCGTCCTGGTGCCTGAGCCACGGGGCAATGGCCTTGCCGAGCCTGGATAGGGATGGGAAGGAGCCAGGTCTATACCAGTGAGTGCCTTCTGGTATAGACAAGGAGACGGAGGACCAGAGGAGAGCTGCCCATTGCCTGAGGGTTCGGGAAACCCTGGCCCAGAGCCTACTTATGCTGCTGCTGTAACCTGCCCCCTGCCTCCCCAACCCTGCCCTTGGCCCTCCGCACCTTCATGAACCTCTCTGAGGGTGGGAAGCAGCCCAGACAGAGGCTGAGCAGGATCCAGCCCCGGGCCGTGCTGCTCTTCCTGGAGTTTCCCGAGAGCTGTTTGCAGATCTGGCAGTAAATCTCATCCCTGAAAGACACAGACACTGGGAGGGCAGGCTGGGTATTTGTTTGGGGGGAGGGGAGAGACAGGAGCCTGGGCACAGGGTCTCTCTGCACCTCTGGGTGAGGTCTCCTGTTCAGGGCACCCCTCCAGCACTGGAGGCCTCCCTCCCACTGATGTTTTCCCCTGTCCCACTCCCTTCAGACCCCTCTGCCTGGTTTATCGAGGCCCCAGTTCTCAGCCCTCCCTCCCAGACCCCTTGCCCCTCAGGCCTTTGCTCTGACTTACCCCTTCTGCTTTACCCCTGCATGACTGCTCTCAGCCTCCTCTGCCCTGCTTCTTGTATAACCCGATCGGCTCCTTTCCCCCAGCTTCAGTTATTTCAGACATTAATTTCTCCTTCTACCCGGAGGCCTTATCTCCTTTGCACTTAGCCTGGCCCAGCAGGGCATTAAGAGCACTTTTTCTTGGTATCCTCACTGGATATGAGCCTACCCACTTTTGAGCATATACTCTCATGGTGGGTTTCCTGGTTCTCTCATGCTCTCTGCCATGGTTTAGATAAATGCCCTCCAAAGACCAATGTGTTGAAGCTTGGTTACCAGCCTGTGGTGCTATCGAGAGATGGGGGCCCTTTAAGAGATGGTGCCTAGTGGGAGGAAGTGAGGTCATTGGGGGTGTGCTCTTGAAAGGGATTTGGGGACTTTCAATCCTTCCTCTCTTTCTTTTTGCTTTTTGGCTGCCATGGGATGAGCACCTCTCTCCACCAAGTGCTCTGCCTCACCATTGACCCCAAATGACAGGGTCAAGTGATTTCAGAAACTTCAGAAATCATGAGCCAAAATAAATGTTTCTCCCTTATGAGTTGGTTATCTCAGGTATTTTGTTACAGTAATGGAAACTGACTGACACACTCACCAAATAAAGGGTAAATTCTTCAAGGATAGAGATGTGTTTTCTTCATCTCTGATCCCTAACCCTCAGGCAAAGGCCCCACCCCTAGCAGGAACTCAATAAGTATATATTGAATACATGATAGATATGGAATGCAGCATTTGCTTTGTCTTAGAATTTGGTTATAACGCCAGAGCCAAGGACAAATGGATGTTAATATCCAACATTCTAGAGACAATCTTGTAGAATTTGCTAAAAGATGGCAGAACCAGTCTAGCATGCCATCTCCAGCCTATATAAGGGAAGGTGAGAAATTTGAAAGGTGACTTCAGAAGGCACTTCATGGAGGAGACAGATCTATGGCTCATTTCCACTACTTACAAGTGATGAGAGTGAGGGAGACTCCAGAAGAATTATCAGTAGGGATGGAGCTGTTTTCCAGAGATGAGACCTATCCCACTTCCCATCTGAGGCAGAGCTTCAGAAACTCATTGCCCACCCCTAGTGCATTGTAATGGAGCACAGTGAAAAAATTCTTGCTAGGTCTGGGGATATGGCTCAAGCGGTAACGTGCTTGCCTGGCATGCACGCGGTGCTGGGTTCGATCCTCAGCACCACATAAAAATAAAACAAAGATGTTGTGTCCACCGAAAACTGAAAAATAAATTTTAAAAAATTCTCTCTCTCTCTCTTTAAAAAAAAATTCTTGCTAGATTTTGACTTGCTTCCTTCAAGTTGAGGACCTCTGTGAACAAAGAGACTAAAGTCTGCTTCCTTGAGGAGATCTGAGCCCATCTCGATTGGCAAGGTGAAGAAAGAATAGACAGGGACTGGGAATTGCATCTATATCATTTGGCGGGGCATGCATGAACTTCCTGTTGACCAGGAAGATGCCATGAGCTGAACTTTAGGCAGCTCACTATTCCAGAAATTCCTAGTAGTAAATGACTGTGGGATGTTCTACCTGCAGCTAGAGTCAACAGGAACCCTTAAAGAATTAGCAAGGTTTCAGCACAAGGTGGATATCAGGATTGCATGGGTCCATCTGTAGGAGTTACCTGAATAACCTGTCATGCACCCATTTGGACATAGCTTTTATATGTCTGCCATATTGGAAGGTATGGTGGCTGCTAAGGATTATCAAGGGGCAACTACCAACAGAACCAACTAATTAGAAGAGTTTTCTGGTCGATGGTGTCAATGCAGATAGCTAAAACATGGGTAGAGGTTATCTATAGTCTTACTGGCTTGAAGAATCAGAGAACAGAGTTTGGGGTCCCCATAGAAACTTGAGAGTGAGAAAGTAAATCCTGGAATGAAGAAACCCACAGAAGGAGAATCTCAATTTTGTATATAAAGTTTTTCTAAACTGCTGGCTGACACCTTCTCATGAATGGTGGAGTATGTCCTAGCAGGCTAGCTGAGGCTAAGATAACTTTTTTTAAATATTTATTCTTAAGTTTTAGGTGGACACAATATCTTTATTTTACATTTATATGGTGCCGAGGATCGAACCCAGTGCCTCCTGCATGCTAGGCGAGGGCTCTACCACTGAGCCACAACCCCAGCCCCTAAAATAACTTAACAAGGATTTCATCTGCTGCTCACAATTTCAATCCAGCCAAATTAACTGCTGCTCAAACAAAACAAAAAAAAATCAACACTCTTTGAAAGAATATAACAGAATTCAGTCTCTAAATGTATCATCCAGTACTAAACTGAAGGGGAAACAGGAAAACATGACCATCATCAAGAGAAAAAGAATGGCAATGGACACAGACTCAAATATGACCTCCATGTTACATTTTCAGAAAAGGCTTAAAAACTCTGGTAACTATTCTCAATGATGTGAAAGAAACTACACTCATCATGAATGAACAGATAGGAAACCTTGGTAAAGAAATAGGAATGTAAAAAATAATAAGGGCTGGGGTTGTGGCTCAGCGGTAGAGTACTTGCCTAGCACATGCAAGGCACTGGGTTCGATCCTCAGCACCACATAAAAATAAATAAATAAAATAAAGGTATTGTGTTCAACTACAACTAAAAATGTTTTGAAAAAATCAAGAAAACTATAATAATATAATATAACTTAAAATAGAACACTCGAAGTAAAAAGCCTCTTGAATGGTTTAATGGTGGATTGGAGAAGACAGAGATCAGTGAATTTAGAGATAATCAACAGAAATTGCCCAATCTAAAGAACAGAGAGAAAAGAAGAAAGAAGGAAAATACAAAAAGATCCTCAGGAACTTGAGGGACAGTAGCAAAAAGCCTTATATAAGTTTAATTAGAATTTGATGTGGGTAGGGGAAAGGAGAGGAGAAGAGAGGGAGGAAAAGATAAAGACAATTTTTGAAGAAATTATGGTTAAATTTCCTCAAATTTGGTTAAAAATAATAACTTAAGGTAAGCAAACCTCTAAAATACAATTCCTTAAATCAGTATACATATTTATATGAAAACCTAATTCCTATAAAGCAAATTGCATATGAAGTAAATTTGCATAAATACACACACACACACACACACACACCACACACAGCATCCTGCATTAAAGTCTGTTCTAAAATGAATCCACAGCTCATGATTAATCTGTTTTCCTAAAACGAGGTTTGTTCCTTGGTTTTCTTAATGAACAAGTAGAGAACCCTCAGTGGCTGTAACATCTGCTGCTTTGAGAGCCAGCCTGCAGGCCCTAGGCCAGGGAGCAAGGAGAGAAGCAGTTATTTGGGGGCAGAGGATGAGGCTGTGACCATGGTTTGAGGACCAGTGAGGGGACCTGATGCTCTGAACAGGGGTGAGGTGGGAGTGGGGACTGACCTGAGGCTAGGTCGCAGAATGGCGTAGCCCACAATGAAGTGCACCTTCTCCAGGTTGGACATGGGTCGTTCTGAGATGGGGCCATCAAGGTCAAATGGCTCCTCTCCGATATTCAACTGGCTGGCCACCTTGAAGCCCAAAGATGGCCATTAGGATAGCTGTGATTCTCCCCATTTACCAAGGAGGAAACCAACATGCGAGGATGGAAGCTATAGCTTGGGAACCCTGCGGCAGGCTGGTGGCAGAGCTGGGAGAGGACTGAGTCCCCTGGCCCTGGGCTTACCTGGCCCGTGATCCTGGAGGACCGCTTCAACTTCATGGAGGAGATGCCTTTGGTTCCTCTGTCCTTTTGGCTCAGTTTCTGTGGAAAAAGTTACCAGAGGAGTGCACACTTGAGCAGTCCCTTGGTGCTGCTAATCCTGCAGCCATTTACAGTGGACAAGTGTCCCCCTCAGCCATTTCCTGGCCAATTCATAAAATTGATGGGGAAGGATTTGCCCCCAGCCTTTAAGTTTTTTTTGGTCTCCTTAGGCAGGGTCTGCAGCTTGTCATGATGGCATCATGAAAGCTAATAGTAGGAGTCAGCTTGGGTCGGGGTCAGCCCAGCTCCAGGACTGGGCACCATCTCCAGCTGGGGTAAAGCTGGGGTTTGGCACAGGAAATGAATGTGAAATACATGGGTTAAAAGCTCTGTGAGGGCAGGCAGAGCTTGTTTGGCCCCACTCTGTGAGTGGCCCACAATGCAGGCATTAAATGAACACATGCGGAAAGGAAAACCTGAGCTCCAACCTCTGGGAAATCAGATCTGTGTCCCTCTGTGTCCACCCTTCAGAAGAGCAACAAGGCTCGACTGCCTCTAAAGAGTCCTTTTCTTGAGGGTTCATCAGCTTCCCAGGTGAATTCCAATTATTACTACCCCTCAGCATTCCTGCCCTGTGTTCCTCCCCACCCCACAAGGTATAGGACTTCAAAGATCAGACATTGCATCTTGCTTTCCTTCTTGAATTACTCATCTTGGGGGAAGCCATATTGTAAGGATGCTCAGGTAGGTCTGTGGAGAGGCCCACATGGCACAGAACTGAAGCATCCTGCCAAGAGTCATGTGAGTGCAACATCTTGGGAATGGACTCTTCAACCCCAGTCAAGCTTTCAGATGACTCCAGCCCATCTTGACAGCTTGATGGCAACCTCATGAGAGACTCTGAGTCAGAAATGACCAGGTAAGCTTCTCCTGACCCTCAGAAATAGTGTGAAATAATAAATACGTACTGTTTTAAGCTGCTATGTTTTGGGGTGATTTGTTACACAGCAATAAATATCTAATATGCTCTGTAGAACTTATGTCTCCAGAGGTCAGGGAGTTAGGGCTTGAGCCTGGGATGGTTTGGCTGTGCAATTGGGGCTGCAGAATCCCTTAGATTTCTATGCAGTTAGTCTGTATGTGGGACCTCCCAGGTATCAGTCATCTGGCATATGGGGGACTCTTGGATTCCTATGGCTGGTGAACTCCCGAGTGCTGTTATTGCTGTTTAATTCCTTTGGACTGTTCTTGGTTAGTTCCACTAAGTTACCTTGTGAAACTGGGCCTTAGAAAGGATGTCTGACCAAAAATAGATGAGAATTAACAGGGAAGGATAGAACATGGGTCAAGAGGTTGGTCTCTAAATTCAGCAGAATGGTTTCAAAGTAAGCTCCCACACATGTGTTCACTGTGATTTTTGTGGAAAGTTATTTTACTTCTATTTCTTTAGCTTGAAATAAACATAAGGATCCCTACCTTGTAGGGTTAGCCCAACTGAAAATTAAATTAAGAGAAGCCACTGGCACACAGCAGGTTATTAATAACATTTCTTGTTATTATTATTGTTGTGCGCATTTGAGTTAGGCTCAAGTCAAACTGATATTCAGAGTCCATGGGGCCTTCTCCACTAAAGATTGTGTGATTCAAATAGGGAGTGATCCTCAGTTCACAAGTTCTTGAGTGCAATTCAAAACTGAAAACATCTGGGTGCTTGGGGACTGGGCTCATGATTGATGTTGCTGAGGGGGCTCCAGGTCCAGCTTTCTGAGGCCTGAGACCTGGTGGATACCTGCCTACCATCCTCACACCATGCACCTGTGCAGATCCATGCTGTGGTCCCCTGGGTCCGTTCTCCTTGTCCAGTGTGTTGTGGATCTGCTGCATTACTGGGCTGCCACTCAGACTGTTCTTGGCATACAGCACTGGCTCTGGAAGGTCACCCATGAACCTCAGTATGATGTTCCACACGGCCAGGGCAGCCTGGGGGAGCAAAACAGAGGGTTGGGTTGGAACTCAGTCTCAGTACTGGGGCCCACAGTATCCCAGGCCCCTTCCTTATTCCCTCAGAACCACAACTCAAACTCTGGGGTCTGGGAGTGGTATGAGCCACCAGAAACCAGGGAACCATGGTTACCGAGTAGTCTGTGTCATCCTCGTGGTAGAGTAGTGGGTATCGTAGGGGCCCCTGGATATGTGTGTGGGTGGCTGATTTCTGGAAGTACGTCACAGCAAACTTGGGAAAGGTGTACTCAGCCAGGCCATCCACATCCTCCTCTGGCTCTTTCAACATGGGGACTGTATCCAGGTCAATCTCGGGTAGTTTATTCTGGGTCTTCACTTCCAGATCCTGGGGCCAGTGAGGAAAGATGGATCATTTTAGATAACAACCAAGCTGTTGACTAGTTACCCAGTGGGATGAGCAGTGCTAGGGGATAGGGAGCTTTAGAGAGGTCCATCTTGCTATCTGCCAGTAAAGTTATATCCAGTAAGGTTACCTAAGATTATATAAGATCAATATAACCTTTAGTAAAGTTTAGTAACCTTACTGAACTCTAATTTGTGTAATTTGTCTCTAGCTTCTTTGAGATTTTTCTAAGACAAGCACATTATTCTGCAGATGAGAGTGTTATTCCTTCCTGATCTGTATCTGTTATTTATTTTTCTTGTCCTATTGCATTGTTTAGTTCCTCCAATACAATGTTTAACAGTGGTGATGATAGTGGGCATTCTTGGATTGAAGAATGCCTCTGTCCATCCAGAGGAATCCATGCTCCTAGGCCGTTTTCCATGCTGGCCTGGCCCCACCAGGCTCTGTGACTTGGTTGACATTTTCTTGCCCACTTACCCAGCCCCCTAGTGTCTGAGATCTTCACTGATATAGTAGGCCATCATATGCATGACCTTGAGCATCCTGCTCTGCAGACACAGGACCTCTATACTCCTACTTCCAGCCCTCCTCCATACCTCCCTCAGGCCCAATAGGACAGGGACAGGGCTTCCCCTGAGGAGGTGATCCCAGCTCCCACCCCACCCCTGACTACACAGAGTGAAGGTACAGGAGGAGGGCTGAGATTTTGAATACCAACGGAGGGAAAGTACCTAGGTCACTGGGTCTTGGGACCCAGAGCAGGGTATAGTGAGGGTCTATAGGACAGCCCTGGGACACTGCCCTTCCTACCCTCTTCCATATCCCCACCACCACCAGCCTCAGACCTCACATCCTCCTGTTTCAGGGTTAGTCCTCTCTGCATTTCAGCTTCCCAGTTATATTCTGCAAAGCAACAGCCTCTAGGCTCCACATATAGGTGGGAGGTGCTGCCTGATTGAAAGCTCCCTAGCATTCATTTACACAGAAGAGGCTCCAGGATGTCTTGTAGGGGAGAAAGCTGCCTAGCTCCAAAGGGTTGACCACAGAAATGCATGCTGGTTCCCCTTTTCTGCACAATCACCCAGGGCTGCAGAACTTCCTTGGCCACCCACCCTGGCAGCTTCTTCAAAGAAGCCAAGGGGTTGATTGAGATCAGGGGCTGGGCAGGTTCTCCCATTTCCCTCTGGGGTTGTCTTACCTCAAAACCAGTTGGGGCCTGGCCTTCCTGGCCCCCAATCATGGATGGAAGGAAGCCAAACACCTTCTCCACCATTTCTGTGTCAGTGACAGTATCATAGATGGACTTGCGCTTCTTGGAAGGGAGAACATTTTGATTTTCATTCTTCTGCTCTTTGACCGGGATGACCAGAGGTCCCTGCATACACAAGCATTGGGGAGAAGGTGACTTGCAGGCCCAGTTGGGCTCAGGGGACTCAATTCTGCCTGCCCTCATAGGCCAAGTAACTTTTAGAAGCCAAGTAAAATTTGTCATGCAGTTATTCATCCAAATCAATATATTTTGCCCCCAAATAACAAATTTTCATAGTTAGGGTAAGTGGAGATCAACCAACCAGAGCTTTTCACTTCCCAATGATAATCAGAGGTCTAGGGATTTACAGTTGCTGGCTTGACCTCCAAGGTACCACCTGAAACTCCAGGGAGTCCAAATCTCAGCAGCAAAACCACTACTCAGGCCCATGGGGGGATCCCCTCATTCAAAGGGCATCAAGAGTCTACCAGGGAGGTCCCCAGGGTCAGAGTGTTTTTACACCCAGGCCAGGGACACTCAAGCTCAGGAGCATGCTCCTGACTTGTCTGAGGGTCTCTTCTTTCACGTGCCCTGTTTATTGTTTGTACAGCAGACCCAATTTCCATCGGAGGGCAAAAGGAAATGTCATCCAATCCACTCTGCTTTATCACAAAAAGAACCAAGCAAGAAGGAATGAGGCTGAGTCTTAGATACCCTATGGAAGAAAGAGGATTACGCAAGGGTGGGATTTCAAAAGGCAGGAGCATGCATCTTGGAGCTGCTCTGCTGGTCCTTTTTCTTCAAGCCTTCTAGAAACTCAACAGCTCCCCTTGGTGTTTCTCTGTCCCCTGAACTGTCATGCACAATCCTATTACCAGGGATCTTTGAACAGTGACCCTTCCACAGCTCATCTGGCTCAGGTTTCCCATGTCTTTTAGGGAAATTATCACCTGTAAAGAAAGGTCCCCAAGGCTAAAGGGAAGAGACCAAGGAGCTTCACTTCCAGGTTCTAGGAATAAGGTCATCATCTGGTTGATCTGATGCCTATCCCCTGTTATTGTGAACCCCTGATTGAGTCTTCCCAGAAGATATGAAGAACCCTGCTGCCCTAACTTTGGACAAGGAGAAGAAAGGGATGTCTCTTGTCCTTTCTAAATTGCAACCCAGAAGATGCCTCCTAATTTGCTTCTTGTATTCTTGCTGAGTTCTCGAATAATTAGAACAGATTTAAACATCTTGACTTGAGAGTGAAGACTTTCCAAAGGAGCTTCTGGTGAGAGCTCTATGTTGCCATCCATTTTTCCCATTTGCCCTCAAACACGTGGACCGTAGCCAGTGCCACCTGCCCAAGATGCTGGGTGACCACCTACCTTGGCTTTCCGCCTCTGGAAGCTCCGCCGGGCAGCCATGCCCCTGGCATGTGCCTGAATGGTCACTATAGCTCTCCTCTTGGCCTGAATTTGCTGGCGCACCAGGTAGCCCCTGCAGCGGGCCTGCAGCTGCACCATCCTCTGCCGCGTGGCCTGGAACTGCCTCATCAGCTGGTGGCTTCGGGCAATGGCCTGCAGGCGCTCAAAGCCCACCAGGATCTGTGGAGGCAAGAGAGAGGAGGGTTCATAACCAGAAGGCCCCAAGGAGGAAACAGACAGCAGCATTGCCCAGACCTTGCAAGTTTGCTTTGTAGTCACCTGCTTTTTGTTATAGGGCTGGTGTGAAACTTATACACACCAATGAGAATGAGCCTACGAAGTGAGTGTTTTATTTGTTAAGTATTTAGAAGAGAGCCTGCCATGCAAGTAAGTGCTAAACAAGCATTTGCTAAATAGCATAAATAATTAAGTGGCCTCTTGGGGGCCATAGATGGAGTTGGCATGGATTTCACAAGGGCAATTAGAATCCAGAGTCTTGATTTTCATTCATACCTGCCAGCCAAGTCCAGCCACCTTATTGGATGTAGGCTAACACACTTGTATAGGCCTGTGACTGGCTTCACCAAGCTAATCCCCCAGGGAGTCTTTAAAATAGAAAGAAAGTAAGATATGAATAAACACCTACTTTTATGCTGCAAAAATTCCCTCGGCCACAGCAGTCCCTGAGCCCCTGGGATGAGCTTCTAAAGATGAATCAGCTCAAGGGCTTGGAAATCACACAGATTCACATTCGAAAAACCAGCTTGCTAACTGCATGCTCTTGGGGAATATACTTAACTCCTCCATGTCTCAGGCCCTTGATTTATAGAGTTGGTCCAATATTAAATGAAAAGTTGAATGTAAAGCAACAGGTCCCAAGTGGCCTTTCCATGCATATCAGCTACCATCATACTCTTTGTGAACATCGAATGCAGGCAGGCCTGAGTCCAGTTTTGCTGATGGGATCATTTTATGTCACAACCACAGTTATGGCCATGACAAAAACAAGTGATCCAGAGAGGTTCAACAGGGCATGGGCATAGCCACTCTACTTCATAGATTGAGCAGATACTCATTAGCAAGTGCCTGTGGTTAGGAGAAAAATAAGGAGTACTTGAAACGGAATAATCAATCCATTTCCTTATTTTGTTGCTTGAAAGCTGGGAAAAAGATAGTTGCTATCTCAATTCAGAACAGAATGCCTCAGACCAGCTCAGGGGATGCCCGACATTCTATAGGAAAATATTGTGAAGCCCACAAACATGGGGCTTGTGACTATGCTACAAGGAGAGCCTGGGGGTGCTGATGTCTGGTTGTTCTAAATCTATACTCCATGTCTGTTAGGGATGGGACACTTCCTGTTTGAGATCTCTCATGCAGAGAAACAAACTTCTAAATTTTGCCTTTTATTGGACAGTTAGTGATCTACTGCTCCTGGCCGCCCAACCTCCTGAGCTTTCTCACCAGCTTGAAATTCTTCCTGCTGCAGTAGCCTCGCCACTCTGCCTGGAGGGTCACAGCTGCCCGCCTCTGCTGCAGGAACTCCTTCCTAAAAGGGGAAATGCAAGCCAGAGGTGTGTGACAATCCCAGGCATCTTTAAAGCCTTTGTAGAGTGAGGACTGATTTGGAAGGGAAGATGGACAATAAGATGTTAGGGAACAGGAATCCATGCAGTACTTTCTCAAACGCCTTTATAGACCAAAAAATGCTCAGCCAGGTTAGGAAAATGACAGTTATGTCAACAACCCAAGTTTCTGAATGAAGACAGTCCAACTTTTAAAGTAATCAAGAAATCCTTCCTTGTCCCTCCCCCAGCCAAGACATATGAAATCATAAAGCCCATCTCAACATATTATTCCTTGCCAGGACCGCCCCCCCCCCACACACACACCACCACCACCACCTACTCTGGCCACTAGCCCAGGGTGAGACACAGAAAGGAGAATCTGAAAGTTGGTCTCTAAGGGAGACAGAGATGTCCTCAGGTAAGCTTGAATCATATAGATCTTTTATTTCACACTTAATGAATTTTCTTATCCATTCTAATACCTTTTCTTAGAGACTTCCTTAAGTTTAGAACTGTAGATTTCAATCATACTAAAAACCATCTGAAGAACTTCAATATTTATCTGCCTGGGTCCTACCCAGTCTAACTAAGTCAAAAGCTTTGCTGATTTGTCTAGAATATGTGCATTTCACTCATATGTGCCTGTGCATGCATATACACACACATGGACACACATAGTTGGCCCTCTGTCTACACAAGCTCTGCATCTACAGATTCAGCCACTCACAGATTTTAAAAAATTGGGAACAAATTGTGTCTGTCCTGAACTTGTACATACATTTTCTTCTCGTCATTGTTCCTTAAGTAATACAGGATAACAACTATTTACACGGAATTTACCCTATGATAGGTATTATAAGTCATTTAGACATGATTTAAATTATATAGGAAGATGTACATATGTGATATGCAAATATTTTTCCATTTTATATAAGACACTTGATGTTAGCCATCATTTAAAAAATGCTTCCATGGGCAGTTGTGAACATACCAGGAACAAATTGGAAAACAAAGAGTCTCAGTAAAGAAATAAAAGATATAAAATAAATTTCCATTTCTAAATTTCCAAGTGGAAGTTTTAGAACTGAAAAATACAATGATTAAAAAAACCCTGCTGTGTGACAGAATGGAGATAGCAGAGGATGGATTAGTGAGTGAAAACACAGAACAGTAGAAATTAGCCAGGCATGGTGGTGCACACCAGTAATCCCAGCAGCTTGGGAGGCTGAGGCAGGAGCATCGTGAGTTCAAAGCCAGCCTCAGCAATGGCGAGGCACTAAGCAACTCAGTGAGACCCTGTCTCTAAATAAAATACAAAATAGTGCTGGGGATGTGGCTCAGTGGTTGAGTGCCCCTGAGTTCAATCCCTGGTACAAAAAAAAAAAAAAAAGTAGAAATTACAGAAAGAAAATAGATGAAAAGATTATGAACAGGGCTCCAGGAATATGTGGAACTATAACAAAAGATCTAATATTGTGTCATCAGGGTCATGAAAAGAAAGGAGAAGAAGGTGGTGCTAAAAAGCAACTGAAGAAATGATAAAAAAACAACTGGAAAGCTCATGAATTTGGCAGGAGATATAAACTTATAGATTTAAGAAGATAAGAAAACTCAAATAAACCTACATCAAGCTGTATCTAAGTCAAACTTCTGAAAACCAAAGGGGCGGGGAAGGACTTGAAAATATGGAAAGAGACAACACATCACTTAAAAGGGAAAAACACAGTTCAAAGGACAGCAGATTTCTCAACAAAGACCGTGGAGGTCAGGAGGAAATGACACATCTCCCAAGTGCTGAAAGAAAATAGCTGCCAACCTAGAATTTTATATCCTGTGAAAGATCCTCCAGGAATAAAGAAAGAATCAAGATATTCTCAGATGAAGAATAAAAATTTTAAACCAAGAGAATTATCTGTAGATGTACCTTAAAATAATGGCTGGGAAAGTTCTCTACACAGAAAAGAAATGATAAAAAAAGAAATCCTTGAATGTCAGGAAGGATGAAAGAAATAATAAGCAATAATATGAGCAAACATAATAAGGTTTCCTTTGCAGTTTTCTAAAAGTATATTTTGATAATTGAAGTAAAATTCATAACCTTGTCTGATATAGTTCTAGAGGACAGATTTGAGGAAATTGTATTATAAATGGGAGAGGGCAAATGGACATCAAGAGAGAAACAGGTCATATACTTAACTTGAAGTATTAAAATGATGGTACCAATCAAGGACACACATATCCTAAAGAAATCACTTAAGAGGCTGAGGCAAGAGGATCACAAGTTTGAGGCCAGCTAGAACAACTTAATAAAACCCTGTCTCAAAATAAAAAATAAAAAGAATGGGCTGTAGCTAAGTGGTAGAGTGCCACTGAGTCCAATCCCCAGTATATAAAAGAAGGCTATATATACAAAAAAAATGGAATTATAAAAAATGCTTAAGTAAGTCATAGAAAGGCAAGAAAAAGAAAACAGAAAATAAAAACAAATAGAACAAATAGAAAACAAAAATATAAAATGGGAGACACAAGCTATCACATGCATAATTACATTAAATGTGAAAAGACTAAATACTTTAATTGCAAGACAGAGATTGGCAGAATAGATATAAAGTCATGACCCAATTACATACTGTTTATAAGAGACTCCCTTAAAATATACTGAATAGTTAGGCAAAAAGCAAAAAAGATGAAAAATAAATATCATGGAAATAGTAATCAAAATAAGACAGGAATGGCCATATTACTATCAGGTAAAGTCGACTTCAGAGCAAAAACCAAAACAAAGCAAACAAAACCAGAGACACAGAAGGATGTTACATGGTGATAAAAAAAGTAAATCTACCAAGAAGACATAGCAATCTCAAGTCCATATGCATCTAATAACAGAACTACAAAATGAAATCAAAGCTGATAGAAATTTAAAAGTAAATCCATGCTTACAGTTGGAGATTTCAACACCATCCTCTTAACAACTGACAGGTAAACAAAAATCAATAAGAATCTAGAGTTCAACATCTCTACAGACCAACAAGATTTGATCTACACTTTTAGAACACTTCACCCAACAATTCTGCCCAACAAGAGTGGAATCTGTGTTTTTATAAACACCCTCAGAACAGCTACCAAGATATATCACATCCTAGGCCGTGTTGGAAATCTCAACAAATTAAATAGAATTTAACTTATATACAGTTGTATCCCTGACTACAGTGGAATCAAGCTGGAAATCAATAACAGTAAGATAACAAGAACATCTCCAAACACTTGGAAACTAAACAACATATTTTGAAATAATCTATGATCTCAAGAGAAAATTTTTAAATGAACTGAATGAATATAAAATTATAACATCAAAGCAACTGAAAAACCCATAAGTTTCTAGTGAGAAAGTAAACTGGTACAGCCCCCTTCTTCAAAAACAGTTTGGTGGTTTCATTAAAAACAAAACATGTTACTAACATTTGACCTAGCCATTAATTCTTGGGCATTTATTCCAGAGAAATGGAAATTTAGATTTATACAAAATCCCTTCCCCCATTTTCTCATGCCTGGGTTTCCAGCTCATGACCTTGCAGTGGGGCTTACAAATCCCTTGGAGTGATGGAGGTGGGGTGAAGCAGGGGCCTTGCTGATGTGCTAACCCTAGAGTGAAGTTCAAGTGGAGTCATGTGTTGCTGAATGACAGGTGTGTTCTGAGAAATGTGCTATTAAGTGATTTTGCCATTGTGCAACCATCATAGACTAGATAGTTGATCCTTGAACAACTTGGGGTTAGGAAGGCTGACCCCCTGCACAATTGAAAATCCAAGTATAACTTGCGACTCCCCACAATAGCACAAGAGGTAGCTATAATTTTTAAACATATGATGAGTATACAGTTAATTTTATGCAGTTATAATTTAATCCTGTAGTCTTATGTTTACAATTCTCTCTTTTTTTTAAGTTGTAGATGAACATGATGCCTTTATTTTATTGATTTGTTTTTATGTGGTGTTGAGTATTGAACCTGGGGCCTCACGCATGCTAGGCAAGTGCTCTACCACTGAGCTGCAACACAGCCCCAACATGTCTCTTGATGGTGAATGGCAATATGTATCAACTGAGTTTATTTTTGTATGTTTTGATATTTGTGTGTGTGTGGTACCAGGGGTTGAACCCAGGGGTGCTTAACCACAGAGCAACATCCCTAGCCCTTTTAATTTTTTTTAAAATTTTGAGACAGGGTCTTGCTAAGTTGTTGCTTAGGGCCTTGTTAAATTGCTAAGGCTAGCCTTGAACTTGTGATCCTCCTGCCTCAGCCTTCCAAACCACTGGGATTATAGGCATGCAACACTGTGCCTGGAATGTTTTGATGATTTTTAATGTTTTATAACAGATTTTTGTATTTTAGATATTAGTAAGTGATAAAAGACTATTATCTACATATTTTTATGTACTCATATTTTTCTTAATTTTTTGATATTATCTACGATCTGTCTATGAACTATGTGGTTCATATTTGAGTTCTTTCAGATCGTCATAAATCTCCAAAACACCAAATCTGCATGTCAGTGGACACACGTAATTCAAACCATGTTGGTCGGGGGTCAACTGTATTTACTGAGACCAAGATGGCTGTGAAGTCACCAAGTGATACAAACTTATGGACCACTGACATAAATGCAAAATGTTATTATATGATGCATGGCAGTACTGATCAGGAAGAGAACAGTGAGAGGATTTTACCCCCTCTAAAACTAAACCACCTCATAAGCCAAGCCCATATGCTCTTTAAGATGATCAAAGCAGAACATCAAAATGTAGTTGAGAGCAGAGCAGATATGTGGTCTGGTCCCATCTCTAATTTACAGAGTGGTTTTTGTTTCTTCCAAATATTCCAATAACCTTTTAGAATTCTCTGGTCCCCACAGGCTGCGGTGTCGCTGGTCAGGGGACCTTGTATCTCAGTTTCCCTTTCAGGCATGCCTGAAAGACATGGTGAGCAGGCATGTGGGCTGGGTGGGGGCTTGGGTGGGGCAAGCACCTGTATTTGTAGCCTCGCATGACTCTCTGGATTCTGATCGCTGCTTCATCCAGCGCCTGGCTCCTCTGTATCTCCAGCAGGGTGTCCTGGTGATCCTGGGGACAGGAGCAATGCCTTCATGTAGCTGCCCCATCCTCTCTCCCACAGTCCCTGCCTGGGCCAGGGCTTGGTCTCTGTAAGTCAGTGACTTTCAGATTTCTCCCAGGAAGGCAAACTGGAGAAGGGGCCCTTAACTTGCTCTTGAGGTAGTTCAGGGAAGGAGCTGAAATTATCCCTTTTCCAAGAACTTCCTATTTTAACTGTTTCTTCTTGCTAATTCAATCTGGCAACTCTGATTTCTGCTTTGGAGACTTCAGGGGAGGAGGAACAAAATTCCCCTGAAGGATTTTATTTCTCCAAATTTGCATGGTGTTTGCATTCAACAGCACAAAAGAGCCTGCTTGTTTCAACATGAAAATGTTCCCCCACAACCCATGAGCATGAGATGATGAGCCTTGGGCATGACTTTCTGCAGCCTACTTCCTCCTGGATCCCTGCACCCTGGGATGAGAGGCATAAGCCAGCCATCTCAGCCCTGGGGAGGCAGGGACTGCTCCTGTAGGACACAGAGCAGTGCAACCCTATGGTAAGTGGGGAGGAGAGGCTGAGGACTTGATGGCCCTTCCTGCCTCCCTAACTGAGCTTCTCTGTGTGCCATGGCAGGCTTTGAGATACAAAGATGGACTCGACCCTAGCTGTGGCTTCAAGGGATAGCCAGGAAAGGAAGGAAGGAAGGAAAGGAGGGGTGGGTGCTCTTCTCCCCTCCTCAACCTTCTGCCCACACTGACCTCACCATCATGCCCATGTATGGCCCTCACTATCCATTCTACCCTCCTGGGCAGTGCCCTGGGGTGTTTCTTTTGCTAGTTTTGCCTCCATATCTCTCTGTCTGGGTCCCAGACTCAGCATGGGCTTTATCAATGCATAGACAGATGGATAGACAAATTGACTGGAGGTCTGGGGCCAGGAGGTTGCTCTGAGAATAAATGAGGGGGGGTGGGCAGGCAGCGGTGGTGAGAATGGGGTGGGGGCTCAGGTGATCTGGCAGGCTTCAGCCTGGCTCTGATCTCTTCCTCTTCCTCCTCACTGTGCTCACCACCCCCCAAGTCTTAGGAGGCTAGTTAGTGATGTACTAGTTCCTTAGGGTCTCACCTTCAGGAAAATTTTGGTCCTTCCCACTCTCCATTCTTTATCTATCCCCAGACACACCTCGGTGATGCACAAGGTCATCTGGCGAAACTTGTCTTGAAGCTGCACAGGAAAAACAGGGGGTGGCTTAGTGCCATTTGGAACAGAGACCATGGGGAGCTTGAGGGGGCTTCCTGCAGGGTTTCCAAGGGATCCTGCCTCCTTCTTCCTCTCAAGGGCTTCCTGTCCAGGGTCTGTGCTGCTGGGCCCAGGCAACAGGCATCTCAGATCAAGGGGTGAGCAAGGGAAGCCTTCAGGGTTCAGGACTCAGAGGCTACCTGCTTTACTACTGTTGTACACCTGGCCTCAGAGCACCTCAACCTTTAGGATGGTTGGAGATTCCAGAAAGAATAAGAGGGACTTCCTGCCCCCAAGAGCTCCTAGCCACACCTCAGCTCCCTAACATTCTGCCAACAGCAGAGTGTAATCGTAATAAAACTGCAAATATCTCTTCTGCAGCCACCAGGGTCAGCCAGTGTGAGCCACTTCCCTTGCTTTCACAGAAATTAAAGGATGATGAGGGAAGGGCAGACAGGGGTCATGTCAAGGCTGGGGTCCAGAGGGCATCCTGGGCACCAGGAGAGCAGTAAGAGGACACCACCCCTGTTGGAACTTGGAAGCTGGAGGAATGCTGGACGCAGCGCAGGACTGGACGGCGGGGGCGCAGGGTTGCACTGATCTACTGGCTGTGCACTCACTGGCTTGCGCTCAGCGCTGGGCAGCAGCACTCGGAATCTCTTCGAAAATTCCTCAAACGTATAGCGGATGGGGAAGCCAGACTTGCGGATGTGCACGGTCTCCATCATGCCGGAGTAGCGCAGCTGCTGGATACACAGCTCCCGGTCGAAGAGCTGCAGGGTCAAGATGCAGAGCGCAGAGGGAGCAAAGGGCCCTACGCTTCCCCACCGCTCCACCACCTGGCACGCAGGCCTACAGTCAGAAAGATCAGCTGGCCCAGACACCCATTTGGCTGTCCCCCAAGTTGGGAAGAACTCAATAAACGTTTGAACTACAGTGACATTTTGAAGAAAGTCGGGGAAGGGGCTGAAAAGTGCATCACATATTTCCAAGGAGATGAAATCAGTAACAGAAACTGCTGCTCCTGTAAGAACATCACACTTCTGTCATTCTCAAGATACACAAAGTACTGTGACTAGAAAAGGTATTTGCATGTGCCCCATTGAAAATGTTTTCAAGTGCCCCTGTGAGCACTGCATGCATCTTGGCTTCCCACGGTGGAACGGTGGAGTGAAGAAACAAATCTGGTAGTTGGGGACAGAGATCCTTCTAGTCAATTTATAAACTTCCCTCCCTGAGAGGGTCAAAGGAGAACCAGAGGGAGCATTGGCCATAGGGAGCTTTGTCGTCCTCTGTTAGGAGGCTGGTGGGGCAGGCAGAGAGGAATTTGGGCATGATACTTTCCCCCAGGTGTCAGGTAGCCCTAAGACTGCCATAGCGTGGCCTCCAGAGAGCCCCCTTAATCTGGGGCACTTGGGAAACGTCCTCTAATTGGGCAAGTCCATCATCAGGATTATCACCTCACCTGAAAGCATGCAGGACCACAGAGCCACCTCTATGTAGGGTTTAAACCCCACAGCAATGAGGCTTAGGTGACTAGTTTCCAGCTATTGATTGGATATTTCCTGTGGGCCTAGCGTTCCTTGGTTAATCTTTAGAGCAGCTCTATGTGGTAGGGGTAATTGGCTTCTATCTAAATAAAAATGAGGCCTGCTGCACAGGGTATTACTCCTAACTGGCTGAACCAGGGTTCAGATCCGGAGCCCACAAAATCTGACCTCAGACTTAGGTTCACCCACTTGTCCTGCAGCTCCAAAGGTAGGCAGTGTGGGCTTGGCAGGGGACCCCCTGGGAGCACAAGCTTCTCTGAAGCAGTTAAGGAAAAAAAGAGCAGTTTGCTAACATCTGCATGTTGTAACTGTTAGGAAGACATACCCGAGATTTCATGGGACAACCTCAATTTCATATAACTTCATTCTTTTCAAAAGATACTTCTTTTAAATATTTGTTTTTATATCCTCATAAGATGACTTATTGTTATTTTACATCCTTTCAAATGGCATCTCCAAGTTTAGGGAGTCCTTATATTTATAGTCTCTGAATGGATGGACCAGGGACTCCCAGGTTTCCACCCCGTCACCATACAAATCCACGATAAAGATGCTGCACGTCTCGGCCACCAGGACTGGCTAAAATCCTAGGACTGGCTGCTGCCACTTACTGAGTGCCCCAACATCATGTCCAACCCTCACTGTACCTCTGCAGGCAAGAGTCTGACTTCATGGATGAGAAAACCAACGCTCAGAGAAGCCAAAGCCTGGTGAAGCACACACAGCAGATAAACAGCACTATGTTTGGGTGCTCCAAATTCCTGCTTACCAGCGGCTTCTTGTACTCGTTGGGTTTGATGCAGCGGATGAAGTAGGGCTGGCAGTTGGTCAGTATTTTCATCAGCTGATCCAGGGACTGTTTGAACTGAGATGCCAAGGTGGAGGGCCGCTTGGTGGAGTCTGTACCCTGGGGTGTAAACACAGGGCATGAATTGGGCATGGGGAACTGCAGCCCAGAGCATGGCTGACCCTCTGCACCAGGAGGGCTGCTGCCAAGGGCCAGTGCACTCACTCAGTCATTCATTCATCTGTCCAGCACAGGCCTCCCAAGCACCCACTGTACGTAGGCTTCTAGTTGGGCACCCACTGTTGATTTAAATGGTTTTCTCTGGGAACATCATTCTGGCCCTGTGGCCCTTGGAGGAAAGAGACCCAGGAGGCCTGGGAGGTGCTGGAAACCCACCTTGAAGAACTGATTCCTAGTCTTTGCCTGACGGATGGTGCCGTGGCCCAGCTTGATTTCTGCAGACTCCAGATCGAATATCTCTCTCAGGAACTTGTTTTTGGAGGAGTAAACCAGGGTAAGGATATCTGCACTCAGCATATCTCGGTTCTTCTCCAGGAAGCCTGTGGGGACAACAGGACCCATTCACCAGACCAGTTCAGCCATCTCCTGCACCCCACAGGGAAGATGAACATGCTCAGAGGGACATCACCCCCATCCCCAATGACCCCATTGAAATCCTGCATGGTCCCCAACATCTCTACCCAGTTCCAAGTCACTTGTATGCTACAAACTCTCAACAATCCAGGCTCCCATCCCCACTCTAACCCACCCCCACCCTGTCACTTAAGCCAATACAAGTCTGCCTTTGGGGTCCAACCTGAAGATTGAGCCTCCCGAAATGGGAGAGGGGCAGAGTGTTATGGACTGAATTGTGTCATCCCAAATTCAAAAGTTGAGGTCTTAAGCCCCAGGATGTTAGAATGTGTATGGATCTCCTGGATTTGGAAATAGGGCCTTAAAGAGGAGATTAAAGTAAAAAATAAGATCATGATGGTGGGCCCAATATCCAATATGACTAGTGTCATTATAAGAAGAGGAGATTAAGACATGCAGAGAGAGAGAAGACAGTGTGAAGACGCAGGAAGAAAACAGCCATCAACAAGCCAAGGAGAGAGACCTCAGGAGAAGTCAACCCTGCTCACACCTTGATATTAGACTTCTAGTTTCCAGATCTGTCTGAAAATTAACTCCCGTTGTTTGAGCTACCTGCCTGTGGTATTTGTTTCTGAAGCCCTAGCCGACCAAGACAAGCATGGAGCCCAGGGTGAGAAGACCCTGCCTGTGCCCTCCAGCCACAGGTAAGAGTGGCTGTGCCCTGAAGTAGGGACACTCCAAGGGAGTGCTGAAGATGAACTGCTTCTGGGGAGACTGAACCCAGAGTGGGAGACAGGAAAGGAGCCCATTTCCCCTCCTCTGCCTGCAGGTGCCTGTGTGGGAACAGCACTCGGCAGGGGGCTATACCAGGTGCTGGGGCAGGGTGGCACAAGGGTCCTTGCAGAGCTGGGAGTGACAGGAAGGAGCATTCACTGAAAGGCTCAAAGGCAGCTTCAGGCCACCTTGAAAGGAGGTGTTCTGGGACCTTTCTGGAGCCCAAAGCCAGGTTCTGGAGGGAATCAGGAAGGGGCCACCCCACCTTCTTATTTCTCCATCAGAAACACTCCCCTGAGCTCCCTGCACCTCGATCTTCTATGTAAAATACCTGATCTTCCTGTCACTGTGTCTTTCCAATGGAAAAATAGACAAATACTGGAATTGTATCTGCAGAGCATCTCCTCATTTCTCCACGCATGCAGCAGAGTGACACTCCAGTTCTTCTGCTTTCCTGACCCCAGCTGCTCAGTGGCCTTTCTCATTTTTCTAAACACACTGATCAGTTGACCACCTCGAGTCTTTTCTTCTCCACTCAAAACCATGGCTCACCCTACCTCAATGTGTGACAAGGTAACTCAAAATAGATCATAGACCCTAAAACTAAAACTGAAAACCACTTACAAAAATATGTAAGGGTAAATATTCATGATCTTGGATCTGACAGTGAACTCTTAGACAAGACACAGCAACGAAAAGAAAATAGACAATTTGGACTTTTAAAATGAGAAATTTTGCACTCTAAAGGACTCCATCAAGAAAATGAAAAGACTTATGTGAAGAACAAAAAATATTTACAAATCATATATCTGATAAGGTACATGTATCTGTAATACATAAAGAACTCTTCCATGGGGTTGGGATTGTGGCTCAGTGGTAGAGCACTCGCTTAGCACATGTGAAGCCCTGGGTTCGATCCTCAACACCACATAAAACTAAAGGTATTGTGTCCAACTAAAAAATAAATATTTTTTTTTTTAAAAAAAGAACTCTTGCCAGGTGTGATGGCTTATACCTATAATCCAAGCAACTCAGGAGGCTGAGGTAAGAAGATTATAAGTTTGAAGCCAACCTCAGTAATTTAATGAAGCTGTAAGGAACTTAGTGAGACTCTTCTCAAAATAAAAAGTAAAAACGGCTGGGGATATAGCGCAGTGTGGTAAAGTGCCTCTGAGTTCAATCCCAAGTACAAAAACAAACAAATCCTGTTGCAATTCAGTAGCAAAAAGACAAAGAATCCAATTGAAACATGAGCAATGAATTTGGATAAACATTTCTCCCAAGAAGATATACAAATAGCCAACAAAGGCATGAAAAGATGCACAACATCATTACCCATCAGGGAAATTCAAGTCAAAATCACACTGAGGGGCTGGGGATGTGGCTCAAGTGGTAACACGCTTGCCTGGCATGCGTGAGGCACTGGGTTCGATTCTCAGCACTACATAAAAATAAAAATAAAGATTTTTTTTTTAAATGGCCAAGATGGTAAATTAAAAAAAATCACACTGAGATCCACTTCAACCCCCCTGGGATAGCTAAAATAAAAAAGACAGATAACAACATGTGTTGGCGAGGATGCAAAAAAGTTGGAATCCTCATCTGTTGCTGGTGTAAAGTAGCATAATCACTTTGGAAGAGAGTTTGACAGGTCCTCAAAAAATCTAACAGAGGGCTGGGGTTGTGGCTCAGTGGTAGAGTATTGCCCTGCATGTGTGAGACACTGGGTTCAATTCTCAGCACTGCATATAAATAAATGAATAAAATAAAGGTCCTTCAACAACTAAAAGCAAAATTTAAAAAAAAAATTAACAGAGAGTTACCATATATCCCCTCAGTTCCACTGCTGAGTATATATCCAGGAGAAATGAAAACATACATTCCACACAAAAACTTGGACACGGATAGTCACAGCTGCATTATGCAGAAGACCCAAAAAGTAGAAATGATTCAAATATTCATTAACGGATGAAGAGACAAACAAAATAGAGTATGTTCATACAACAGAGTGTTATGCTGGAATAAAAAGAAAATGAAATACGGATACAAGTGACAACATAGATAAACCTTGAAAACATGTTGACAAGTGAAAGAAATCGGCCACAAAAGGCCACACTGTATATGATTCTGTTTACAGGAAATGTCCAGAGTAGGTGAACCTAGATGGACAGAAATCAGTTGTTGCCTGGGGTGGGGGTGGCGGTGTCAGGAGCGACAGCTAATGGGGAGTTGCCTTTGGAAGTGATACAAATGCTCTAAAGTTGTGGCAATCATTGCACAACTCTGGGAATCTACTTAAAACATACTGAGATGTCCACTTTCAATGGTGAATAATTAGGGTATGTGAATTATGTCTCAGCAGAGCCACTACCAAAACACAAAACGTCACCAAATGCCTGGTTCCATTCCACTTCCTTTCTCTAGGCAAACCCATGCTTTGAACCCTGCCATTCCATTACTGGATTGGTGAAAGCACCCGTTCTCTCAGTCTCCTTTCTATGATCTCTCTGCTCCAGATCTGAGAGTGCGTGAGGGGAGGTCACCCACCTTCGGCCTGGTAGTAAACCTCGCCAGCAAAGTGAGCAATGCCAAATCGGGCATCGTGGATATTCCTGGGTTTCAGGAAGGCTTTGTTGTTGGCGTGGACACTGTTCAGTTTTTGCAGCATGGTGATATCTGTACCCTGGAAGAACCCGGATGCTCTCTGAGCTGAGGTCCCAGAGTCCAGCCATGCGGTGGTCAGCTTGGCCCACCGGCAGGGCTCAGGGGCTCCCTCGTGGGACAAAGTAGGCTGGGTTCAGAATGACAGATGGGACATTAATCCCCAGGGGTTGGTGACTTGTCATAGTGAGTGAGGGCCCAGCCAGGAGCAGAGGCTGCATCTGCCACCCCCTACCACCAGCCCTCCTGCTCTATCCCCTGGGCAATTGTCCAGGTGCCCCAGCAGCCAGGAAAAGCTTTCTTCAGGTGGGCCTGAGCTTGGCCTTCAAGGAAGGGAGGATCTGGTTAGTCTGAGGCTTGTCCACTTATTCCTGGCAGAGGTCTCAGCCACCCTGGGAACAGGTGGGCCTCACAAATGGAGCTTCCCAACCTCAAAGAAGAGACCCACGAGCCAGGGCTCCGCCCCCAAGGCCCAGAAACACACCTGTGGGAGGCGGCTCTCTTCATCTAGGAGGGAGATGACGCTCATGGGCTTGAGGGCCAGCAGGTCCAGGGTGGGCCGGTTGTCGGTATAGTGGATGTAGTCCCAGGAGATGTTCTCTGAGCGGTACTCCTCCTGCTCCATGGTGAAAACGTGCTGCACAAAGAACTGCTGCAGGTGCTCATTGGCGAAGTTGATGCAGAGTTGCTCAAAACTGTAGAGGCAATGCCACCACCCAGGGCGGGGCAGGGTCAGTGGGTCCCTGTTATACGTGGAGGGAGCCCTGGGATCACCAGCCATCTGCACACAGCTACATACTTATGATGTACATTCACATGCACACAGATGCACACTCTTCCCTGCCACACCTCTTGCTTCTGTGTGCCTCCATTACCATCACCTCCTCCATCCCGTGGCAGTCAAAGAGAAACAAGAAGGCCCAGCATAGCATCGAGTCCTAGGGTCACCTACAGAGTCCTTTGAAGGTCTGCCTAACTTCTCACTGAGACTCTCCTTATGGGGCCAAGTACTCACAAGAAGCTCCAGATTCATAGTAGGCAAGTGGCCTTGGTATTGAGATGAGCTTCCAGAATCCAGCGCTATCTATTAGGATGCTCTGGATCAACCAGATATATTCTTGTCCCCTGCAATTCTCCACCCCACCAATCCTCCAACATGCTCTACCTGCTGGTTCCCTGCCTTGGGAAATGACTCCTCCATTTACCACCCCTGACTCAAGTCAGAAATCAAGAAGTTACACTTGACTCTGGCCCTCTCCCCAATTCCTACCAATTGCCAAAGCCTGGTCCATGCTAGCTGCAACACAGCATCTTGAAATGTTTATTTCTTTTTGTCCCCACTGATGCTGTCTTAGTTCAGGCCACCTCCAGTACTCCTCTGGAGCCCCGTGGTGGCCTCAAATCTAATCATCCTCTTCCTTGGCTTCAAATCCTCCCGGCTTCCCATGTTTTCAGGATCCAGACAGTGACCACAGTAGAAAGTTTTGACCACTGTTCCAGCTTTGCTGGGGTCACTCTCTGGCCACCTGGACTTTTCACAGCTCCCTGGATGTTCCTGGTTCTTTCCTATCACTGAGTCGCCACACATTTGGTGCCCCCTCCTCTCTGTCTCTGGGTCTCTTAGGTGTCTCTTAACTCAGGATGGGTCACCTATTTAAATAAGACCTCGTCATGCCTGAGGCTGCTTGTTCAACATCTGTTAACCACCAGGTAAGCAGGAACAGGCCCACCATGTCCCCCATGCTCAGCACACATAGAAAGCATGATGGAGTAGAGAAGGGGACCCAGGTCCTTACAGCATCTCCCTTCCAGGCTTTAAGACTGCAGCCGTGTCACAAATCAAGCTAGTGGCCACCAGTGACCATCCTTCAAGGCAGGATTGCCACATATATGGCTAGATCCCCAGGACCAACAAGTCATCCACCTCCAAGGTGTCCCCGGTGTGCTTGATCTGTTTACCTGTGTCCCGCTCCCCAGAGGCCAGAACCCAATTTACACTTGAATTTACTGTGCCTTAAGGGTTCCATGGCACTAGGCATAGTTTTGCCAGCCCTGTCACCTCTCACCTGACTGCAGTGGTGGAACCTCTGCCCTGTCCCCTCGCTTAGCTGGGAGGCTGAGGTCCCAGAGTGTTTGCACTTGGAATGGCTCATGTCTGGTTCTCAAGGTGGGGCATCCAAATCCCTCCCAAGTTAGGCTCCATTTACAGACACAGTCTTGGGCAGGAGCATGTCAAGGTTAGGCCAGCCCCTGCTTCTTGGAACCAGTGACCTGGGCTCTTTCCTGCCAAGCCCTTTAAATGAACCAGGCTCAGGGAATCTGGACTGCATCCAGAATACTTCCTGCCTATTTGTCCCACAGCCCTTGTTTCCTGCATCTGACTAACTCCCACCTGTGATGATGCTCTGCGATATTACCTGCCCATCATGATGCCCTAGAATATCACCTGTCCAGGTTTGGCTCTTCTGCCTGGCTCCCTCGGCCACCTTGTGTACCTCACCCCATCCTTCACTGTAGTCATGTTGAGTAACAATGTTCTTACCTTCCCTGGTCATAGATTTTTAGCTTCTAGATGTGCGGGGATACCAGGTCAGAGGTGTCCTGCCTCACTCCCCCAATCCCCAACTCAAAAGTCAGGGATGGTCCACACACACCTCTAGTTGTATCAATGCTATTGATTTCAACTTGTCACCATGACCTCATGTGACAAAACATTCTGGTTCATGAAGCAAGCAGATGGCCCAAGAAGGATGACGAATGCTGGGGTCTCAGCCTGGCTCCCTGGGAAGGCATTTAGCTATGTGACCTTCTCTGGACAGATTGGGGATTCTGGCGGGTATGCAGGGCCATCTCATGCAGAAAGACTCAGGCCTGCTCACAGGCTCACTCTGGCATTGTGGGTGGGAGAGAGAGGCCCTGCTTGGAGCCCAGTGGCAAGGGGGTTAGGTGGGATGGGAGTTGGGGATGGCAACCTCTGGCTTTCTTAGAGAGAAGCTGCTTTTCTTCCATTTTCTGATAAAAGTTGGGCTGAGATCTTCATACCTATTGTTCTGGAAATTTTCAAAGCCAAATATGTCCAGGAGGCCGATAGCCCTCCGCACATTTTTGGGGTCCTGGGCAGGTGGCGGGAAGATTGCAGCGTTGATCTTCTTGACAATCCACAGGAAGAGGTGTCCATAGATGCCCTGGGGAGACATGGGGTGAAGCCTCTGTGCTCCAAGGCCCAGAGGGAGGCTAACCCTTCTCCAAGTTCACCCAGAAAGGCTGCATGAAGATTGGATGTCACAGAACTACTGGGGGAGGTTACCCCAAGAAATCAAGCCCAGAGAGGCTGGGAAGCCCATAGTTCACTCCTAGGCGGGTGACTGGCAGAATTGGGACCTGTTCATCAGTCTCTGTTCTTTCTTGTTTTTCACCAATAGGGCCAGAGGCAAGCCCTATTCCCACATCTCCGTACCTTGACAAAGGCATCCCTCCGGTCTGCAGCCTGGGTGATGTTCAGGGGCCTGGTGACATATTCCCCACGGATAAGAATGGTGTGCTTGATCAGACAGTCTCGGAGCGCCTGGTACTGCACCTGGGGAAGCAGGTACAGCTGCATTGCACCTGTGGAGCAGCAGGGCCTGAACCCAGACTCCCACCTGCTCTCACTGTGTCTTGTTCCCTCTTGTGACTGAACACCCCATGACCAGGGCCTGAGGGAAGGCAATGCCTGTGACCAGGGTCAGGCCAGACTGGGGCCACAGCCAGGGTCCTGGGAGTACTGGAGTGCAGACAGTTAAGGAAAAAGATTGGATAGGACTGAGCATGCTGGTCTCCCGGGGTTTGGTAAAGGGACTTCTGGGAAAGGGCCTGCTATGGGGAGGGCTCTGAGGCCAGGCTTCAGATACCCAGACCTAAAAAGCAAGGGGAGTCTGGATGCACCACGGAGGGAACACTGAGCCGGCAAAACTCAAAGCTCCCATGTGCCTGCTGTGGTTTGAATGTGGCCTCTGAAAGTTCAGGTGCTGGGAACTTAATCCCCCAATTCATACGTTAATGGTAGTTAGAGGTGGGAACTAGGGGGGCAAGTGGATCCTGAGGCTGCTGCCTCATAAATGGATTAATCAGTTTGTGGATTAATAGATTACTGGGTTACCTAGGGAGTGGCTTTGTTATAAAAACAAGCTCTCTCTGGCTCAGTTGCTCTGTCTTGCCATCTGAGGCCACCAGTACATACGTAGCAGGTGGCCCTTGTCAGACCCAAGCAGATGTTGGTACTGCTCTTATCCCAAACTCCAGAACTTTTTTTTTTTTTAAATATTTTATTTACATTTTAGTTTTCGGCAGAGACAACATCTTTGTTTGTATGTGGTGCTGAGGATCGATCCCGGGCCGCACCCATGCCAGGGGAGCGCGCTACCGCTTGAGCCACATCCCCAGCCCCTCCAGAACTTAATTAACATAATTAAGAGAGAGATCAATTAACATAATTCTTCATAAATTACCCAGTCTCAGGTATTCTGCTACAAGAACCAAAAATGGACTAATATCCCTTAGGCCAAATAAAGGTGATTAATGTGAATGCTTTCCCCCCCATCCCCTCTAATCATATTGATTTCTCACAGAACAGTCCATGGGGTGTGATATGGAGAGTTCCCACTACAAAAATACATCCCCATCCAGAACCTGCCACCTTTCCTCCGGGTCAAGGCTCCTTTTGGTCCCTGGAATAATGTGAAGGGCTGATGGTATGAGTCATATGACTCACTGGCACAAGCCACTTTCCCAGAACAGCACAACTCCTGGAGAAGTCCTGGGGGACAGGGCACAGGACAGAGACATTCTGATGGGTGTGGGATTGGGTGCTTGAGTGAGGAGTTAGGGATGAATGTGGTATAGAGTGAGGATGTTGCATGGTGGGCCACTGGAGGGCAGGAGGGGACACTGGACACAGGAAGAAATGCAAATTAAAGCTACACTAGTCATTTCACTGCTTTGTTAGTGATTGGCTCAAATGGTCCCCTCCCTGATGCCCACCCTCAGGCGTCCCAGTGTATAGAAGGGCACAGAGATAGGGCTCAGAGCCTGGGAGAAGGAAGGGAGGTAGGGGTGCGGCTCCTGGGCAGGATTATGAGAATCAGGCATCAGTCTATGGGCCCAAGCTCTCCAGTCTCTCTCAAAAGTGGAAAAGAGCAAACATAGTAGCCTACTACCTCCAGCAAGTTCATCATGATGGGAAAGGTGGGTGTCTCCATTACATCAGAGGAGTCCAGGTTCTCGAAGACTGCAGCTAGAGAGAGAGAGAGAGAGGCAGCAACCCTGGGGTGGGAAAGTGGTGGGACAGAAGGCAGCCCCAAATCTGTACTTTGCAGCAACTGTCCCTGGGGGGTGGGCCACTGCCTTTCTCAGGGCCCTCTCATGAAGGGAGTGAATGTTCCTGGTGACCACCTGTCATTAGCACCTTAGCTGCGAATGAATGTAGGGAACCGTAGTTCCTTCTGTCTGATGAGATCAGGGTTCTGGGTGAAAGGGAAGTTTGAAGAATCTTGGGTTTTTTTTGGACTAAGTTGGGATACCCAGTTGGCAGGGGCACAGGCAGGGCCTGACTGGGATCTGTTACAGGAGAATGAGCCACCAGCTACCTTCAATCCACTCTACTGTCCCTAGACACCTGGACATTCATTTTGTTCATTCAATCTAATAAAGCAAGCATTAATGGAGCACTGACTGTAAACAACAGTCTCCTGACCACCTATCTACTTCAAGTTCTTTCTCTCTGAGCCACGATCCTCCTGCCAAGCTGGGGTGGGGATGCTGTTTATTTATCTTTTTTAATTAAAAATATTGTGAAATAAAACGTACAGATAAAAGTGCATCAAACAAAAAACTTATGTTGTTGTAAGGTCCATGCCATGAAATAACTAAAGCCAAATGTGGACCCTCCTCCCAACACTGACATCTTCTACGTGTCTTCTCCTTGTAAAGTGGTATTCTTCTCCCCTGGAGTAATACTTGCCCAACTTTCATGGAAATCTCTTTCTTGCTTCTTCTCATTTCCTACACGGGGTCCCTGGTGTTCCGTCTAGGCATGATCTCAGTGCCTGTTTTCTGTTTATTTTCATAACATCATGTTTCTGACACTCTTCCACCACCTAATGCCCACTTCTGGTCAGCATGCACTTCCCTGGCAGAAATGCCCAGTGGAGTTGATAGATGACAGCCCACCCTAATTACCACTGGCCTGCAGTCGGCTTTCTGGTATGATATGAGGTTGTGGCCCCAGCTCAGGTTTTCCGTGTGGACACCACTGCTCTGAAACAGTTTCCCCCCAAGCCTGTCCTTTCCCCACTGCTCTGTGAATTGATGTCTTTGGTTAGTTCTAGAACCAGTCACAACCCCTTCCAATATTGCTCTCTCTTTCTCATCAGGATTACAGCTACATCTTCTCACTTTGTCCTGTACGCTTCCTACCTATCCATCTTTCTGCCTTTCTATGCCTTATAGTTACAGTTTCTTCTGACTTTTCTTTTAGCTCACACATTCCTCCAGCTGCTAAATTTATCCACTAAGTTCGTAATTTTGATGTTGTTGTTGATTTTGGTACTGAGGATTGAACCCAGGGGCACTTAACCCCTGAGCTATATGCCCAGCCCATTTATTTATTTATTTAATTTTATTTGGGGGAGTTACCCAGGATTTAACTCAGGGACTATTGCCCACTGAGCCACATCTCCAGCCTTATTTTGAATTTTATTTAAAGACAGGGTCTCAGCAAATTGTTTAGCACCTCACTTTTGCCAAGGCTGGCTTTGAACTCGTGATCCTCCTGCCTCAGCCTCCCGAGCCACTGGGATTACAGGTGTGTGCCATCACACATGGCCTTTTTTATTTCTGAGACAGGTCTCGCTGAGATGCTGAGATGCTTGCTAAATTGCTGAGGCTGGCCTCAAACTTGCGATCTTCCTGCTTCAGTCTCCTGAATTCCTGGGTTTACATGCATGTGCCATTGTGCCTGGTGTGTTGTTTTTTAATGTTAGAATTTCTGTGTGGCTCCTTTTAAAATAAGTGATGTCATTTTCTAGAGTGTCCAGTTCCCTGTCTAAATATTCCTACTCAGATTTTTCTTTTCTTGAACACAGCAAGCAGAGTAGATCTCTTACTGTTGTTCAATTATTCCAATATCTGAAATCTTTGTTGCTTGTTGTTTCTGCTGGCACTTGCTCATGGTACCTGTTTTCTTGTTCCTATTTCTGGGCACATGCTGCATGTTGTATTTGAAATATTATTAGAAGGAATCATTAGTAATCTATGTTGCTGTTATTTTCCTCCAGAGAGGATTGTCAGTAACTTTGGTTAGGTGCTTGGGAGTACTAACAGGTCAGGATACCTAAATTCCAAGACCATCTTTTTTTATATATATAATTTTTTTAGTTGTTGGTGGACCTATATTTTATTTATTTATATGTGCTGCTGAGAATTGAACCCAGTGTCTCACACATACTAGGTAAGCGTTCTACCACTGAGCCACATCCCCAGCCCCCCTAGATCATCTTGATGCTTATGAACTAGCTTGCAATTTTGTGTGTAGATTTCTCTACATTGGTTCATCTTCACCCTGAACGTGAGTCCTTTGGAGTTCCAGCTAAAACTGGGGGAGTAACTGATCAGAGTCTCCACTTTTGGGGTTTCCTAAGCTTTGATGTCTTCTCCTAGGAGACACTCAAAACCACAGCTACATTTTCCGTGTGTATTTTTTCAGGACTGGGTTGGACCCTGTGACTTGTGGGCCCCTCTGGTACAAATCCCCAGCGACTTCTTCCTCTTACTGTCCCAGTCTCCCTACTCCTCCTCCCTGGGGATGCAACTGGGATAGAAACGGCCTTACCCATAAACTCCACATTCCCCAAGTGGAGAATGGCTGCCAACAGTTTGCTGATGTCCCAGTTCTCAGAGTCGGAGAAGAGAAGGATCTTCATGGCTGAGCGAACGTGGGCATAGTCCTTGGCATCATTGAGCCCCTCATAGGAGGTGCAATTTCCCTGCGAAACAGGACATCTCAGCTAACAGGGCTGCCCCATGTCCCAATTCCTCCACCCAGAGGCCAGCAAGGCCTGACATCCCAGAGACTCAGCCAAAGGCCACAGAAGTCATACTTCATTGGCTGTGGGAGGATCCTAAAGGGTCATATCTAGGCATAAGCTCAGAAATACAGGAAAGTATTCCCAGAGGCATGGGTACAGCATGCCTGCCTTGCCACCAGCGTTGGCACTTGGCTACAGTGTGACCTAGGGCCAGGTGTTCCCTGCTCCCTATTTGTCATCCATCCATGCTCAGCCTTGGTTTGTCTGTCTCTGTGCAATACTGTGGGCTCATCCCTTTAACAGACACTTCCCAAGGCTCACCATACTCCAGACCCTGTGATACTTGCTGGGAATTCAGAAATAGTGAGCTCCAGTCCCACTTCAGGTGCTGTGCATCCAGGAGGGACAGGAAGGCAGCAAGTGACCATGCCATGGGCTGTTACTGACGCTGGGACCAAAGGAACCAGGGCCAGCCCCATTGAGAGGTGGGGAAAGGCGTGCAGGAGGAGGAACCCGAGCTTATTAAGGTTCTGATCTTCCAAACAGCCCAGGGTGGAGATGGCAGGAGCAAGGCTGCCAAGTGGCAAGCAGTGGCAGGGACTGCCAAGAGGCAGGGCCAAGAGTTGAGAGGGGAGAGTGGGCATAGGGTCAGATCCTGAAGGGACCTAGAAACCATGTCAAGGAGCGTGGGCTTCTACCAAATCATTGTCGTCAGAGATCAAATTTGCACCATAGGAAGATTCCTTTGGCCACAGGTAGATGACAAATGGGAGATCAAGACTGATCATGAGGATGGGGGTGAGGAAACTACTGCCATGGTCCAGGCAAGGGCTGATGAAGGCTTTGAGGCAGTGACCACAGGAGAGTGGGTCATGCAGAAGAGAGATCCAAGGCGTGGAGTGCATCTACTCTCTTGTCAACCCATGTGAGCATGTAGCTGCTTGTGCAGTGCTATCCCAGGGGACAGGGACACAGTGGTGAGCAAGGCACCTACTTTCTGGGAGCTGATGTTCTGGGGGTGCCTACCAGGATGGGAGCAGGAGGCATGTGGATGACTCTCCAGAATTCACTGTACCGGGAGTCTTTTGGTTTGCAGGGACCAAGTGAAGGTGAGGTTTATGGGAAAAGGCCACAGGATCAGCTAGGGACCCCCGAGGTAAAGCTGGCAGAAGGGTAGGAGGAGGCATATTGTCAAGAGCAGGTCTCTGGCAGTCAAAAAGTGGATTCCAGACACAGAAGGAGCAAGGGCAGGTAAGGGTAAGGAGGACCATCAGCCCTGCCTCGGAGGCCCAGCTGGAGTTGGGGGATTTCTGTAGCTATAGAAATTCAAGGGTTGAGCAGACCCTGACCCTTCTCTCTGATTGCTACTGAGGAGTGGGACTGGCGGATGGGCTCACCATGGTCAGGTAGTGGTACTCAGAGGGCATCCCCAGGCCCAGCAGCTGCTTCTCCTCCGCACTCATCCCCATGAGCATGCAGTAGAAGATGTGGTAGTTCCGCTCCTCTGCAGCCTGAGAGGGTGTCCCCAAAGAGACATGTCAGCAAGTCCCCTGAGACCATCAGCCTGCCCACTGTCCCAGCTTCAATTCCAAGGTCCCCCAGCCAGGTGTGGCTCTGCCACTGATCCAAAGGCTGGCCTGGCCTGGCTGCCATCTTTGTCCTGGGCCTCCAGAGCCCATTCATCCCCTGCCTGGAGCTTCCTGCTTCTTGACTGCTTCTCTGCGGCCCTGAAGCCACCTGTGCCCAACATCATGCAGGACTCTCACAATCCCACACACTTTGCAATCACTTTTGTGACCCACCTGACAGCCACAGCTTATTTGGGCCTTGTATTTCTTTAAACACTATTTATAAATGCACCCCTTTGTAAATATTTAATCCATCTGAAGTATATAGTGCTATGAGTTGAGAGTTTCCATTTTGCTTCCTCCAGCTTGAAATCCCTTCCTCTCCCTCCTCAGAAGCCCTTGAGAGTCTGTGTTCCTTCTAGATATCAAATGCATTTACTTATATCTATAAGTAGTTCTTTTACTTTATATAAATATATATTTATTGTTCTTCGACTTCCTTTTTATTCATCTGTTTCTTGGTGATCCTTATACATCAATATACACAGCCCTCCCCCTCCTTTGCAATTCTGCCCACCTTCCTACAGTGTAATATGCCATATTTTTAATTTAATTTTATTGTTTTGATGCTAGAGATGGGACCCAAGACCTTGCACATGCTAAGTACATGCTCTATCTGTAAGCTGTACCTGCAGCCTATGCCATATTTCACTCGGTTTTTTATTATGGACAGGGCTTGTTTTTAAGCTTCCTTTAGAGGTTTCTCTAAACTTTCAGAGTACTATTTTGGGTGACAAGTTCTACAAATTCACCAGCCACTGTGTGAAGAAGGAGGGGCTTCTGGGAAGGGCAGGTCTTGGAGTCAGAGAGACTCGACCATGTGCTAGCTTTTTGACCCTGGCAAGCTACATAATCTATCTGGACTCAGTTTTTTCATCTGTACTATGGAGATAAAGAGCCCCATATCTCGTGGTTGTTGTGAAGAGCAAATGAGACAAGCAGGGGAAATGACCTCCTTCTCCAGCTTCCCATGTGCCAAAGTATCTATCTACCCTCTACCTTTTGTTGATAGTGTTTCCCCTGCTGGAATTTCATGTTTGTGTGTGTGTGTGTGTGTGTGTGTGTGTTAATGCGTGCATGTTTACAGACACACCCATAGACATTTGGGGTTATGCCATTATATGAGAGTGCACACACACACACACACACAAGGCTGCACTGACTCTGTGTGGTAGGTGTCTCACGTTGGCATCCCTGCCATTCAGAATCAGCTGTGTGATTTGTGGGTTACTGCAACATGAAATCACATGACCTCTTGCTGAAGAGTGAGAATTTCAAGATGGCAACAACAGAGCTCACACCAAGTGTGAGCCTTTCTGGGCACAGGGCCTTGGGTGATAGCATCAGCCTGCGTTTTCTGGTCATTGAGGCCTTCTGGACACTGTCAACTGGCTAGCCCCAACATGCCTGAAAATGCCCCCATCCTTAGCTGAGCACTAGCCCGGCCTCAGAATTAATTTTAATGTGGTGAGGCACCATGGCACCAAAGAATGAAGGAAATTATATGGTTGAAAAATTCAAAAATTCCAATGAATGATAGAAAATCCTACCACTGGTTTTGCTGGAATACTCAAGGGGCCCATGGGGTCTGGGAAGCTTCCTCCACCCAGGAATGGGGGTGGCGAGAGTGAGGAAGGTCACCCTCCTGGAGGGCTCCGGAATAATGGCAGAGCCTCACCTGCCGGCAGACTCGGGACTTCTCCAGGAGGAACTGCTCAATGCGTGCACCCTCGATCACCCCGCTGGCGTTGAAGTAGATGTCTATGTACTTCCCGAAGCGGCTGGAGTTGTCGTTGCGGATGGTCTTGGCGTTTCCAAAGGCTAAGGGTGAGTGGGTGACGTCCACGATGAGGGTAGAGAAGAGAAAACTGACTTTTAGAAGGGTCATCTGAGTAGGCGTTAGAGAAGCTGTCTGGGTAGGCCTCTCAGAGGAGGTGCCAGTCCAGAACTGAAGGAGGAGGAGGGTTACCCCAGACAGCCATCATGCAGAGGAAGGGGAAGAGCAGGAAGGGCTTGGAGGCCAGAAGGCACCTGTGTGCCTGCAGAACAGAGGATACAGGAGAAAAGCAGCGGCAAGAGGCCAGAGACAGTGGGATTAAGACTGAATGCCAGGCTCAGAATTTGGGAATTACTCCTGCAGGTGCTGGAGGAAGCAGGAAGTCTTCTTAGGGAGGGTGAGAGCAGATTGGTATTTCAGAAAGATGGTGCAGGCTGTAAGGTAGATGGAGAGGGCAAGCTTTCAGGGAGAGAGACATGAGCCGACCTGGCCAGAGGAAAAATGAGGTAGTCATTTGGGTTGTAGCACGATCCAAAGTGCCTTTTGTAGAGCTATTACTGCAAGCTCTTTGGATATGTCCCACAGTAACAAAGATATTTGGCTTTATGTTCTACTCCACAATGTGAAAGTTGCTAGAATCAAAATGGAGTCACTCATGTCAAACCCTAACCAAAAAATAAATAATAAAGCTGGGAGACCAAGGAGGGAGGGCTATCGGGATGCCCAGAACATGCCTATGATGAAAACTATTACAAAAAGTCCCGAAGGGCTCCTAACCATATATATTTGTCACTAGAACTTTTGCCAAGGGATTTCCTAACTTCATCTTGCAACATGAATCAAAAGGATAGCTGTTAGAATGCACAAGTACACCTGCTTGACACTGTCTCCACTAAGAATGGGTGTCCATTCCTAAGATAGGCCCCTGTAACCAATGTTTTCTGTTTCAAAACAAACTACATGTACTTCTTTCTTTTGCCTTTAAAAGCTTCCTCTTTCCTTAACTTCTTTGGACATGTGTATGGTCTCCACATGTCCTGGATTATAACACTCTGCCACTAGTGGATAGACTCAGTATTCCTTGGAGACTCTTTTGTTATTTAGGTTGATGACATACATCTGCATCGGCACACACATAATTAAAACAAAATATTTGGTGCAATTCTTAACAAGAGCAATGGCCTGGGTATTTTCTATTCTGTGGTAGTTTATTTGTTCTGAAAGACTGATTTCATGTCCCACTAGTGGGTTGGATACAGTTTGAAAATATCATCATCTGATGAAGAAGAGTGTTCCTTGGTGAACACAAATGAACACAAATCAGTTTAGGAATCACTTCCCCTAACCCTTTCTCTCTCTGAATCCTAAGGTATAGCAAAGCCTCTGAAAAGTGTCAGTTATGAACCTTATTTAATATATTGGAACCAGAGTGACCCTCACAAGATACTGGTCAGGTATCTCCTCAAGAAAGAATCTGATATAGAAATACTTTGTAAAAGTTGGCAAGCTGATTTTAACTTGTATATGGAAAGTTAAAGGACCTAGAATAGCCCAGTTTGAAAAACAAAACAAAATTTGAGGACATGGCTGAGGGTATAGCTCAGTTGGTAGAGAACTTGTCTCACATACAAAAGCCCTGGGTTCAATCCCCAGCACCACCAACATCCAAAAAAAAAAAAAAAAAAATTGGAGGACACAGGCTACCTACTGCAAAACTTCCCATAAAGTTACAGAAATCAAGACAGTGTGGTTTTGGTGAAAGGTTAGACAGAGAGTAATAGACTAAACAGAGAAACAGGAATAGACCCAGATATGTATGGTCGATTTAGACAAAGGTGCAAAGGCAAGTCAATGGAGAAAATTAGTCTTCAACAAATAGAACTGGAAGACTTATATATCCACACACAAAAAAAGAGAGAGAGGGAAGAAGAGAAGAAGAAGAGAAGGAGAGAGGCTACTTATACCTTGCACGTTGGAAAAAATTAGCTCAAACTGGATCATAAACCTACATCTAAGACCTAAAAGTATAAACACCAAGAAAAAAAATAAGAGAAACTCCTGAGTTTAGGTAAAGATTCCTTAGACCCCACACCAAAAGCATAATCCATTAAAGAACAAAATGATAAATGAAACTTCATCAAAATTTAAAACATCTGTCCCACTAATGACAATATTAAGAGAATGAAAAGATAAACTACACATTAATAAGGAAATAAACCAATTAAAAAATAGTCCAAAGATTTGAACAGATACTTCACCAGAGAAGATATACAGAAGGGAATTAAGGCCATACAAAGGTGCTCAACGTCATTTGTCACTGGGAAACTGGGAGTTACAGCCACAGTGGGGTACCACACAACACATATCAGAATGATGAAGATCTCCTTGATGGTGCCAGGTGCCAGCAAGGACAGAACAACTTGAACTCTCATACTCTGCTGGTGGGAAAACAAAATGGTACAGCCATTTGGACAGTTTCTGATCAAGTTGAATGACTCACTCACTATTGGAGCCAACAATTTTACTCTTGCATATTTATTCAAGAGAAAAAAATGTTCACACAAAAACCCATATAGTGAGTGTTTGTAGAAGCCCTATTCATAATTTCTAAAACCTATAAACCACCTAGGTATCCATCAATTGGGGACTAGACAAAGTGTTGGTAACTCCATAGAATGAAATTCCACTCAATGTTAAAAGGAATGGGTTGTGGATAGAGGAAAATAACATAAAAGAACCCCAAATGCATTACATTAATGAGTATCGCCAGTGTATGCTAGTGTAATCACCAAAAGTCGACAGATTGAGTGATTTCACATCTAGGATATTCCAGAAAAGACCAAAACTTCAGGGGGATAAAAACCAAATCCGTGGTTTCCAGGGGCGGGGGCTGGAAAGATAGATTAACTATAAAGGGACACGAGGGCAATTTTGGAGAGTGATGGAAATATTCTACATAATTATGATGGGTGGGTTATGGGAATGAATGTGTCTGTTAAAAATCATGAATCTGTACATTAAAAAAGGTGATATTTTGGGGCTGAGGTTGTAGCTCAGTGGCAAAGTACTTGCCTCATATGGTGAGGCACTGGGTTCAATCCTCAGCACCACACAAACATAAATAAAGATACTGTGTGTCCACCTACAACTAAATAAACATTTTTTAAGGTGATTTTTTACTGTACATAAAGCCCATCCCAGTCATAAGGAAATGGGAGATTGTGCTGTATAGCAGCTGGCAGCTTTGGGGCTGAGGTCACAGATTTCTTGGGCCATGCTTACCAGGGACTAAACCTGGGTGACTCTGGATCTAAGGACTCCTCTAAGGAGCAGTTTGATCCAGAGGCCTTCGTTGGGTTGACAAAGCTTTGTGGGCCTGCTGCAAAATCAAACTGTGGGGCCTCTTGCTAAAAGTGAGAATTTCAAAAGGGTGGCAGCAGAATATTAAACCAAGCTTGAACTTCTCCTCACCCTATTCTCCTTCTTTTCCTCTTTCCTTCTGAAGTATCCAATCAGCATCACCATCTGAAGCTTTGCCCTGCTCACTCCTACTTCCTCCCGTTTTATTCTCTGTGCTACCCCCTCAAAAAAACCCTTGCAACGCTAACTGTATGTAGTCCAGTAACTGCTTCTCAGGGGACCTAAACAGATGCAGCTGATATTTCCCAAATTGATTTAATCTTGGAGCCCCTTTTAAGAGGAATACTTCTTGTATCCTGTGTAAAACATACATAATGCAAGTTTATGAAGTTATCAGTCAACTCCCTTCCTGCTGCCAGGGAGCCCCGTGCTTCCATATGGAGGTTTATGACTTACCCTCTCTCTTCCTGCAGGAAGGCTCCCATCTAAGGGGCTGGGAGAGGAGGGCAATTCCCCAGGGTGACCACTTACCTTCCAGGATGGGATTAGCCTCCAGGACCTGCTGCTCAATCCAGGAATGCTGGCCACTGACAGTGGCCAGGAACTGCAAGATGAGCTTGGTGGTCTCCGTCTTTCCAGCCCCAGACTCACCACTGCCAAAGAGACATGCAAGGACATGAGTCCATAGAAAAACTATTTTTTCAACACCTCTCAACTCTCCTTCAAATCCACCCAAAGCCTGTTTTCTGGTCCCAGTCTAACAGGGACACCTTTTCCCCATGCAGAGATCTCACAGCATGGCCCCTTCCTGAGGCCCTCAGATAATCAATGTTGAAGAAGTTATTGATGTGTTTGTCTTTTTTTCACTGCTTGGCTGCAAACTCCTTGGCACAGTCAGATCTGGCTCATTCCAGAGCCACTTGGTACAGTGCCCCATAAATACAGATGAATGAACAAGACCTTTTATTTTTGATTTTGAGATGAGATCTTGCTAGGTTGCTGAGGCTGGCCTTGAGACCATCCTCCGGCCTCAGCCTCCCAAGTCGCTGGGATTACAGACATGTGCCACTGTGACCAGCTCCACCTGTACTATTTGAAGTAAATTCCAGACAAATATTATTTCCTCTGAAAGTATAACCTTTTGAAGAACCCATGATCAAGGTGTTCACATGTGCTATGCCAACAAAGCAGAGTCAAACCAACAATCTCCAGTCATAGTCACAGACCCCTGTGAGCACCTGCCACAAACAGGAACTCATCAAATAACCTGCTAATTTCACAAGGGAAGAGAAATTAAGGGGACTTGCTCACAGTTCGGCAGAGCGGGAGTATGTGGGGGTTTGTGTGCTAGTTACTATGGTTTGAATATTCCCTCCAAAACTCATTTTGGAAAAATAAAAAAAAAAAAACTCTTATTGTTTGTTTGTTTTTTGAGATTGGCTCCTGCTAGTCTCAAACTCCAGGGCTCAGCTGATTCCTGCTTGGCCTCCCAGGTAGCTGGGACTACAAGTACATACCACTGTGCCCAGCTCCTTGTTGAACTTTAATTGCCACAGTGACAGTATTAAGAAGCAGGGGATTAGGTAAAAGATGTATTAGTGCTATTGTTTCAGAAGTGGGCTCTTGAGGAAAAGATAAGTTTGACCCCACTCACCCTCTGTGCACTTTCTCTCCAAGTTACGACATATGCCGTGTTTCTCATGTAGCACAAGGTCCTCACCAGATGTGCCCCTCTACCTTGAACTTCCCAGCTTCCAGAACCATGAGCCAAATGCACTTCCACTATTTATAATTCACCCAGTCTTGTAATCTATTATAGCAGCAGAAAATGGACGAGAGAGCCCAGTTTGACTTAAAATGATGTTCTGTTCATTACAGCGTGCTGGGTACTAAGGAACTCTTTCCTCTTCTCAGCCCACACCCCGTCAGCACTGCCACCCTCCAGGTAGAAGCCTGCCCTGTGAGCTTCCTGGCCAGCTGTCATGCAGTCTAGCTCAGCTCAGGAGGCCTCTTGCAGCAAGCAGGTCATCCTGTCTTGGGAGACAGATTGGGACAGATCTCTGTCTTCTCCCTTTCCCTGCTGTATGCCACTGAGAAATGGTCTCAATCTCTCCCTAACAGTAAAATAAGAATATCTTCCTCAGAGGGTGACTGAGGACATTAAATATGATCACCTATGCTATAGAACATCATTCATGTCTCTGGTTGAAACAATGTCCCTGCTCAGAGAGGCTGTGCCTGATCTCCCTTACACCTGAAGCAGCATGCCCTAGAATGTGAGCTCCACAAGGCAGGGGTTTTACCTGCAGCCATTACCCATGTCAGACCTGTGAGGGGCGTGTGGCTAGGACATGATAAAATCTCAAATGAACTAATGGACCAAAAACGAATAAATGAATGACTACTGGCACATCAGTCCAGATGCTCTGCAGCCCAATTCCCGCTTCACCTCCCTTTCCCTCTTCCTCTCCCTTTCCTTTGGCAGCAGGAGGTCCTGTGGTCACAGGAAGAGAGAGGCCAGGCCAGTCCAGGCCAGACGAGGACTTGAGAGGCCTGTGAGCTGCTCTTGGAGCTCGCCTGAGGCCTGCCCTAAGATTTTATTTTTGAGTGAGATCTCACTCTCAGTTTGAGCCCTGCTCTCCCAAGGGCCTGTCTGGGCCCCATTTCTAAAGCAGCCATTCCACCTTTCTTCCTTGCCTCAAGAAACATTTATTGAAGGCTGGAAACACCCAGGCCCTGGTGATCCAATGAAAAACCAGGTTCTGAAAGAAGGATGCTTTGGAGGGACATATCCTGGGGGAGGGGCAGCAGGGGACAGTTCCAGGTGATCTGTGTGCCCTTCAGAGGGGTATTTGCAGCTGAATAAGAAGAGCCCCTATGCAAATTAAGAGCCAGCCTCAGCAACTTAGCTAGGCCTTAAGCAACTTAGAGAGACCCTGCCTTAAAATTTAAAAAGGGCAAGGGATGTGGCTCAGTGGTTAAGCAATCCCCAGTACAATAAAAAAAAAAAATCACACCAGCCTCAAAGGCATGTTGGTCACACATGCTTTAGGGAAAGGGGTTGTTCCTTCCTTCCTTTGCAGGATGTTTGGGCAATGGCTGACCCCTCTGGCCCCCAGAAACATGGGCACCTGAGCCCCACCTGATGACACAGCACTGGTCCTTCTTGTTCTTCTTCATGCTGAAGTAGCAGCTGTTGGCAATGGCGAAGACATGCGGGGGCAGCTCCCCCACGTGGCGGCCATAGTAGAGTTGCACCTGCTCCAGGGTGTACAGGGGCAGCATCTGGAAGGGGTTCACGGCCACCAGGATGGAGCCTGTGTATGTCTAGGGAAGGAAACAGGAGGTGGTTAGTGTCTCTGCCCTAGGGAAGAGCTATTTGGCCCTGGCCTTGGTCTTGGGTGCCACCCCTTGAAGGTTACCAGGACTGCAGACTCTGGTGGAAAGTAGGGTTTGATTCTGGGCAAGGAGGAAAGACTCACACTCTCAGATGCTCAGGGAAGCTGGGGTGTCCACCAGGAAGGTGAGCTTCCGTTGGACACATTCAAAATAAGATTATATGTTCAGCACCCTGCCTGGTGCTTATGGGGGACTTGATAAAATGGGCTGAACGTATGAAATGAAGTTCTACCTGCTTCCTGTAGGAGCCTCTGTAAAGGCTGTAGCCCTCACTGATCCCAACTGCACCTTCTGTGGACTCCAGGTCTCAGGGACAAGCCCCAGTCCTGGGACCACAGCCTAGGACCACCTGTTCATTGGGAGCCCTCAACTAGGTCCAGCTGCCCTTATGAGGGTGGGGCAAGGAAACCTCCACCATAAGACCCAGAATTATCCTCTGCCTTCAAGGTGAAGAGGGTCAGATCAAGGATGTCTGCATGAACACTTTGCAAAGGATGAGGTACAGTTCAGGTTATCTTGTTGTTGTTCTCAGTCTCAGGGGCTCTGATCCACATTATTCAGACAGAGCACTCCCTCCTCAACTGGTGGGTGGGGGCACGGGAGTCCTGGATGTCACTCTCAGGAGGACTGGAATGCTCCATCAGGTTACCCTGTTTGTGACATGCCTAGGAGTTGAGGGGTGGGAACAGGAAGCTGTGCTCATCCCAATGTCTTTCAGTGTCTACCTGACCTGTCAGAGCAGGTCCTCGCTCAGCAACAGACAGAGGAAAGGGCAGCACTCAGAGCACCTAGTGTGTGCCAGGTACTATGCTCTCAGCACACATCAGCTTCCTCTCCTCAAGGGTCTGATCCCTGCTTCTTTTGTGTTAGAAACAGAGATTGAGAAAGGCCGGATACCCCACCTCCTCATACAGTGAGGATACGGGGAGTGGTGCCTAGCTCCAGATCCCCTGGGCGGTCATAGTTTCACCCCCATGGAAGGTTCCCAGATGGACACAGGGTAGGGGGACTCACATAGATCTTGTGCTGCTGATAGCGGATCAGGAGGTTGTGCACCATGCCTGCCTCGTTCAGGTCCCCCAGGCGGATCATGTCGTCTACACCCTCAACAGAGTTGGGGTGCATGGGGCTAAGAACACCAAAGTCCTCTGCTTGAATCCAGTGTTCCTGGAATGATGGACACAGACTCCCTTGATGGGCAGCCTCCACATGGACCAGTCCCCTAGTACCCTACTTCTCCACATTGCCAGGCACAAGGTGACTCATGTGATGAGCACAGATGAGCTGACCTGGGGCTGATGGCCAGTCTCTGGCCAAGGTCAGTCTGTGGCTTAGGTCAAGTGACACCTGTGACAAAATCAGGTCCAACTGTGGTTTTGGTCAGCATGTGTCAAGGGCCTGGGGTACATATGTAGCTGGGCTGGGGCCAAACCTTAGGCTGGGGTGGAGGAGCTGGTAGCTACAAGTTAGATTTGAGGTCATTTTACAGCTGGGGCCTCACCATTGTTGGAATAAGTACAAATAAAAGTGTTTTTTAAAAAAATCATAAATGGATGTTGAATTTTGTCAAATGCTTTTTCCTGTATCTATTAACACAAATATATGTTTTTTTTTCTTTGTCTACTGATTTGGTGACTTATACTGATTTATTTTCAAAATGTTGCAGGAATTTTGTATTTCCAGGGTAAACCCCATTTGGTTATGATGCATTTTCTTTTTAACATGTTGGCTAATATAGAGGGATTGCTAATTTTTAAAAGGACTTATTTGTGTATATGTGGTACTTGGGATTGAAGCCAGGGGTGCTCTACCACTGAGCTACATCCCCAGCCCTTTCTTTATTTTTAATTTTGAGACAGGGTCTTGCTAAATTGCTCAGACTGGCCTTGAGTTTGGGATCCTCCTCCTGCCTCAATCTCCTGAGTCACTGGGAATTTAGGAGTGTGCCATAACACTGAGCAGTGAAAGTGTTTTTGAAAAGCCATACAGCATTATGCAAGTGGGAGGTTCTACGTGGCTCCACATGGCTTCCGTAATCTGGAGCTTCTAGGCACCAGTCTAGAAGTTTCTCCTTTAGGCCATGTCTGCAGGAGCTGCACCCTGGAGCCTGTCTGGGCGGGGCAGTTGGTCAGCCTGAAGAGTGAGGTGACCAGCTGGATGCTTGCCTTGCAACCCTAGCCTCACCGCTCTGCCCTCAGTGGCCCCTGCCTCCTCCAGGTGGGTGAGCTTCAGGTCTGGCCACCCTAAGGAGCCAACCCTCACCTCTGCATTTCTTCCCTTTCCTCCCTCCTCCACAGGTTTCTGGCCCACCTTCCCTCCAACTCCCCTTCACTCTGAACACCAGCTTTCAGCTCTCCCCCACCTGCCCTTGCCCTTCCCCCTCCCTCCTGCTCTCCTAATTCTCTTCCTTTCCCCAGGATGCAACTCTTGAAACATCCCCAAGAGGAACACATAATGTTCTCCAGGGCAGGACTTCACCGTGGTCTGTCCTGCCACAGAGATCTTGGGCTTCTGAACCCTCAATGCTGGGGAGCAGCAGAGGCAGTGGGCTCCGGAGCCCCAGTGGGATGGGCACAGGGGAAAGCCCCCAACACTGACCTTGCCCTCGTCATCCTCGACCAAGACCTTGCCTGGCTTGGTTTCTTTGATGATGCCCCCGATAGCCACTTCAGCCTTGTTGGTAGAGGCAGGCTCCAGCCACACATGGTCACCCTGGAGGGCAGAGAGGAGACAGTGGTCTGATCCCTGTTTCTCTTCCCTTTCCCACTGGAGACTTACCTGTCCTGGGGCTGGCTGTCCTTTTAATCTGGAGCTCCTAGGTGGCTCTGTCTCTCCTCTCTTTCTCCCTTCCTCCCTCTCCCTCCCTCTCTCCCACACCACCCTCCTCTTCCCCTTCCCCTTCTCTTCCCTCTCTCTCCCTTTCCTTTCTTCTCTCCCCCACTCTCTTTCCATCCCTCCCTCTCTTACCTCTTTCCCCTTCCTCTCCTCCTTTCCCTCTCTGGTCTCCTCTGAGCATGTGTCATCTGTACTGCTCAATAGGCAGGTACCAAACACTGTCTATTCAGCTTTTTGCTTTGTCTCTACCCTGCCTGGGACAGTAAGTCCACCAAAGACAGGAGCTCCCCCACAGTGACCATCATAGAGAAAGACAACAGTAACCAAATTCAGCCACTATTTATGAAAATAGTGAGGTGGGGTGGTTTAGAGCAAATGAAAACGACAACAGGAGTTGAACTTCTCACTTGCATCCTCTCGGAAATCTACAGCAAGCAACTAGGAGAATGAGAAACAGAAGCAAAACACCATTTTCAGTGAAAGTAGGAGATGGATGAGCCATTGAGCAGGCCGGAGAGCATTCTGGTAAAAGATGAAGAACGAAGCTGAAAAGAGGGCCCCAGCTGCAGATTCCAGAAAGAGCTGGAAAAGTTCATTTCTCCAAGTCCAACACATTCTAATGCAGCATGTCTCATTGCATCAGCAGAGAAAGGGCAAGAAGTGGTAATAGGAGCTTCCTTGGCCTGACTTGGCTCTAAGAAACGAGATGCCATATTTGCAGGAAGCAGTCTGTCTGCGAAGTGGGAAAGGGAAGCTTTGCCCTGTGAAGAGCCCGACAGTACCCAAATCCATTGGCAGGGAGAGGGGCAGACTAAAAAGTCAATGCTAGCCTGCAACATGTCATCAACCACACCTGAACTTGCTGATCCAAGAAAGTTAATCCCACTCCAAGGAGAATAAACCCAAAGGAGCCAGCACAGGCCTAATACGAAGATACTGAAATCCAAGGGAGGAAAAGAGCATTCAAAGAAGAAGAAAAACAAAAACAGAAATCCCCAAAACAAAGCCTTTCAGAGCAGTAGAAAGTAAAAGCCAAGTATTTCACCATCATGTATTAAAATATACCAAAGTGCACCTCAGAGGCCAAAGAACTCAGGAACTAGATAGCAAGACAACTGAGACTGAAGAGGTATGAGTTGGCAGAGTTCGAGAAAGAAATGAAGGGTAAGAAATAAATTAACTGGAAATAAAAGGAAAAAAAAAAAAAAACAAAAACAGGAGACTATGCATTGTTAGGTTTGAATGTGAGGTGTCCCTCAAAAGCTCACATGTGAGACAATGCAAGAAGGTTCAGAGGAGAAATGATTGGGTTATAAGAGTCTTAACCCAATCAGTGAATTGATCTCCTGATGGGATTAACTGAGTGGTAATTTAAGTGGGAGGGTGTGGCTGGAGGAGGTGGGGTTTGGGGCGTGGCTTTGGATATACATTTGTATCTGGAGAGTAAAGCTGCTCTCTCTGCTTTCTGATCTTCATGTGAGCTGCGTCCCTCAGCCACACTCTTCCGCCTTGATGTCCTGCCTCACCTTGAGCCTGAAACAAACCTTTCCTCCTCTACAGTCTTTCAGTCGCAGCAGCAAAAAAAGCTGACTAAAACATGTACTGACAGCAAAATTAGGACAAGAATCCTAAAGATAGGAAAGAAAAGAGTGAGCAAAATGACAAGGAAATTTTTAGAAAATAGAATTAGGAAGAAAAAGATAGATACACAGAAGACGGGAAAAAATACAGAGTATCCAAAGAAGAAAGCTAGAAAGGGAAGAAAAAAGCAGCAAAGTTATTAAAGATACAATTCAAGATAACTTTTCAGAAATTAAAGAAACCTTGAATCTGTAAACAGAAGACAGATTCCAGGTACCAGAAATGGGGGGAGAGAGATCTGGTACCAGGGGGAAAAAATGACCTGGTCCAAGAAAAATAAAAATCAAATCCAGTACAGATTCAGTGCAATTCCTATTAAAATACCAATGACATTTTTTTGACAGAACAAGAAAAAGCAATCCTGAAATTTGTATGGAAACACACACACACACACACACACACACAGCTGAAGTCTGCCGGGTTTCTGGTCGCGACTAAAAGGCTCAGGGATCATTCCAGTTGAACTGGGCTAACTGGGCTGCGCAAAATAACCACACAAGAGACACAAATACCTTTTTCTTTGGGGTAGCTGTGACAGCTCCCCTGACCTTAAGGGTCCGTAGAAAGAGAAAGAACGAGAGCACTCGCTGACCCCTTTTACTGAGGAGAAGCTATTCAAATGAGGCAAGGGGTCAGGTTTCAGGGGGCTGAGTCTATCTTCATGATGTCCACTGTCAGCAGGTTGACTGACATCTGGGTAGGCCACACCCAAGGACACAGTAAAAGAAGGGGACACACACACAAGGCACTTCCATGGAAGGTTCTATCCTAAACAGGGCAAGGAGTTATATTATAAAGGAACAGGTGAGCGTAGCTTCACCCATGGGGCTGTAGCAAGACACCCATGCACGAGACACCGACCCTGGAACCCAAGAAGGGTGGGGAAAGCTCTGCCACATTTCTTCGACTGAGTGCCTCAGCACCCAGCCGGGGAGTGTGACCCAGTCACGTGCAAGGATGGTCTCCCACAGAAGTCATCTTTACCAAAAAGAACAAAGCAATAGGCAATACACTGTCAAAATATATGATACAGCTGTAGTACAGAGAGGTTGCAGAGTCAGAGTAGGCCCAGGAGAGCTGGGGAGTAGGGGTGAGGATCTAAGTCCTTTTGTACCTAGAGGGAAGCCAATGATAGATAACATTGAAAACCCAAATATCAAGTATCATCATAACCTCTTTACAGACACAGGTGGAAAATTTGAAGGGATCAACTAGAAGGGTTGGTGGTGGTCACTTCTAGGGAAGAGGAAGTGGGGCACTGACTCTTGTAAGCTGTGTGTCTACACAACTTTATAAAAATAAAAGTTAGCTAGGCTCGGTGGCACATGCCTGTAATCCCAGCAACCAGGGAGGCTAAGGCAGGAGAATTGGGAATTGGAGGCCAGCCTAAGCAACTTAGCAAGGCCCTGTCTCAAAATTTAAAAATAAAATAAAAAGGGCTGGGACTGTAGCTCAGTGGTAGAGTGCCTCTGGGTTTAATCCCCAGTATGGCAAACAACAACAACAACAACATTAATAATAATAGCTAAATTATGTGAGCTGCGTCCCTCAGCCACACTCTTCCACTTATAGCAAGGAGCATTTATTACAGGATGCAGAAGACAGCAGGAAAATACACTGTATCAAGTTAATTAAATTACATACAAACTCTCAGAGACTGAGGACAAGCTCTCTTAGGACCAGGCTGAAATTTCAGTGTAAATGTGGGCATTGTGCAGTGAAAACAGCTGGCCAGTCACCAAAGTGAGAAGATTTAAAGTCAAAGATATATGATGAGCTTCTCGCAGCAAAATTGACATTAACCAGAGATGAAAAAAAAAAAAAAGAGAAACTATCTCCAGGGTAAGCCCAGTGATGAGGTGTCTGCCCAACAGGACCTGGAAGAAGAACTAACAGAACTGGAGTATGGATTATGCAAAGTAAGGAGCAATGGGTTTGCCATTTGGCCAGAGGTGCCCTGGGAAATAAATGGGAAGCCAAGTGGCAGAAAACAGAACTTCTTCCTGAACTCTGTGATGTCTGTTCAAAAGCAACTGAATCCTGGCAAGAAGGGGGAAAAGCAGGAGCTGTCAACTGCAAAGGAAGTGGAAGTGCATGTTGAGGTTCAAGGAATAGAGGCTGATTTACAGAAGCAGGGACCTCTGTGGCCTGTGTTGCTTTCTTTTTGCAGCTCAGCATGCAGAGGAAGAGGGAGCACCAGTCAGAGACGGAGATGACTACACAGAAACCCAAAGCTGTAAAGGCCACTCTCACTCCTGAGCACCTGGTTCTCAGATGCCTTCACACTGACATCTCCCAAGACAAGCAGCTCTTTGGCCCACTCGCTGGCATGAGCAGGGCTCCCGTGTGCCCACCTGCTATGCTTCTCTTCTCCTAGTAGGAGAGATGGGCTGGAGGTGGCTTGGTGCCTTGTAGTGGAGTCGTCAAGGACTCTCAGGCAGCGATACCTGGGGTGTCAGCCCCAGTGCAGTTCCATCAATAGACTTGAGGCTCCTCCCATTGGCAGGGACTGATGGTTGGTACCCTATTTCTCCTAGAAATGCCCCCCTACCTGGGTGCTCATTCATGAGATCTCTTCCCTGTCTGATAAGGAACGGGTTGACTGCACTGTGATTGTCTGTCATTTAGGCCCCCTAGTTTGTCATATTTTCTTACGGCAGCCTGATCAAACTAATAGAAAGTGCTTTTGAAGTCAGACAGACCTGGTTTTTAACCCCTACCCAGTATCACTTGGATTTTTAATGACCCTCTAGTGTCCATGTGTTGGAAGCTTAGATCCCAGTTTGGTGCTACTGGGAGGCAGTGGGAACCTAGTGGGGGATTCTGCCTTTTATTTAGCAATCACTTGGGCCTCTGAAGGATTCATTGATAAATAAAGATGACAACCCTCCCCTCAAAGAACTTGTAATCTTAGAAGACCGAGGAGCCTGCAGTTGTGATTATGAGTAATACAGCCCCAGAAGTTATCTTCCCAAACTCTGCTTGAAGTTAATCGTGCAGACTAACGTCTGTGCCACTTGGAAGACATTCCAGCTGATGCCTGCCATGGCACCTTCCTTGGTGAAATAGGTTTGGCTTTGCCTTGTGTTCTGATTTAGATCTGGAACGTCCCCCCAAGTTCATGTGTTAAAAGCACGGTCTCCAGCAAGGTTCAGAGGTGGGTGTTTTAGGCAGTGACTGAATCCTGAGAGCTTTGACGACCCTAGCAGATTAATAATCCACTGATAGCTAGATAGTCTGCAAGGAGGTCTCACTTATTTGAAGGAAGCAGGTCACTGGGGGTGTGCCCTGGAAGGGGGGAAGTAGGTCACTAGGGGTTTATCTTCTCCCAGGTCCCTTTCCTCTCTCTCTCTTTCTCTCCTTCTCTCCTCCTTCTCCTCTCCCTTTCCTGGCTACCATCAGCTAAGCAGCTTTCTCTGCCATGCCTTTCTGCCTTGGATCCGGCTGAATCTCCGAACCTGTGAGCCAAAATAACCCTTTCCTCCTCTAAGCTATTCTTGTGACACATTTTGATCACAGAAATGAAAAGCTGATGAAGACAATGTGTTTATCCTGATTTGAACTTTACACAATGTATATATACAGGTATCAAAAACACGTGGCACCTTGTAAATATGTACAAATTTTGTTTTTATGCATCAGTTAAAAATAAGTTTAAAAATATCATGATCTAGTACAGTGCCAAGTCTAATGTTTGCAATGCAGTAACCAAAAGCCCTTGCAAAGTTTTAGACTGCAGGAATAAATGGATGAATCACAGATGAAAACGGCCTCATCTCCAGTCTGTAAAATTTAAAAACAATAACCACCAACCCTCGCTGCCCATTCAGAAGGTCAGAAGCTGCCAGAGCCCAGTCCTAGGAGCCTTGGGGCTCTTGCTTGGTGATGGGCCCCCTCCCAGCCGTGTGGATCCAGCACCTGGGGAGAATGGCTACTGTGTATGGGAGAACAGTGTGTGCATTTTTTTTTTTTTAAATCAGAAAGGACTTTGCAGCACTATTCAGGGCTTTGTGGGGCAGAGGCAGAGGTGGGAATCTGGGGAGCAGGGAAAGATGCCCAGGTTGGTTTGGGGGCCCCAGCTTCCCAGCCTCCCAGCTTCTTCTTGCCATATACACTCCATTCCAGGTGGTCTGAAGGCCTTTCCCAACCCCCTATAAGGGAAGTTTCTCACTGTCTGTTGATTCAAGAGTAAACGAAAAGTTTCCCTGTTTCCTGAAGGCAGAGTCATCTCTTGGCCACTGAAACACAGATATTTGCTAAAAGGAACATGATGCAGAGTCCAAAGTGGTGACTTGACCCAGGGTCTGATTCCCACCCTGTTCCCTGTTCCATAGTCGACTGTTTTCTCTGGGTGAGATCTTAGAGTGTCATCATGAGACAACAAATTTGAAATCCCTTTTTTAAGCCCTACATGTAAGAGGGATTACTATGCACGTGGCTAGAAGCTTTCTAAAGTAAACTGTTGTCTTTTGATAATAGATTCTATCTTGTTCCTCAAACTCCCTTATCTGTGGTACTTTCCGTCTAGGTCTCTTTGCCTTTCTTCTTCATTCTTTGGAAGTGGTTCAGCTCAGCCTTGGGTAACTTCCACAAATAATCCCTCGATTGAATAAATGCAATTCTTACCAGCCTGAACACCGACATCCTGGGTCAACAGCTCCACACAGCCTGTATGTAGAGAGAAAGCAGAAGGTCAGTGTGTCGTGTTCCCCGAATGTGGAGCTCCCAGAGGGCAAGGGCTGTGCATGGTCATCAACCAGTTCCTAAATGTCTGGATCATTAAATGGCTCTGAACAAATGGATACATGAGTCCCGTCCCATCCCAGGTGCAAGATGATGCTCTTTCAGCCTCCACTGTCTTGCCCCTTTATTGAACGACTATTTTGTATTCATCTGTGGACTTGACAGGGAGTGGGGTGGTGCCCTGTCATCCAGAGCACAAATGTTGTCTGGTTGGATATCCATGACAACCAGTCATCACCACACCTCCTGGGAAGTGCTCAGCTAAGCGGCCACCAGAGCAACACGCATGTCACATATGTGTAAGCCTCAGAGCACTCCAGAAGGTGGGTGTCTCCCCATTTTTCACATGGGACTCAACAAGGAAAGATGGCTCAGTTAATGAGCACACAGCTGGGAACCGAACTCAGATCTGCTTCATCTCACAACTTCCTGGCACCTGGCTGCTCCAGGTGCTTTGAGAGCCCATGGGCAGGCCTGATTAGCAGCCAGCAGGTGGAGGAGGTACCCAGAGCCTCAATCTGCCTGATCTGAAGAAGATGGCCATCACCCATGACCCTGCCTTGAGCACTGGCACCTTCCCTTCCTCACACTGGCAGTGTGCGGCAGGTGCTGGCTCTGTGGTATTCATTGCCCTATTTTCTGCACCTACCACAGCCTGCCCCACACTTAGTAATATATGTCCCATGAAGAGGCACATGAGACCCCTCAATATTATTATTATTATTTTCATATTTTTAATTTGTTTTAATTAGATACATATGATAATACAATGATCTTGACATATCATACATTTGAATCAGATGGGGTATAATTTCTCATTTTTCTGAGTGTACAGGTTGCAGAATCACATTGGTCATGCAGTCACGTATATACACACAGCAATAATAAGGTCTATTTTATCCCTGGATATTATTTTGATGGTGGCTTTGAGAATGCACAGTAGCGGAACCAGCTCTGAGAACAGATACCTTCATCCGCATATTACAGGAATGTAGAGACTAAGAAATGCTGAGACTTTATCAAAGCTGTCCAACTGATATTATGGTTTGGATCTAGAAATGTACCCCCAAAACCTCATGGCCCCCACGCAGCAAGATACAGACATGGGGCTTTTAGACAGTGATTGGGGCTATAATCTCACTAATGTGTTAATCCAAAATGGATTAATAATTTGAATGAACTAGTGGGTAATAATTTTAGGTAGATAGAACATGGCTGGAGGAGGTAGGTCACTGAGGATGTGGCCTTGGAATATATATCTGTCCCTTCCCCTGTCCCGCTCCTGTTCCAAGGTGCCATGAGCCAAGCAGCTTGCTCCCCCAACACTCCCTTCTGCCATGATGTTCAGCCTCACCTCAGACCTAGAGCAATGGAGTCAGCCGGCCAAGGACTGAATCTCTGAAACCATGAGACAAAATAAACTTTCCCTCCACTAAGTTGTTCTTAGGTATTTTGGTCACAATGCAAAGCTGAGTAATATAATTGGTAAGTGAAGAAACACAGTCTTCTCCCCAACTTCGACATTCATCGACAAGACATAACAATAATAAAACTTATATGCTCCAAACAATGGAGCATCTATGTTCATCAAACAAACTCTTCTCAAGTTCAAGAGTCAAATAGACCACCACACAATAATTCTGGGTGAGTTTAATACACCTCTTTCACCACTGGATAGATCAGCCAAACAAAAGCTGAAAAAAAAAAAGAAACTATAGAATTCAATAAAACAATAACTTAGATTTAACTGACATATATAGAATATTTCATCCTTCAATGAATGAAGACACTTTCTTCTCAGAAGCACATGAATCCTTCTCTCAAATAGACTGTATATTGTGCCACAAAGCAACTCTTAGCAAATATAAAAAAGTAGAGATACTACCCTGCATTCTATCAGATCAAAATGGAATGAAATTAGAAATCAATAATAAAATAAAAAATAAAAGCTACTCCAACACCTGGAGACTAAATGCTACTGAATGAACAATGGATTGCAAAAGACATCAAGGAGGAGATTAAAAAATTCTTAGAGGTGAGTGAAAACACTGATACAACACATCAATCTCTGGGACACTATGAAGGCCGTACTAAGAGGAAAATTTATTGCAGGGAGTTCATCTCCTAAAAAAAGAAAAAGTCAACAAACAAATGGCCTAACATTACATCTTAAAGCCCTAGAAGAAGAAGAACAAATCAACACCAAAAGCAGTAGAAGACAGGAAATAGTTAAAATAAGAGCTAAAATCAATAAAATTGAAACAAAAGAAATAATTGAAAAAATTGACAAAACAAATAGTTGATTCTTTGAAAAAATAAATCAAATTGACAAACCCTTAGCCGTGCTAACAAAGAGGAGATAGAAAACTCAAATTACTAACATACATGATGATAAAGGAAATATCACAACAGACACTACAGGAATACAGAAGATAATTAGAAATTATTTTCAAAACTTGTACTCCAATAAAATAAAAAATATCAAAGGCATTGACAAATTTCTAGAGTCATATGATTTGCCCAAATTGAACCAGGATGATACACATAATTTTAAACAGATCAATTTCAAGCAGTGAAATAGAAGACACCATTGGGAGACTATCAACCAAGAAAAGCCCAGGACCAGATGGACACACAGCCGAGTTCTATAAGACCTTTAAAGAAGAACTAATACCAATACTCTTCAATTTATTTCAGGAAATAGAAAAAGAGGGAGCACTTCCAAGCTCATTCTATGAGGCCAATATTACCCTGATTCCAAAACCAGGTAAAGATGCCTCAAAGAAAGAAAACTTCAGACCACATCTCTAGTGAACATAGGAACAAAAATTCTCAATAAAATTATGGCAAATCAAATACAAAAACATATCAAAAAGATTGTACACCATGATCAAGTGGGATTCATCCCAGGGATGCAAGATTGGTTCAACATATGGAAATCAATTAATGTAATTCATCACATTAATAGACTTAAAGATAAGAATCATATGATCATCTCGATAGATGCAGAAAAAGCATTTGACAAAATATAGCGCCCTTTCATGTTTGAAATACTAGAAAAACTAGGGATAACAGGAACATATCTCAACATTATAAAACCTATCTATGCTAAGCCCTATGCCAATATCATTCTAAATGGAGAAAAATTGGAAACATTTCCTCTAAAAACTGGAACAAGACAGGGATGCCCTCTTTCACCACTTCTATTTAACATAGTTCTTGAAACACTGGCCAGAACAATTAGACAGAGGAAAGAAATTAAAGGGATACAGATAGGAAAAGAAGAACTCAAATTAGCACTATTTGCTGATGATATGATTCTATACCTAGAAGACCCCAAAAATTCCACCAGAAAACTTCTAGAACTAGTAAAGGAATTCAGCAAAGTAGAAGGATAAAAAATCAACACCCATAAATCAAAGGCATTTCTGTATATCAGTGACAAATCCTCTGAAAGAAAAATGAAAAAACCTCAAGAAAATAAAATAAAATACTTGGAAATCAATTTAACAAAAGAGGCAAAAGACCACCACAATGAAAACTACAGAATACTAAAGAAAGAAATTAAAGAAAACCTTAGAAGATGGAAAGATCTCCCTTGTTCATGGATAGGCAGAATTACTATTGTCAAAATGACCATACTACCAAAAGCACTATACAGATTTAATGCAATTCCAATCAAAATCCCAATGACATTCCTCATAGAAATAGAAAAAGCAGTCATGAAATTCATCTGGAAAGATAAGAGACCCAGAATAGCTAAAGCCATCCTTAGCAAGAAGAGTGAAGCAGGTAGCATCACAATACCAGACCTTAAACTATACTACAGAGCAATAGTAACAAAAACAGCATGGTATTGGCACCAAAACAGGCTGGTAGACCAATGGTACAGAATAGAGGACACAGAGTCTAACCCATATAATTACAGTTATCTTATATTATACAAAGGTTCCAAAAACATACACTGGAGAAAAGATAGCCTCTTCAACAAATGGTGCTGGAAAAACTGGAAATCCATATGCAACAAAATGAAATTAAACCCCTATCTCTCACCATGCACAAAACTCAACTCAAAGTGGAACAAGGACCTAGAAATTAAACCAGAGACCCTGAATCTAATAGAAGAAAAAGTAGGCCAAAATCTCCATCATATCGGATTAGGCTCCAACTTCCTTAACAAGACTCCTATAGCACAAGAATTAAAATCAAGAATTAATAAATGGGAGGGATTCAAACTAAAGAGCTTCTCTCAGCAAAAGAAATAATCAGTGAGGTGAAAAAAGAGCCTACAGCTTGGAAGCAAATTTTTACCCCTCACACATCAGATGGAGCATAATCTCTAGGGTATATAAAGAACTCAAAAAGCTAAACTCCAAAAAAACACAAATAATCCAATCAATAAATGGGCCAAGGAATTGAACAGACACTTCTCAGAAGGTGATATTCAATCAATCAACAAATATGTAAAAAGAAGCTCAACATCTCTAGCAATTAGAGAAATGCAAATCAAGACTACTCTAAGATTACATCTCACTCCTGTCAAAATTGCAGCTATTTTGCATACAAACAACAATAAGTGTTGGCGAGGATGTGGGGAAAAAGGTACACTCATACATTGCTGGTGGGACTGCAAATTGGTGCAGCCAATATGGAAAGCAGAATGGAGATTCCTTGGAAAATTGGGAATGGAACCACCTTTTGACCCAGCTATCCCTCTCCTTGGTCTATACCCAAAGGACTTAAAAACAGCATACTACAGGGAAACAGCCACATCAATGTTTATAGCAGCACAATTCACAATAGCTAAACTGTGGAGCCAACGTAGATGCCCTTCAGTAGATGAATGGATAAAGAAACTGTGGCATATACACACAATGGAATATTACTCAGCAATACAATAG